CATTATTCGTAAAAAATGAGATTACCAATACTATATTATTTGAAAAATTGAATCAACATATTTTAAACCTTCAATAATGTGAGGGTCAAACCCTCGTAATATTACAGACATTTAATATTGATGAGGATCCCCGATTAAAATAAAATGTTTGTCTAAATGTTGAATATAATTTAGTGCATTATAAAACGAATAAATTCAGTAAATTTGTTTTTACAGTTGAAATTTCCGCTCATAAAATATCCATTTCCATAAAGATGTTATATAATCGTAATAATGTTGACCTAAAAAATTGATATTCCATTGAAATTATAAAAAAAAATCACCGAGGGAAGTAGACACTATGTCAGAGTCTCAGCCACATCTATATTTACCAATTTGGGGTCAAAGAAGGATTGGAGAGGGGTTTCGCATGGGCTCAGACATCCCTTGTTTAAGCGCCGCCCCCTGAGCCAACAGTAGTCATCCCCATTCGTCCACTCCACTTTATCCTTCGACGTTGCAAAGCAGTATCACTAGCCAATCCGAGTACCTTTGACCCCCTGGTGCACGGAATTCACGTCGTAAATCCAAATGTCCCCTGAGCACCGGTGAACCTGCGGTGACTAAAAATTCTCCCCCGTCACCAGTTATTCTCTAAATCGTCACCTCAGATCACTGGGTTTAACATTGGAGAAAGGTGGCAGTTTCAGTGGAATTGGTTTATCATTGAGTGACAGTATTTCGTGTCTCATTGTGAAGAATTGTTCGTTGTAAACCCCCGATTTATTCTTCGAACCTCGCATTTCATCGATTGACTGACAATTTTCATTAACTAATATTGAAATTCGCTCATTCGTTCCATGAAATTGTGAGATGTTCGAATTTTCCGCGACAACAAACGATTGGAAGTAGATTAAAATCGTGGGAGAAGAAACTTCCGGAAGAAAATGTAGCGAAGTTGAGTTTTTTTTCTGGAAAAGACGTTTCCATGTGCGCAAAGTGATAGATCTTCTCAATTATGGAGTTCACTTGGACGATCCAACATCAAAGTGCTGACCCTATCGACAGCAGGAGTCATCACAATGATCAGGAGGAGACCAACTCGGTCATTGGGCATTCAGCCGCGAGGAGACTTCTCGCAGGTGACGAGGATTAATTCAGTAGCGAAGTGGTAAACCGGTACAAGTCAATTTTGACTATTGACCAGTTTTCAATGAATATCTCGGAATCTAAGGGAGATAGCAAACTTTTTGTTATAACATTTTTTGTAGAGCCGATTGAGAGCTACAACAAATGTCAGTACGAAAATTTCGCTATCTCCCTTAGATTCGGAAATATCCCTCAAAAACTCAACTGGGAGATGAGTCGACTTAAACCGTTTTACCACTTCGCTACGGAATTAAATAACCACGAGTTCAAGTCATTCATTCACTCATGTCCAGGAAACTTAATTGAATAAATTATTCTTCAACATTATTATGCACTCAGACAGGTATTTTATTCCATAATGAAGCAATCAATAAGACGTGATGAGTTGATTTCCTTCTGAGAGAATTTATTCCCGATTTAAGAATGATTTTCTAAACAAATTTTACAATTGACTGCTATATTTTTTTTCTCCATAAAATATCGGAATGAAAAAGAAAAAAATTGTGGGACATTTGCTTATAATCAGGCGCATAATGACTAAATTTCAAGTGATGACACAAAGTTGACGCACGAGCCTAAACAAAAAAAGGGTAAACGTTTCAGATTATAGATCCTCGAAGGGGGTCTCACAATGTTTGCGGATATTTTCACACATGTTATTCCCCCCCCCCTCCCCCCACACCTGATCTGACCCCTCAATAAAAACCCACCAATTACCGTAATCACCCCAATCGTCTGAGCATGAGATCGCGTGGGGTGGTTCACCTATGAAAATAGGAATGAATAAATAAAACAGCTGCCAACACCGGGTGAAAGGGAACTGTTGCTCCATTAACTCGAAAACGTTTAAATGCCGCACTTCCGGTTCCATTTGATCACTTGTCACCGGCACCTGTCGCTAAAAATTACCGGAAAATTTGTTAATTTCTTTTGCAAAAAGGATAAAAATGCGCTCGTTTCTTCTTTTTCATTAAAAAAGGTGTTTAAAGTCTGAATAAAAAAATCAATCGACATTCCAAGATTTATAACTCGATAATACCCAACAATTAGTCCGACTTAGAAAGCTTGAAATGCGTCATCTCTCGCTGGAGAAAAATTCCCTCGAGATGATAAAAAAATATTCAGCATTAGAATTCAACGAGTAGAAACGCCTATCCCGGGTTTATAGTCTGGAAATTATGCATAAAGAAAATTTCCCCAGTTCATTTATTTCTTTCCACTCATCATCAATGTTTTAATGCAACAACTACGATTGGCAGAGAAATTGAAATGAAGGAAAAACCACGTGGAGACGAAGAAATTGATCTTTCACTCTCGTTTAGAGATTCTGATTGTCTTTCTCCGTGACTTATCTTCGTTTCCTCCATTCCTTTGTTGCATTATCAGTCGTGCATTCGTACCACGAACGGAATACAAAATACTAAATATTTTGTTGACGCCGCATGAGACGACAATTTTAATTGGATTTCACGTTCTTTGTCTCGACGAGTTAATTACCCACGTTCTGTTACGCAAAAATGACAGTGGAAAAAAATGAATTCCCAAAGGCTTATTAAGCTTGTCATCATCGGGCTGGCGATGCCTAATGCTGAATTCGTGTTGTACCTGGGAAAGTCGTCCAGTCTGGTGACTCGAACGAGTCCCGCCCCTGGCTGGAAAGTCGTGTTTTCATGGAGACTCTGTGATACGGGGACAAGTCAATTTCCACTTCCGGACGTGACTCAGTTGAATCAAATTGTCGAAGTGAAATAAAAAATGGGAATAAAAATGATGAAAAATCGTTGCGATTTTAGTCGCCGTTTTTAGGGATTCTCCTTTGAGATTGCTGGGAGGATTTGAGGGAACTCGGTCGACCCTTGAGCCGGTTGTTTGGTCGATAAGAGAGCAGAAACCACCTATGGTTACGCCTCAATTTATCCCCACCGTTTTCGTTGCAGATTTGTCATCGCGACATGAATAATTTTTTTCCGCCGAGTGTTTCACGTCGTTTTATTACTCCAGTGGGATTTACCTCGATGAAAAAAATTGTATTCAATTTAATGGTCCCTATAATTGAAACATTTCTCTCTATTAATGAGAGTCAATGGATTGAATTTAATGAAAATAAAAAATATTTCGTTGAAGTATCGGTGATTTCAGCTCTCTCAAGGAGAAATAAGCCACTCTGTTCTCAATGAAAAAGAATAATGCCGAGAGAGAAATGATTTTCGTTGGGATTGAGGATTTAATCTGTTTTTCTTAGTGTAGCCATCCTTAAGTCAACTGGCAGTTCAGTTCCAACTATGTACGACCGGAAGGGACGAGTTATGACACTTGAATCGCTCGATTAAACTCTCAAGAGGGTCCAAGGTGCTCTTCCGACACTTTCTGCTCTTTACTATGAGGACTTGTCTAAAATGAATACAATACTATATTCGCGAATGCAAAAATATCCGACGAGCCAGTGAACCGTAGAGACTTTATCCTCATTTCAATTCTTTTCTTTCGTTTCCGGAATTTTTAATGTTTCAGTGGGGGCTCGCGGGTTATTGAATTTTCCTTCCGTGGATGTATTTTCTGGATTCTCTCTATAGTTTTCTTTTTTAATTACTCAATTAGTTATTTCCCCGGGTTTTTGGAAATTTATATCGCACAGTTCTACTGGAATTTCATGTAAAATAACGAATTCTCTTGCAACAATTTCTCTAGTAAAATTAAAATCCTGAAAAGAAGGTTAATGACTAAAACGAGCCGCTCTGTATTTTAAAAATAATCTGTCATGTCCAAGAACTCTCTCCAACATCCTCCCCGAGAAATAAAAAAAGGAAAAGTGAATTAAAACTTCTGAACCTCACCTCCAACGCAATAGTTATTCACATCACGCGAGTTGAAAATATTTTCCTGAGCTCGAGCTCCAGAAGAATTCTTAGCCATTTGCAAGACCTTTGAGAACCAGCGAGAAGGAGAAAAAGACGCATAAAAGCAGACAGAGTTGGTACGAGGTCGACACCTCGCAATCAACTGTCCCTCGCATGTGGCATTAATGTAAAAACTTTGCGTCTCACCCACCCACACGTTGCATTCAATAAGAGAAAGAGACAATTTTAATTCACTCATGAGATGTGAGAGAGGGGAATTGAAAGTTGAGTGAATTATTGTCGCAAATTGACACGAAAAACTCAATTGAAATGATATCAATAAATCTTGGCTTGATTCGATAAAAAAGTATCGTGTACACCGTTGTGGCTTTGCAAGGGTCAGAGATTGTGACTTGGCACGATTGTAGAATCAGTGGTAGAGTGCTGATTAATTATCCTCCTCTGTATTTTCATGTTCAGTTATTTATACCACAAATTCACGGCATTAGGCATGATGCGCATTCACTTCGCCTGGAGGACGGGACGATCTATCCTTGTGGCAAAGTGAAATTACAATTAATCAATAAATTTAGATGAATAATAAATAATAATCAGTTATAGAAATGATTTGTCACTGATTGTCCGTGAAATTTATGAATGAAAAGGTGAAGTTTAAAAAATCCACGAAAATATTATAATTTTGGCTAGATTTATGGCGTTTTCTCCTACGGTTTCTACACTGAAAGAAATTTCAATTGTCATTTCAACTACAAGGGAATTGTCAAAAAAATAATAGTTACGGTAACAATAAACATTGTAGATTCAACTATTACATTAAAGTGAAAATTACATCATAATGTTGATGACACTGTTTGACATAGTAAATCGAACGGTGAATTCTAGTTTAATCTACAAAATTTATTGTTACTGTAAATATAATTTCTTTGACAATTCCCTTGTAGTTAAAGTTACCATTGAAATTTTTCTCAGTGCATTTTCCAAAGACTTTTCAATGCATTCCAATTTTTTTTTTAGGAAGGGGCGATTTCGTAGGCGGAATCGACAATGAAGCACTAGATTTTTCTCAACTCGAGGATTTCATCAACAGTGACAGTCCACATCCAGCAACGTAAGTGTCAAAAGAAAAAAAACAATTAAATAAACAACGGAAAATCTTCGGATTTCATTTTTTTTTCATCTCTGGACATAATAATCCAATCTACGATATCGAAAATTGTCCCCAGAGCGAAGAAAAAAATACACAATAATTGTCACAAGCGTTGTGAAATAATAGTGTGTAACCTTGGTTGGAAAAAAAAATGTAAAAAAATACAATGATTGAATGCCGGTGATTTAATCATGAGAAAATCCGTTACGCTGGATAATCACATGTCGAACGAACTCTCCGAAAAATAATACGGGATTTAATTGCCGTTTAATTTCACATGACAGTAATTTTCCAAATTGGGTGTGAAATTTTTCGAAATAGGATTTAAAAAAAAAGATAGAATTTATTGGGGTTTTCTATTAAATTTTTCCGTACGTGTGCAGACTCAAACGATCAGAGAAGGCTTTATCCTTTGAATTGAACTCATTCGCTCAATCGTCATCAGCCGGATTTTTTAAAAATATGAAGTTAATGCCACCATTGAGGGCTCGAACAGCAGTAAACCGTTAGTAACAACGTAATGACGAGCTCATGCAGACAGCAAACGAAATTGATGGAATCAGTGCTGTGTCGCATTAGGGTAATTTGTCTCGTATCCACTCAATAAAGGGTAAGGGAGGAGCGGGGGGGAATTATAAACGCACTTGTAGGACAATGGTGATGGTGAAAATGGTGGAGTGAGCACTGTAAATCGAGGGCTCGTGCCACCGGAACCATGCAGAGACCATTGAGATATCACTTCCTCTGTCAGGATAACTCGAATCGTCAAAATTTTGAGGGAACAATGGATGAACGTTCAATATTCTCGATGAGATCGAGGAAAAGTGGCGGAGTTGATCATTCGAACAGATAAATCTAAAGTTTCCCAACTAAAATTATTCGAAATTTCTCGGATTTTTTTTTAAGGAGAGACTACTATGAGTTTTAAAAGTCATGGGTTATTGGAGTGGGATTTTTCATACGTTGACGATCGATTATGTAGATCTGAAAACGAATAATTAGTGCAACAAAAATTTTTTTTTATTGTTCGTTTGCCCGAAAACGCTTCAAATGATAAAAACAGTCCAGGGCTTCCAATTTTCGAGCTACAAAATACTTTTTTTTTCAAAATTTTCGGAAATATGTGTGGAACAACAGTTACGAGCCAGTTTTTTTGGAATTCGACTCCTACACAGCTGATTTCGGATTTTTTTATATAAAAAATGCACTATTTATGTAACAAAATACAAGAAAGCAAATTTAGCCATGTACGAGGCGAAATAAAAAAAAATAGCTCCTAATTGTTATTCCACATATTTTTCCGAAAATTTTGAAAAAAAAATCTTTCATAACTCAAAAATTGGAGACCCTGGACTGTTTTTGGCATTTTAAGCGTTTTCGGGCAAACGAACAATAAAAAAAATTTTGTTTGCACTAATTATTCGTTTTCAGATCTACATAATCGATCTTCAACGTATGAAAAGTCTCCCCTTAATTGAAATTGGTTGACATTGCATTTCCTGCTGAACATACAAGTCCTCTCCCAGTAAAAGAAGAAAAATTCCCATCTGAAAATTCAAAACCGACGTCACGCCAGCACGCGTGTCAATTCGATAGCGATATCTCTATTTCATAAAGTCTGGAATACTTCATCTCTCCACATTAATCGAGAGACGAGAGAGCTGTAATTATCTGAGCGTTTTTACAGCCATACAATTTTTTCATTTTTTAACGCGTTTTGGGGCGCGTGAAATAAAAATGAATACTACCGAGCGAAGCGTAAAAACAAAGATATTGTTGTGGAAACATTATAGAACCCCACAATACAATGTTTAAAATTCACGAGCCACAGTGACCAAAGTTCAGCAAAAATCGCAGACATAATTCGTTAAATTTTTCATATACGCTTTTTTAAAAATGTACAAAACGATAAACGTTGTGCTGTTGAACAAAAACATCACAACAAAAAGAAGAGACAGAGAGAGAGTGCGAACAAGAGAGGAAGAAATAATCGTAAAAAAACTAGCTGCAGTATAAAGCGTACGTCGAAAGGTCAAGGCCGCTCCTGCCGCGAACAATACCTCGTGTCCCTGCCACATGGCTCCATAAATATCGTAAAAGTATTTTACTTCAATGTTTGCAGTTACTTCGCAGACACCTTAGCGCACAATGAGACAGCGGTCCCATCCCACAACGGCCGAGTGGATGGAGGCCCGCATCCTCCCACCCGTCTCCCCTCCCCCATCACTCAAAATCACCAGGTCCAGACCTCCTGTCCCCCGGGGACGACAGCGGTCCCCGCCAATTCCACCCCCTACAAGGATTCCCAAGCCTACGTTCACCCTCACGCCCTCCCCGAGAGCCCCCCGGACAGTGGTTCGGAGCCTCCGTACTCTCCCCCTGGCCACCACGAGTCCCAGCACGTCCACTCGCCCCACCAAAAGTCCGCAGTCCAGGACATTCTGCTCCATCACCCGGGGAATGGGATGACCTACCCAGCCTCGAACCTCCTGCCGCCCTCGCCGAGGACCCTGGGCTCCTCGGCGGATCCCCTCCTCCTGAGTCACCCCGTCCTCACCCCCCTCCTCGCCCCAGTGACAGCAAACCTGTCGTCCTCCTCGTCGTCATCGTCCTCGTCGTCCTCGCCCTCCTCCCAACAGATGGCCTCCTCCCTGCCACTTCCCCACGAGCACAGCCCCAGTGGCATCACAACCCTCTACTCCTCCCTCCAATCGGCACCGAAGAAACGAAAACTCAGCCAAGACAGTATGATCCACGTCAAGCAGGAGCCAGAGCTCGGGACAATCGAGCACAGCTGCTCCAGCAGTGGTGCAGTCCTCGAGAGTGAGGAGGTCAACGGCGATAACTCGTACATTGACTCGAGTTATCAGTGCATCAGGTTCCATCCCTTTCAGCAGACGACCTGGCACGCACTCTGCGATCACAATTTGAAGGAGCTACCGACACCGCATTACAGAGTCGACGCCGATAAAGGATTCAACTTCAGTAATTCGGACGACGCATTTGTCTGCCAGAAGAAGAATCACTTCCAGATCACTTGTCACGCGCAGCTGCAGGGGGACGCAGTGTTCGTTAGGACGGGGGAGGGATTGAAGAAGATCAGCAGTTTTCAGCTGCATTTTTACGGGGTCAAGGTGGAATCGCCGAGCCAGACGATCAGGGTGGAGCAGAGCCAGAGTGACAGGAGCAAGAAACCCTTTCATCCAGTGGTGTAAGTACACAGATGGAAAAATCTTCGAGGGGTAATTTCAATAGTGAAGCGGTAAAACACTTCAAGTCGATTCAGCCTTCAGCTGAGTTTTCGAGGAATATCTTTTTTTTTTTTATTTAAGCGCGAAACCTACAGATTTATACAGCTGTCAATAGAAAAAAAGAAAGGATATATATAATATAATTTACATCTTATTGTAGTATCAAAGTTGTGACATTTCTTCCTTGAATTGAACATTTTTATGTTTTTATTTTTTTCTTAAGGATCAGTTAACAATTATAGTTCATTATACATCCGAGGAATATCTTCGAATCTAAGGGAGATAGTGAAATTGTCATAATAACCTTTTTTGTAGAGCGAGTTGAGTGCTACAAAAAAGGTAGAGACAAGAATTTTGCTATCTCCCTTAGATTTCGAGATATTGATTAAAAACCACTTTACCGCTTCGGTACTGATTTGAGTTGATTGATTATGAAATTTTCTCGATATCCCTCACATCCCTCAGTATCTTCATTACACTAAAATAGCACCCCTTTCAGGGTGGAACTGGGTGGCGAGCGTGTCACGAAGGTGACAGTAGGTCGTCTCCACTTTTCCGAAACGACAAGCAATAACATGAGAAAAAAAGGCAAGCCAAATCCAGACCAAAGGTACTTCCATCTAGTAGTGGGTCTCCACGCTCACACATCAGATCAATCGAGTTATCAAGTTGTGGCACACGCATCGGAGAGGATAATAGTGCGAGCGAGCAATCCAGGGCAATTTGAGTCCGAGGGGACGGGGGTGGGAACAGAGGGTGGCTGGCAGAGGGGAGGTGCCCCAGACAGTGTTTACCACGCAGGAAGAGTCGGGATCAACACAGACAGGCCCGACGAGGCCCTCGTGGTCCACGGGAACATGAAGGTGACAGGGCACATTGTCCAGCCGAGTGATGCGAGGGCCAAGCAAAATGTCCAGGAGGTCGACACCAAGGAGCAGCTGCGGAATGTCCAGCAGTTGAGGGTCGTCAAGTACAGATACGTCCCTGAATTCGCTCTGCACTCTGGTCTGGGCATAAAAACCTCGGAGGACACTGGAGTCATCGCCCAAGAGGTCCAGCAAATTATTCCAGAGGCTGTTTTGCCAGCCGGTGACATCGTCCTCCCAAATGGTCAGAGGATCGAGAACTTTCTGGTGGTGAATAAAGAGAGAATCTTCATGGAGAATGTCGGAGCTGTGAAGGAGCTCTGCAAAGTCACTGACAGCCTGGAGACGAGGATCGATCAGCTCGAGAGGATAAACAAACGCCTGGCTAAGCTCAAGAGGGGCGACAGCCTGAAGAGCTCGGTGAGCACAGTGTCGAGCATTGCCTCTGGCAAGTACATCCCCTCCAACAAGAAGAATTCAGTCTCAAGGAGGTGCGAGAGGGAGGAGGACCTCCTCTGCAGCAACAAGTTCATCCAGATAATAATTGTCATTCTGATTTTAATAATGGCATTTTGTCTCGTGGCGATGGCAACTCTCTACTTCATGGAGTACCAGAAGCGAAGCTCGCTGGAGTGGACTGCTGTTGCTGGCGGTGGAATCATGGGAATCGGTCCAGCTCCAACTGCACCAACAACTCCCAATTACAATTCCAGGTTCAATCCTCTGGTGCACAGCACTGCCTCCAACTATCAGACTAAGCAGAGTGGATTCAGCAGGGGTCCGGACAATCAGGCGACGGTCAAGGATGTGGGCCTGTCTACCCTGGCACCTGACACGAAGAAGCAGATTTATTCACAAGAGATCACGTCGTGGTACCCCTTCGGACACTCTGGGGGACAAGGCAAGCACGAGAAGAATAACGAGTTCCCCAGTAATTGGTTGAGCAGGAATGGCGGGGGAGTTGTGCCCAGTAACGTTGATGAGAATGATCCTGGAGAGGTGGAGAGTGCTGGCAAGGGTCCTGCACCGCTGGGGAGACCCCCCAAGTGTCCTATGCACTACACGGCCTTAGGAAATTCGTGTCAGGTAATGAAAAACTGAAAATAATATGTGGTGCTAGTTTTTTACTGTTTTATCTGTCAGGTTTATTGCTGCACTGATATCCACCCCCTGGAGGATCCACATCCTGAGCATCCACCGGAGAAGAAACCCATGTGTAAATATCTGTCGTTATTTTGAATTTTGAAATTGAATATTTCATTAATTGTCATATGCTCTGTAATCAGCAGATCACCTGGAGCATCCACTCAGTTTAGAAGAGAAGAAGAAGGTGAATAAAGGTCTCCAGAATGGCATCAGCCCTGCTGACTCCAACACTCAGACACTCGTCAAAGAGGTAAACATTTTTTTTATGCACTTTCTGGAGGAATGGCACTTGCTTTTCAATTTGCAATTAATAAACTCATTTATTTGTCTCAATGAAAATGATTTGATGATTTGATGTGGAATGAATGGTTTTGTCTGTATCTCGTCAATTAAGAAAATCCGATTTTGTCCGCCAGACAAACTTCAAATATTTGCATAAGAGAAGTCGAAGAGAGGCAGGTGGAGGTGAATGGGGAGAAGTGGCGTCCAATGCAGCAGGATCCCTCCCACCGGAGCCAAAACCTCAATTACAAATAGTCGCAAAGACATTCAATGCAACCCTCGATCAGAGATACTGCTCGGTGACATCCCCAGGGACTCCCAACAACTTCAGTTGCGATGTACCACTGTCCAAACACATGCCAGACACCCACTTGACCCTTCACTTCGTGGGGATGCCCTGGTACTGGCAGATTGTCCAGCTCTGTCCGATCCCCTCGAATCCTGCGGACGAGTCCATGGTCTGCGGTTGGGGGTACACTATTCAACAGCAGCAGCAGCAGCAGCAGCACCAGCAGCAGATCAAGTACACTGAGAATGCCAATCAGCATGGGGACCAGTCGTTCTCCCTTGATGTGGCGTTTTACCTGAGGAAGACCCTCAGATTCAGAGTTCCCACTGTTCAGCCTCAAGAGGATGTCTGCAAAAATGGACATGCGAGTGATTACATTGAATTCACTCTGCACTTCCATCGTGACTGCGACGGTTGAATGATTGTACTCTTGAGATTGGTCGATTACTACTAACGATGCAGGATTTCGTTGGATCCACTCCAATTGGAGACTATTTTACTTCAACACTCAACGTTCTTGATGAATCGTGCGATCCATGCTTCGGTGATAACGAAATATATAAATAAACAGAGAAGAAAGACACGAATATGAGGAGTAAGGGGAGCAGAGATTAAAGTTTTGGGGAGGAATTGTATCGGAACAATTCGTCGAGCAAAATAATTGGCGTTTTTTTCCATAAAAAAAGTGCACAAGACTATTGTAATCATGATGATAATCTACTTATTCTGAACTGCATCTGTACATTTTTCATAAATCATTCCAATTACTCGAGGAATTTTAATTCATCATCACATTTATTCCAAATTTGTTGGATATTTTTTGATAACTTCAAGTACCTACTCTAGTTATTTTATACTTAAGTTTCATTGTTGAAATTTTTTTGCCTCATTATTGGAGAATCTCTTATAACGAAATAGTATTAATCTAGGTATATTCTGGAAGAGGTAAATGTAAGGAATGAAATTTCTTTTTAATAGTTGAGGAAAGAAATGAGAACGGAGGTGAATGGGTTGGGGCGGTTTTTACGAAGGAAATTTCCATGAAATCGATGAAATTAATTCTTAAGAGACTAGATACACTTGTAAATACAGCCCAATGATATTCCACTGAGAAAGTATTGATTAGTTATAAAATTAAAATGAAGAACAAATGAGAGAGAGAGTTGATTCATGATTACTCTTATGAGATACTGAAGATCTTTGGCTTTGAGCTTTTTCATTTATAGTCTCGATTATTCCCACATCATTGCTAAATGATACAGTTGAAAGGTGCAATAATGAAGAATGAATCTCGTAATTTTACTTTGAAACAAGAGATATTTGTAATGAGTAATATAAATGTCAACGAAACTGAAGAGAGAATTTTTCAAAAAAAGTGAAATAACTCGATTATCCCGATCATTGGAATCAACAGAGAGAATTGAGATTTTTTTTGTTTTTAGGTTTTTAGTCTATTTTTAAAGCATGACATAATGTATAGAATTTTTAGATAACTAGTCCCCGTAAAATGACTCCGGCAGACGCTAAAGTGAGGAATTCTTTGTTTTCTTCCCCTTCTGACGCTAAATGTCTATTGTTTAGGATTAGATTATCAGTGCCTTGTGGATTTACCTGTATATTTGATGATAAAATTTTATGTAAAATGTATTATTGTACTGCATATTTATTAATATATCATTGAAATTATAATATTATAGCGGTAGAATAAAGAATATTGCTCTGTGAACTGGTGTGATCATACATTTATTAACAAATTTTCCTATTACATTACCAGGACTTAATAATAAATTTCCAATCACAGAAATAAATAAGAAAAACCATCGATACAAAAACTGCACTGTCAATTTCACCTATTTTAATTTATAATAAAAATTACAATCGTAGATTTACGTTTTCTTTTCCTGCAATTTCTCGATTTTTTTACAATTCATATTTCATTTGACTCAGAAGCGACGAACTTCATTGAACATTTGTGTATTGCATTTTCAAAATTGCTGACACACCATCATCGAAAAAATAATAACAAAAGAGATAGAGACGTAAAAAAATAAACAGGAAGACGAAAACAAACGCACTTGAAAACAAAAATCGAAGGTAAAAAAATATACGATAATATGAAAAAAAAAATTACAACTAGTAATAAAAACTATATATATGGAGGGGGGGGGGAAGAGGAGAAATGTGAAAAACTTATTTTTCAAACAGCTGTACAGATAAACCGGTATCTTGTTCCATCAATGATGAAATATGTTAACATTAATCATTGATCTATTTTATGAAGTGCAGAACGGAACGACTGGACGTTTTCCCTATCAACTATCGGCGCTATCCTTAGATTCTCTATCTATCACCCGCAAGTATGAAATTATTCGATAAATAATTAACATCCTTACTCCTCGATACCATTGCTCCATTGTTCCAAATAAACAAATCCTCATTGATTCAAATGAGAGGTCACATTCTTAACGACACGTAATGCTTGATAATTGCACCTAAATTTTCCTAATTACATGAATTATTATCTTCATACAGTTGTCGACATTGGCATCAAACAATTGTTCACGTTTGCGGAGCTCTCGTCGATGCCAAAGCTATTTTGTTTCATAAAAAAAATTATTTCAATTTAAAATAACTACAGTCTGCCTTATTTGTCCCTCCTGGAGTCCTCGGGTGTCTCTTCCCGAACAGCCAGAACCATTCTTAACATAAGAATGGCCAGGACTTTGTCGAGGGGATCCATGAAGCCCCTCTGCATCCACTTTGGAATAGTGGTGCGTGCATGGGAGAACCCGAGCTTCTGGAGGATGTAGTCAATGCCATAAGGCTCGATACTCTTGCCAGCCCACGATAAAAGTCTCACTGTTGGCTCAAGATGCCACGTTTTACATCTGTACGAACGCCAGTCCTTGATGAACATCTCAGCTGGATCGAACTGTTTTCTCCTCCTCTCGTCCTCAGTCATTGCTGATGCTGTTGATGCACTTGATGAGCTCGAGGGTCCAGTCCTCTTGTCGTGGCTCTCAGGACTGTGGGCCCTTCCCCCTGGGCCCATCGACTGCACTCTCTCTCTTTCACTGAGATATGAAGTTATGAGATCGTGAAGGAAGAAGAACGCCTCTGCATCCACTGTTACGAATATGTGGTCCTCGAATTCAGTGATAAAACTGCACTCAACCAGTGGTTTTTCACCTAGTGAAAAATAACGAGTGGCATTTTAATGGATATTCTCTCGAGATCAACTACACTTTTTATAAAAAATAAAATCAATAAAAATAATTCAACTCTTCCTACTCCATGCAACAGAGCAACTATAATCAAGTCATTTCGTTATTTGAAAAATCAATTTCTGGAATTTTTCAGACAAGGAATCGGGGAACACTAAGCGTTTTTTACCATTTCCAGTTGTCTTCAGGTACTTACTATACAAAATATGTTTAGGCAGTCCTAAAAATATACAGAGAAAGAGAATTGCAGAGTACTATAAAGAATGAGCAGAAGTAGAAATGAAATTCAGTGAAGAAACCAATGTTTCATTTGTTTTCATCAGTTTGAGATGATAAAATTTCACTTGCAATCCAGAATTCAGAGCAAGTTCACAGATGTCGAATGCAACAGACACATTGATGAAATCAAAGTACAAATATTCTGTAATGAAGTCTGACGAGGAGACGAAATCACTGTTCCCTTTATTTTCAGCTTCATTAAAGAACGAAAACCACAAAAAATGATTGATCAACAGAGCATCAAACTCACCAATGACATCAGGAGTCTTAGCAGTCTGGAGATGTTCGGTTTTGAGATGCAGCTGCAACGAAGGAAGAGCGAAGATGACTTCCCTGCCATGCGAGTGCTCCTGGAGCTTCCCAGAGGCAGAGGATGTGCTCCTGCCCCTGGCGCCAGTGGTCCCTTCAGCGCTCTGCTCAGTCCTCTCCCTCTCAACACAGGGGAACTTGTCCACAGCATCGATCTCACTATTAGCAAAAGCGTAATGAAACCACTCCTGAAGGCTCTTGAACTGCGGAGGGAAGAGAACACTTCTGCTGAGCTTGCAGACAGTCGCCATGGAGTGATGCCTGGCATGTTGCTCCTGCTGCTGCCCCAGGGAAACCGTCAGAGTCTGAACGACATGAACATCGCAGGTGCTGGGGGATTCGACATTTGGAATCTCCTGTGCCTCAGTTGCGAAACTAATGCAGGGCTCCTTCAACGAAAACAGAGCCCAGTTTTTACTCTTGAAGTTGATCCCATGAAAACATGCCAAGCTGATGTTGGTTCCATGCAGTTCCATAGTTCCCCCAAGAACAGTTCCATTGCTGGGTAAAGAGAACCTCAAACTGCCGAGTTGCAGCCCAGCCACTTGAGCAAGAACCCTCTGCCAGTGTCTGTGATGCCTGGCATCAGAGAGAGCTGTCTGATTGATCCAGGGCCCCTCAAGGGTCGTCCTCTTCTTCTGCCCCTTCTTCTTGAAGCTGTTGGTGCTGGTTCTCTGCTTCGGCTGCAGCGAACTGAACACCCTTTTACTGCTCTTGAACTGTTGACTGAAGAACTCCTCTAACTTGTAAAACATCTTCAGGAGGTCTGCAGTCGTCGACTTGGAGATCATGATCTGCAGTTGGTCCCAACCAAGATCCCCATGCATGAAGATGATCGCTGGTCTTCTGGTGGGCATGAAGGCATCACCAGAGTTACTTCTACTGATCTTCCATTCGTCCCTCAGTGTGACGTCCAGAGAGGAGACCCTAGTCATGAGAACACTTGTCCCCATGTAGTCCAGCCTAAGTTCCAGGGCGAAGAGTTTCAGTCCCAGTGTGTGGTCAGGCTCAATGCCAGGCTCCTCCCTGATATGAAGGTAGGTATCGATTTTGCTGAGATCAATAGTTCCACCCACGAATCCACTCTTGGCGTCGAGACTCGAGCCCCCAAGGCCAATTCCAATGTAAAGATTCTTGTGTCCAGTACTTCCAATTGACAATCTTCCATCGGAACGAAAGTCCTTCGTCATCCAGGCGACGTTCCCCATGACATTTCCCATATTCATATGTACATTCAATTTAGTAAAGTTAATGGCAAATAGCACCAGAGTCTCCCACGCTGACTCCCTTATTTTAACCCCCGAATTAGTACTAAATTTATCCGACGAAGTGAAACTCCAGCCCCTCCCAATGTCCTTGAGTCCCCTGGTCTGCCTAGGAATTTCATTATCAAAACTTAATCTCAATTTGTCTCTCGTCAATGTTGGACTCGGCTCAGGAGCACTTTTAGAGAGCATATCCCCAGGGGGATATTTATCACAATGTTTCAAAAGGGATGAACCCATAGCTGCCTCCTCCTGATTCAGCAAGGGGCTGCTTTCGCCTTCGTAGGAAGCCATTCCCGAGCTCAAATCACCCAGGAATAATCTCCTGACGATGCTTCGCCTGTACCAGGCCTTTGGAAAAGCTAGAATTTCCGTCAATCTTCTCATATCGTACTTGAAGGAAGCAGAGCCAATGTCCACGATCGTGGAGAACCTGATGACAGCTCTGCTGGTGTCTCCCCCTTTGCTCAACTGTTCACTGTGAAACTTCAATTTTCTGCTTCTGGATAAATTGACTTTGACAAACTCAACATTGATACTGAGAGAATCCTTCCTCTCGCTGTCTGACAGGGGTGACCACTGTGTCTCCTTCAGCCCCGACTTCTTCCCACCCCCATAGGGATGGAATATGTAGACAGAAAAATCAGCGAGACATCCTGTCAACGACAATCCCCCAATAGCCGACTCACTCTCCCTACTTCTGCCAGAGGAATTTTCCTGATGATGATTATTCGATTCGTTGAACTCTGGGAGCTCCTCCTCGGCTCTTTTACTCGATGCCACTATGTCCAGTGATGGTAATTGAAGCATACACTCAACCCTCGACACAGGTAAACACGAGAACCTGAATGTCGATGGTTGACTGTGGAAATAAACGATGACATCAACTGGAAAACTGGCATAGACGTAGTTGGAGCTTGCTGCTGTTGCAGCCCACGAGGAGCTCTCATTCTCCATCGGAAAGACTGAGTTTGTGGTCTGTCCACCCCCTGGAAGTAGTATTTTACCAGGTATAGGCTCCAGCGTCTGTTCTAAATACTCAAGGATGTGGGGACTGATGATGGTCTCCTCTGGAATACTCTGAAGCGTGACCCACGCCAGCAAGCTAGCCTTCTTCGTCCCAATTTTCCTAGTTGGAAGTGACATTGGATTCTGATGCTGAAGATCCGGTAGCCTGTCCTCAGCAAGGGTCTTGGATTCATAATGAACCTTGACATCGAGCCCAGGAATGTGAAAAATTGACAAATCAACCAGGGGCACAGCACTCATGTGCTGGAAGTACCTGACTCGCGACCCAGTGGACGACGATTTTTCCTTTCCACTCAAGTGTTTTCTGCTAGAGCTCGGACTACTCGGTTGAAAGTCAAAGTTTCCACCCGAACACGACCTCTCCTTCTTCATCCTACTTATCAACTTCAACTCGTCCTCTTTGCTGGGGTCCTTCGTATGCAGAACGCATTTTCCGGAATTAATGAGGACTTTGACGTCGAATTCAAAGTCTATGTTGGGTTCCTGAGGCTTCTGAGGCACAATGTGAGGGGATGAAGTAGTTGACGTCTGCTCTCGTGCGAAAGAGTCGAGGAGGGGGGCATTACCCTCCATGCTGTCGTAGCTGGATGCACAGCTGCCATCAGGCCTCTTCCTCCTGAGTTCCACCTGCTCCCCTTCGATTTCAATCGTCTCCGGCCAGTCGAGCTCGCCCTCAGGCAGACTGAGCTCCGACGAGGCACTAGGAAGGGACGACTGACGACACATTGTGTGAGTATCACTGAATGTCACCCTGGGACCGCCCAGATTCCTCACCCTGAGTGAAGCCGATCGACTTGGGCCACTTCGAGGGCTGCTCTCGTAGCTCGCTGAATTAGCTGAATTGACCTCTGCATTGAGGTCCTCTGGCGACTCCAGCTGATGCTCTGGGGTTGGAGAGGGAACGATGAAGGACCTGGATCTGTAGGTATTCGATTTGGACCCTAAACCGAGTTTTCCTTTTATCCCAGAGGCCTTAACCGACTGCCTCCTGAGCTTCTGAATCATATCACGACGGAAATCCTTGAAGACAACTGCCTCCAGCTCCTGCAGGCGCTTCATTTCTTGCTCGATTGTACCGTGAGAGGCTCCCAGTGATCGCAGGTCGTTGATTATCTTCGCTTGCTCGTTCATCTCCTTCTCGATGAGTTTAGAACGCTTCTTTGCGTCGAGAGAGGGATCGAAGACGAAGGCCGGAAGACTGTCTGTCCAATTCTTCGATTTTTTAATCAGAATATTCTCCTGCAATGGGAAAAGACACTTCATTTCAGGGGATTATTAATTAACTTCTTCAAGCAAGCTTCGAACGAGAGATGAATCACAAATTTTGAATAACAAATTTTTTATTCATCTCTCCATTTAATCAAAAACAAAATTGATGACATGTTCATGTAATTGAATGGGTGCGGGTTAGATTAACGGCGAGATTACGTTACCAAAACAAGCTGGACACACACGAAAATAAAAATAAAAGGGAGACCCTACTTTTTTCTTAACCTGGCTAGTTCCAAGGTTTGGCTGGTCGACATCATCACTGTCGTACTCTGCTGAAGCATTGGCGTCGTCCTCTTCAGAGCCAGCGAGCATAGTCAGGGTATGACCCAGTGCCGAGAGCTGTTGTCCCACATTAGTGTCCAGATGAATGTCAACTCCCTCCATCTGCCATTGGACGTTTAAAAGCCACTTGGCGTTGTCTGCAATTGTTTTTTTTTTTTTCAATTAAAACGTTGAATAAGTGTCAACTAATCTCAAGAGGATGAACGAAATGAAACAATGAATGAATAATTTACCACTTGGCGTTGCCTGCAATTGCTTTTTTTTTTTTTAATTAAAACGTTGAATAAGTGTCAACTAATCTCAAGAGTGATGAACGAAATGAAACAATGAATGAATAATTTAAACATAAACTCACCAGATTTATCCTGTTTCTGTGCAACAGTCCTGCTGCATATCTCATAAGTCCCCTCAGACACGACACAAAGATTCATAATATTGCTATCATTCATATCCGGCTTCCAGTCGTCCAGAGAAGTCTCAAAGTCATCAGCAAACCTGAGACACAGTCCAACGAACCTTCCCTTGCTGACTAAACTGCCACTGCTGCAGGCCGAGATGCTGGCAGTCTCCAGAGTCACCACGACAGCCCCCCTGGACTCCCCATCGTACAGACCCCTCGTCATCCCCCAGTTGTTGGGTGGCAATGGATTGAGAGGAACACAAATGCCCATGTCATCGACAGTCAGCTGCAGAAAAAGTGTTCCCAGATTCTGCGAGCTCAATTGTGACGTCAATTGCCCAAAGGGCACCTTCTCGAAGACCTGTTGAGTTGCTGTCAGCACTTCCTTGTTCAGATTAGCTCTCTTCTCGTTCCAATATTCATAAGCATTTTTGTAATTCAACCAGACGAGAATGGCTTTGTCAATAGCCATGGGTTGAATGTAGATCAACGGTCTCTTGAGAGTTATCAGAACAACTTCGTTATCGGCCTCTTGAGACATCTCCTCCTGAAAGGCATTTCGCAGATCAACTCTCGTATTGAAAAAGGCAAACTGTTGGAACTCTGGCTCCGCCTCTTCGAACATCACATTCTTCAACAACTGGCCTAATGACAGATTAATATCCAATTGAGCTTTGCCGAATAATTTAGTGTGTGGATTGGGTTGTGCAGAGCCCGAGACATTCTGCACTCTGTTGGAGAGTTGAAACTCGACGGCACCAGTCTCAAAACGAAGAGCAGAATTCGTAGGAGTAGTTGCTGTCAGCTGAATCCTCTTCAATCTAATGACGAGGGAGAACAGTATTCTCTTCAAGCTCGATGTGGCAGTGGGTTCTTCGTCCTCTAGCCACAGAGGCACTGGTTTCTCACCCCCATAAACCTTCTGCACGACCTCGTTAACTTCCTTCATAAAGACCTTCTGCACGAACACCAGGTGATTCAATAAATCAGTCGTCAGGGAGTTCTCGAAGACCCCGATGTCAGCAGTGGCATTCAGGTAGCTTCCCTGCTTCAACACAACTCCATCGGCGAGTTTGCTGTCATTGAGACTGCTGGTGCCATCCTGAATGTACTCAGCAGACACATGAACCTTGGGAAGCTCGATACTAGCTTCTGATGGTAAATTAGCTTCAGTAACCTGAAGTTTCGTGGTGAAACTGAGCGAATGATGGGGCAGATCAATCGTGAATTTGGCTTTACTCCCAGTTGTTCCTGATGAATTCACCTGGTCCATTTTGTACTGTGCTTGAAGGGAAGGTAGTAAGGCAGCAGTGATGCTCAAACTTTGAAGAATTATGTGGAACTGCATGACAATGGGTTCGAGGAGGCTTGGTCCAGCCACAGGTTTCTCCTCAGGCTCTGTCTGCTTCTCCACGTAATGATGAGGACTGCCTGGAGCATCCGAGTCCTCCTGCTGCTGTCCCCTGGAGAGTCTCGAGGACGTTCTCGTGACCCTGAGCTCTTGAAGAGTAGATGACAACTGCTTGCTTCCCCTCGTCATCATCCCATGGAGAGCAACTGGATGCTGGGGAATGTCAATGTTAACAGCACCTATGGTGAAGAGGCCACTGTTTTTATCCTTCTGACGTCTCGAGACACTTGAATACAGCGCCTGACTCTTCCCCACTGTGACCTTAACAACAGTCTGTTGATTAGGTGCAACACCTTCTAACAGAACAATCATTGTTCTACCGATTTGTCCAGTCAAACTGCACTCCAAACTCGCTGGCTTGGATTTCTTCCTGCAGGTGAAGCTAGCGTGCAAACTCGTGATTTCAGCCTCCAGTTTGAGCCCACTGAGAGTCGCCAGGAGTCTCGTACGATGGATCCTAGCAACTCCGAAGATGATGAGTCTAGTCCTCTCCCCAGCAACGACATTCAGGTCCCTCTGAGGTGGCACTGGAGTGAACGAGTGATCGTTCAATCCCTTCTCCACGTCCTGATCCTTCGCCGTTTCATTCAAACTCTCGTATTTCTTTCCCCCCTTGTACTGTTCAGAATCAGCTGACAGAGAGAACCTGTGAGTTATCGTTTTCGTCTCTGGACGAGTGGCGTAGAGGTCCAAAAGGTAGTAGATTGTCTTCCAGCATCGTGGAGTTAAGTTGTTAGATGCGCCCTTGCATTTGTCTGAGATAATAGAAATTTTCTCGAGGCCTGAACTGCTGGGACTGGCTCCAAAGCTCGGGGTTATCACGCCCTCTGACAGGTTTATGTACCCCTTGACACTTTTTCCAGTGCTTCGGAATTTCTGGACGAAGCTCTGGGGTCGAGAACGGATGCTCGAGGTGGGGGAGATGACCTTCGGCTGGCTGGGGTCAAAGTCCTTCCTCAGGAGAGGCTCCTCCATTTTCTTACCGATTAATAACTGCTCCTGGATGTCTGAGTTCGAGGACAATCCTTTTTTTATGTTTCCATGCTCCTCGTTCACTGGGAGATTGACGTTTCGTTTGGGGTCCGGCTGCTGCTCCTTCAACTCCATCTGGGTTTCCTTCACGTTCTGGTACATGTTGCTGATCTGGTGGAGGAGACGAAGCAGTGGCATGTTGACTTGTTGGCTGATGTACCTGATGTGGAGACTGAAATTAACAACTGTACTCGTGTGCTTCTTCAATTGTCCTCTGGAGATGTAGAGGACATTCTGCCTCTGGATCATATCGTCCACTGTCATGTCAGCCATCTTCTTGATATCAATGTCTATTCCTATTCTCTCGCAGAGGAATGCTGGTGTCTCAGGGGGTATGTCCAGGGTAAATTTCGAGCCTTTCTTGGGTATCTTCGGGGGCTTCTTCTTGTCGGCTACTTTGCCGATCTCTGAGACCACTATGTCGATCCTCATGGTGTCCATTGTGCCCACCAGGGACAGGTTCGAACCCAGGGAGTCCAGAGACGAGACGTTGTTGAGGTTTCCTGCACCTATGGCTGACAACATTTGCTGTGGCATCACTGAGAGAGAGGACAAGAGAGGCTCGAAGATCAGGTGGGCGTCCAGGAGACGCAGGGAGTCCTTCATTGGGTAGAGGTAGGCCCCACTGTGCATGTCTGAGTCCTCTGTGTCGTCTGTTGTCATCGTATTGATCTTGGAATCCTGGAAATAGTTTTGTTCTTTTTTTTCGTTGGTTTCTCTTATGAATGTTTTAACGTATTCTTTAACGAGGGGGCAGATTAACTCATGCTGGATGTACTTGAGAAATAGTGAATACCTTGGCTGCCTTTTGCTCTGTGCGAAAGACCTAAGTGCGATGAGACAATCACGTTTCACATCAATTTAGAAAATTTTGAAAAATTCGTCGTTAGGCGCAGGAATTTTTTTATCGTAACAATGGGATAAAAGTCATTTTTCGAGGTAAAAAATCTTTTAATTTAACAAAAAACTGTCTTAATTTCAATATCAACATCGTTCACCTCTCAATAACAATCCTGAACTGCGTCAAGAAAGAACACGAAAAGGAAAACGAAAATAAATGAAAATTATCACTCACCCAATTGCCCCTCAAATTACTCTTATCGTTATCCTTGATGAACTCCTGCTGCTTCGCCATCCAACTGTACAGATCCTCCTCGGTATTGATGTGCCCCCGTGAGTGATGAATAGTGGGGGACGTCATGTCATCACCACTCCCAGTGCTGTGATGACTCCCATGACCCACGGAATAAATACTCGGATTGGATCCCAGTTGATGGGAGTGAGAGATGTGGATCTGCGGGGGTTTCTCTTCTCGCAGAGTTCCATAGCCTGATGGAAATTGGGCCCAAGAATAGATAATATTCCGATGGAAAACAGAAAATTATATTTTTTGTAATGAACAAAGTGCCAGTGTAACATTTATACTTGTTCCATCAAGAAGCAATCGAAACTACGACTCTGAGACTTTTTAGTTCTGAAAACAATGGTATTGAGAACATCACAAGGTGATTCTTCAAATATTCAGAGGATATTCAAGGATTTTTTTCAACATTTCGAAAAAACCTAATTAATAATTAAAAGGATAAAAACCTAATTAATAATCTAAGTGGAAAATTTTATTAAAAATATCAGTAGCGAAGTGGTAAGACGGTACAAGTCAATTTTGACTAGTGACCAGTTTTCAATGAATATCTCGGAATCTAAGGGAGGTAGCAAAATTGTTGTTATAATCTTTTTTGTATAGCCGATTGAGTGCTACAACAAATGTAATTACGAAAATTTCGCTATCTCCCTTAGATTCGGAAATATCCCTCAAAAACTCAACTGGGAGATGAGTGGACTTAAGGGGAGACTACTGTGAGTTTTAAGAGTCGTGGGTTATTGGAGTGGGACTTTTCATACGTTGAAGATCGATTATATAGATCTGAAAACGAGGAATTAGTGCAAACAAAAATTTTTTTTATTGTTCGTTTGCCCGAAAACGCTTAAAATGCTAAAAACAGTCCAGGGCCTCCAATTTTTGAGCTACAAACGATTTTTTTTTTCAAAATTTTCGGAAAAATGTGTGGAACAACAATTACGAGCCAGTTTTTTGGAATTCGACTCCTACATAGCTGATTTTGTTTTTTTTTCATGTAAAAAATTTCACGATTTGTGTAAAAAAATACAAAAAAAAAGCAAATTTAGCCATGTAAGAGGTGAATTTAAAAAAAACTAGCTCGTAATTGTTATTCCACATATTTTTCCGAAAATTTGGAAAAAAAAAATCATTTGTAGCTCAAAAATTGGAGGTCTTGGACTGTTTTCGGTATTTTAAGCATTTTCGGGCAAACGAACAATAAAAAATTTTTTTTGCACTAATTATTCGTTTTCAGATCTATATAATCGATCTTCAACGTATGAAAAGTCTCTCTCCAATAACCCACGACTTTTAAAACTCACAGTAGTCTCCCCTTAAATCGTTTTACCACTTCGCTACTGATATAAATTAACTCATCTGACAAATGGTAAAATTAACTTGAATATCCTAGAATAGATAATTCAATTGAGAAACAGGGCGAAGGTTCATGCAAAATGTAAGAAGCCCCTGTCCCCCCTCACGACTTACTGATGTTGTTAGGATCCTTGGGTTGACTGAACAGTCCACCCCCAGCAAGCAAGGGAAATACAATGCTGGCACGTGAACTCACGGGTACCTGAGTAGGTTGAAGTGACTTTCCCCTTTTACTATGTACAACAGGGGGTGATGGTGACGTTAATGAATCGATTTGAGGTACAGGTGTCGACAGAGGCGTTGTCTGACCCCTCGGTGAGCTCACTGGTACCGTCAGACCATCACCACAAGTACCTTCATCCCACATTCCAATTTAAGAAGAGAGACAATGACAATTGGCACGAGATAGCGAGCAATAGTGTCAAGTTGCAGTTGTTATTTACAGAAAATTGGCTGTTAGTTTACAATTTTCAGTGCACAATAACGAGAATACCATCAGCAAAAAGCTCTCGCCAGTTGGCAAAAGTCCGGGGTCAATAAAGTAATTGAAAAGTTTACCAAGTTGAATTGTCAGTATGATGAACATGAATTGATTTTTTTTCATGTCGAAATTGGGCAAATACCTGTCGATTTTTCCTGTCCAACTTTAATCTGCGTGTGCTTGTAAATGTGATCCGTGTGGATGAGCATGGCACACTCGTCAGTGACCTCTTGATCATCACCATCGCCAGCACTACCTTCACCGTCCGTCAGCAAATTCTCCTATTTTTTAAGCAAAGCCAAGAAGGAGAAAAACAATGTGATGGCGATACTGAGGTGAGCACTAATTAATGTTGTTTCAATGGTAATTAATAGGATTCAAGAACGACTCTTCCAGTTAATTGTAATGTTTCATTATTTAACTGAAGAAGTAAAATAATCTGCTGTTTAAATGATAATATGCGATCTTTAATCCTGTCAATCCCGAATCAACACTTCATCTTTCGATCCAAATTGCGTGATTAATGAAATGATAATGAGAAGTATCACTCCAATATCCCTGAGGTTTCTGTGAATTCAATGAAACTAAACACTCAACGAAAAATACTATTAAAACACTTATCTAATGTAACTAAACGCAGAGGCCCCTGTGCAAATGCTCACTTATACTAGATAATTTTGAGATGAAGCAAGCCCTCGTGAAGGCAAACTCAGTGTTGTTAAAATTTCGATACAGCCCCGACCAATTGTAAACAAAAATTAATGAATCTTACGCCTTCTCTTATCAATGGCATCCACCACTGGTTTTATTCCTACGGAGTGTCCCTACGAATTATTTTGTATTCAATTACTGTAATTATTCAGAGTAAAAGAGATCGTCTTCAATCCTCAACATCTAATTTTAAAATTGAAACAAAAATACTTAAAAACGGAAAAATCACGATGGAAGACGGTCCGTTCTACCCCACCACCTCCGACTTGCCAATAAAATCAAATAATGAAGAATAAAAAATAGTTTCTTACGTCATCAGGATCAGATACAGCGAACGTCACGTTGAGAGGCTTGACATGTTTAGTTTTGTAGTTGTGTTCCAGCAGAAGTGGAGTATAGAGAACATTTTTCCACTGTCTACTGAGAACGATGACCCCCTGCCTCAACGTCGACAAAAGTGGCAATTCATTTTCCCTCAGGTTATCGTCAATCGTCTGCAAGTCGCTCATCAAAACGTAGTGCTGTAGAATGGAGCAGAGCTGACAGGAAGGATCCTCCTGAAGAGTTTTAGCGAGTGGTGTGAGCCTGCCATATCTGCTCTTGATGGGCATGTGAATGCCCTGAACATCGAGAGCCTCAGCCATCAGACAAGCGACAATAGCAGTCGATCGTCTGTACATGCTCCTGAACATGTGAACAATCCTGATGGCAAATCTGTTGCTGGGGTTCATCCAGGCGTTGATGGCAGGTGAAGCAGTGCTGAGTAAATTCCAGTCCAACCGTGTGAAATCAATTTTTCTGGTGATTGGAGTTCTCGGTGGTGCTGCAAAATTGAACCAAATTGTCTTCAACTCAATGATACAAGAGACTGTGTTGCCATTGGCCATTTTGGTAACGAGACTTGTGGAATTGTTGGCTTGTTTTTTGTCCTCCTGCTCCTTCTTATCGTTTTTCGCGGTGTCCTCATCAGCTGCGGGGGTTGAGTCCTTCGTCTCGATCTCCTCGTGGCTCTTCACACTGTCAGTGTAAAAAATCTCAGTCTCATTTTTCTTCTCGCTCTGGCCATTCTCGCCCTTCTCAAACTGCGATCTCTTGACTACTTTCAACTTGATCCCCTCGAGGCCACACTCAAACATGATGAAGCCCAGTTTGTCCTCTCCACTGCCAACGGTGAACTCCTCAGTCGCCTGAGGAGGTCCTGACTGCTTGGTCTGCTTATCCCTGCTGCCGTCCTCAGAGGGTTGATGGAGATAGTAATCAATGCACTTTAAGGGCGATGAGATCCTGGTGCAGGTGAACAAGACTTTGGAGTAGTGGCCAGGAATAGCAGTGATAACAGCGTCTTTCAGGATCGACGACTCATTCCTGAGTCTCCTCAACTGCGAGTGAACCTTTCCAATGTTCAGGGTGATGATTATCTCCTCCTGCTGCTTCTCAGAGGTCTCAATGTAGACAGTCTCTCCAGCTCCAATGTCAGTGACCACAGCAGCCGATTGATGACCAGTCAAGAAAGCTTTGCTGATTTTGTTCACTTTCTTCTGATTCGGGAGGACTGCTGGCTTGTGGAACGTCTGCACGACTTCCCTCGCCTGTTTGTCGAGGTAAAACCGCGCTGTGACTTGATCCAGACAAATGGCAAATAAGGAGACACAAGTCAAGTCCCTGATGTTGTCGAGGGCCGAGAAGGATATGATCTCCTCGACGACCGAAGCCTGCAGCAGAGTTATGTTGATCTTCGGCAGGATTATGCTCCCCTGGACCTGCGTCGTGATGCTCTCCTCGTAGACGTTGGTCTGAAGAGCGATCTTACTCGTCTCATCACCCTGACCCATCTTGATGTTCCTCTCGGCGGTCGATCTCTTCGAACTCGTCTGCACTTGGCTCCAATACGACAAACTCTGATCTTGCTTCAGGATGTTGGCGTCCTCGACTCTGCCAATGCACTCGTTATGCAGGTGATTGAGAATGGTCAGGGAATGGAGATTGGCTAGAGTCGGGGTGAGGGCGTCGATGAACCTCTGGAGGGACTCCAGAACCATAGGACTCAACATGATGTCCGCGTCCCCCTTGAGTTTGACGATGACAGTTGTTCTGGATCCTGTCTCGTGCTGCACAGCGAGCAGCTCCTCCTCGTCCTTAGTCGTGTTATCCTCCTCGCTCTCTGATTGTATGAGAGCTGAGTTGTCCCAGAGGTAAGGATGGGTCGGGGTTTTATTGGAGGATCCTGCCAAGGGCGAGCCATCGCTCCTCGTCACCATCTTCAGCGAGGTGAAGCCCTCGCTGACAGTCTCGAATTTCGGGACGTACCTTCCCCCCACGTAGACAAGTCTCCCCTCTTCAGTCCTCTTGAACATTGGAGTTGTGAAGGCATCGCTGGCCGAGGGAAACGATGACTGATGCCAGTTGGAGCACTTGGTCTGGCTCAAATGGCTGACATAACTCGACATGAGTAATGGAGAGTCGACGATTGGCTTGTTCATCTGCATGTGGAGATTGACGAGTGTCATGTCCTCCTGGGAGGACACAGCTGAGATGAAACTGGAGGAGGACCCAGAGTGCGAGTCAGACGAGTCGTTCAGGATCTTTCGTTCACTGGGGCTTCCACTCTTCCCCTTCAACTCCCGGCTCTGGTGGACCTTCGGACTCTTCCTGGAGGTCGTGTGGGGCTTCGTTCTCTCCAGCGTGTGGGCCTTCTCGGTAACGGTGATATTCACGGCTGAACTCTCGACGATTGACAGATCGGAGGAGTATTTTTTCTTCGTACTGTCGTTTCTCACTAATGTCGGGCCAGCTGACGCTATTGATTGCCGAAGACTCGAGGTTCTGCTGCCAGCCAGACCGTGACTCGTGTCCTCATCAGCGGAGTAGAAAGCTTCTGAATGATTCTCCGAGGACATGGATATCGTCCTCTGGACTTCCTGCTTGAGTCTGTCTTCAGATTCTGATCTCGTGTAGAGGGAGTGCTGCGAGTCCGATGCGTTGACCCTGTCCGTGCTCTTGGCCATCGCCCCAGTCCTCAAGACTCTGAGGTCAGTCGTGACACTGGGAAGGGAGTGAGGGCTAGCACTCTGCTGGAGTAATTCGGTCTCTGTTGGCGAATTGAAATAGTCAACTGCCAATTTCGAGTCGGATGCACTGCTCTTCGGGCAGTTCTCCATCTCAGGAACATTCAGGATTGATTTACTTCGTTCTGAATTGAGTTTAGAGTCTGAATCGAGCTTCTGAGGGAGTTGGGTAGAGGGACTCGCGTCCACCAGTCTTGAGTACGGCACATCTCTCAGGTTCGAGCTTCTGATCGACGTGTAGGAGAAACGACGACTCAGGATCTTTCGATCGCCTGCCATTGGGCTTTCTGATGTTGTGCTCAACTTTGTGCTGTTGTTCTCCTCGTCTATTGCTGATGTTGAACGTTCTACACTGGGTTTTGAGGTCTGGGGGGTGTCCTGGAACACTGGTACTTTCAAACCTGATACTGGCTGAATTATGTCCTGGAGGGAGACGTCTTGGAGACTGTAAGGGGGTGTGTGAAAGACCAATTTGTCCTCGTGGAGGATTGACTGACCGAAACCCTTTTCTTTTCCCGAGTTGTGGAGTCTGTAATTGAAACATTGTTTTCATCTCGAAATGTTTCGTACCTCAACAGATCGACATGTCCTAATAAAACGAGGGATATCTCGAAATTCAGTAGCGAAGTGGTAAAAGGAGATAAGTCAATTTTGACTATTGACCAGTTTTCATTCAATATCTTGGAATCTAAGGGAGATAGCGAAATATTTGTTATTAGCTCTTTTGTGGAGCCGATTCAGTGCTACAACAAATGTCATTACGAAAATTTCGCTATCTCCCTCAGATTCCGAGATATTCATTGAAAACTGGTCAATAGTCAAAATTGACTTGTCTCCTTTTACCACTTTGCTACTGAATTCAATTCAGGGGTATCTCAAAATTCATGTGAAAGCTTGTTCACATTCATCTCGAAGTCTCATGGAGATTGCAAATAATTTTATTTCTCCTCCAGTGTGAACTATTTCATGTTATTTTTACTTTTTGATGCATTCATACCAGTTTTACAGCTGGCAAAAGGAGGAAAACGTGAGATTTCAGACCATTTTTCATGTGAATTTTGAGATACCCTTGTTCTAAAATAAAACTGCAATACTCTTGTTTCTTTAGGAAACTTCGAATTGACTAAACCCATTCATTTGTTTCCTGCCTTCTTAAAATCCCCTTGGTTTAACCCCCCAAAATTAATTCCTGACAAGCCATGGAAGTGGAAAAAAGTCTCGACAGAGATTACTTCGACTTTATCACTCGATCCCACGAGTATTACTCCAAACTCCCGGACGACGAGACGCGAAATTTGTGTGATAAGTGGTTGGTGAAGATCTTGGGCCAGAGGGTGGATGGAATTCGCGATAAACGTAATAGAAATATATTCATGATGCATCTGCTGACGCAAATGCACGCGGGCCAACTCACGGGGGTTTTCTCGAGTCCACCCGGTAGGGGAGACCTTCCGTCCTCGAAGAGGGTGTTTGACGGCGCGAGTGACGACGAGGGGGATGGAGAGGCCCAGGGGGCTGAGGCAGTCATTGGTAATTGGTAAAGAGCCAGGAAATGAAGAGAAGAACGAAGGATTCGTTCAAAAAATTGTTCACATAAAGTAATTGCATTATTCTTCAGCAGATGACATCAAAGAATTTTCTAATGAGAGATCAGCAGATGCTAGAATTTTCTCCGCCTTCCGGCATTTGCCGCACAATCGGGGGCTCTACGGGTTCATATCCCTGACCCTCGATCCGAAAGAGGAAGACAATTACGAAATAAATCCGTGCACGGTGGATGAGGCAGAGTTGGGGCACGCCAGGGCCATGCGGAGACTTCACAGAGGGAGTATCTTCACCTGCTCTGAACCCTCTGAACGTCAGATGGAGGATTTTTACTTGAATAATGTCGAACAAAAAATATCTGGGGATGTGTCCCAAATGTTCGAGGATCTGGCTGCCAGCTCAGAGCCTCAATGCTGGAAATCCCAGGAGCACTCCTTTCTCAAGGACTCGCTGAAGCAGATTGACAGGGAAATCAGGGGGGAAGTCAGTGGGGATCATAAGCTAGTGAGGTTTCTCGTGAGTCGATTGGGAGAGGATCTGAAGAGAGACCCCAAGATGAGGCATATAATGGATCTGCCACCGCAGCAGAGGCAACTGAGGATCTTGGAGATATTGCGACAGAAACTGGTGCTGAGGTAAAATCATGCCCCAAAAGTAATTAATTTCGAACATTTGTGGCCGTAATTTTCGTGACAATTCAGTAGCGAAGCGGTAAACTGGATCAAGTCGATTTTGGTTACTGACCAGTTTTTGACGAATATCTCGGAATCTAAAAGAGATAGAAAATTTTTGGTCATGACCTTTTTTGTAGAGACAATTGAGGGCTATAAAAAAGGTCATGAGAAAAATTTTGCCATCTCTCTTAGATTCGGAGATATTCATCAAGCCGATTTTGGTTACTGACCAGTTTTTGACGAATATCTCGGAATCTAAAAGAGATAGAAAATTTTTGGTCATGACCTTTTTTGTAGAGACAATTGAGGGCTATAAAAAAGATAATAAAAAAAATTTTGCCATCTCTCTTAGATTTCGAGATATTCATAAAAAATTGGCCATAAGTCAATGATCACTTCGCTCCTGAATTATTCTCTAATTGGGAAATTATGGGGAGTCATTTTAAAATAAGTTTCCTGCTCATAGAAAACAAGAAAGGAAGCAGAAAAAATTATTGACAAAGATGGAAGAGAGGATGATGCGGGACTGGGGCTGTTCCTGCAGAGAGGATGAGCATTCGAACCTCATGTGGACGATGGCAGTGACTCGACCGTTGAAGGAAACAACAATGAAAAGGCTTCGAGAGAACTATCCATCGGAGATAATACCAGTGTTTCTGGAGCTTCTGTCGAGCGATCGTCAAGCGATTCTGGAGAACGGCCTGGAACGTCAGCAGGATCTTGTCGAGAGCATGAGGGCCGAGGTCTATCGGGACATCCAAGCGCAAAAGGCTGCTTACAATAAAGCACGGGAGTCATACAGGTATCGATGTAAAAAATAAAAGAATCCACGTGAAAAGACATGCCTGAGATGAGGTTTTTATCGCGAACAGGGAGTGGAACGAAATTCTGTCGAATGTCGAAGAGATGATGTTCGAGGCTGGAACTGAAGACGGAGATAACATCGAGGAATCCACCCCAGATGGCTCGGAAAGTCTGCTGAAGGACATGATGGCCCAAATGAAGGAAACCGAACGATTGATAAATGATGAGGCTGACAGGGCCGACGAGATGACCTCGAAAATATACGAGATTAACTCGTGGAAGTTCTCCACCGAGGGAGACAAGTGCAAAGACTGGTCTTGGGAGGTGAAGCAAGAGGTGGAGAAACTCAAGATGAGTGTCTCTGAGTACGAGTCAATTATTCAAGGTCAGAAGCAGAGGATTGAGCACTTGAAATCTGGATTATTGTTGAAGTGAGAGGATTTGTAAAATTTATCAGATGAAAAATAATAGAAATTAAAGAGAATGAGAGTGATTGAATATTATTTCTATGAATTTTGCATCACAATCGATTAATTTTTAACCGCATTTTACCAAAAACGACCTTTTGAGTAGGAATCATCGATGATTTTAGAAATGACAGCGATTTTTTGAGAGCCAGTCTCGTAAACATTCTAAAAATGTAAATTAATCTGGGTTGTTATTGGAGTGAGAGGATTTGTAAAATTTATCAAATGAAAAATAATAGAAATTAAAGAGAATGAGAGTGATTGAACATTAATTCCATCAAGTTCGCATCCCATTCGATTAATTTTTAGCCGAAAATCATTAATATTTAGCCGCAATTTTGCAAAAACGACCTTCTGACGTAGTTATCACCGATGATTTTATAAATTATAAATGTAAATCAGCATGAATTATCATCGAATACTCACCGGTACGCAGCGATATTAATCCCATCCTGAAGATCATGATAAGTGGGTTTGAAGAACCTCGGTCCATTCCTGTTACCCCCGAAGAAGGCGCAGCCCCCAATGCAGCCGCACTTGGCCGGTTTCACCCCGCTCTCCTGCGGCCACAGAAACCACAGTCTCTTCGTCTTATCATCGTGAGTCTTCAGGTACTTGTTCTGCACCAGATGGAGATTGTGCTCAGGCGTGGGCAGCGAGATGGCAGCCTCGATGATGACTGGCCCGAGAGAAACCGATCCCACCTCGAGCCAAATATCCGAGCCATCCCCAGACATTCTGCTGCTGGTGTTCGTGTGAGACCTAGCACTCCCAGTGGTATTAGTGCCATTGGAACTGTTGTTAGCAAAGTGTCCACCAGCATAGACAAACTGTCTCATCAGAATCGTCGGCATGAGCCCCGTCACTCCTGATTTAACCTGATGTCCATGGAGATTGCAGGTGGAAATTCTGATTGGCGAGACCCACAGTTGAGTGGCAGTTCCAGCCTCCTGGAGATAGAGATCAATGGCATCAACAGCGACTCTAGTCATCCTGTACTTGATGTCCTCTGAGCTTGGACACCTGTAGTGACTGTCAGGGTCGCTCTCTGGGCACTGGAGTGGAGGCAGCCCATGGTGGCACTGATGGGGGAGTCCAGGGGGTCTCAGAATGTTCTCCTTATTCATGACCATGAGGACAAACGTCTCCAGGGAAGTGACTAAGTGATGAAGCTGGGGAGAAGTGATCTTCCCACTGAGTTTCCCCAACTGAACCTCGATCAGCCAGGCGTACTCCAGGGTCTCCTGATCCAGGCTTCGTCCCTCAGAGCTGAACATCGCATGCCCACGAACCTGAAGGGCAGACAGCATCAGGTGCCCCTGCGTCAGGTGTCTCTCCTTGCCTGATCTCACGACGTTGTCAGTCAGCAGCATGACAGCTGGCGACAGAAGCAGCTGGAGTTCAGTCTCCCTGAAGCCCTTCTTGAGCTCGAATCCGAATCTCTCGAGGAGAATGACAGGACAGGGTGGATCATTCTCGTTGCAATTCTTCACCAAGTGCCCCTGAATGTCGTGCATCGTAATCCCAACTGTCACTTCAATTGGTCGATAGTGCCTGGGGTCAAAGGGTTTAGGGGACTTTGTGTCTTCATCCTCGACAGATGCCTCCACAGAGCTGTTCTGATTGTCTCTGTCCTTGCTGTTTCTCTCTGAATTCTGAACTGGCCGACTCTGCTGCATGTCGGTGAAGGCCTGATAATCCCCGAAGATGTTCTCCTTCAAATGCAGAAAGTTCTTGATGAGGGATCCGTAGATGATCAGAGTCGATGGCCCGATCTCCAGTTCCAGGGAGACTTTGTCAGATGCTATCGACTGGGGATCGAACTTCTGACTTCCATCCTGGGTCCACTGAAGTCCTGGCGACTTCCTGCACCGGGGGATTCTCATTGGTGACAAGAGTATCTCTTCCTTCTCTGGGGTTGTTATGTTGGCTTGTGGTGTTGGACCCAGTGGAGGGCAGGGGTGGTAAGTGTAGTGAATGCTGATGGCAACGATGGGAACACTCCAGCAGTCGATCCAGCCGAGGCCCTTCTGGCAGACGTTCCTCCACTTCTTCTGCTTCGTCAAATCAGATAATTGCTTGCAGCTCCCATCCCTCGTCATGATTTTCGCATTCTTATCCAGTGCCAAGAGGATAATTCTGCTTGTATTGACTTCAGGTAGATACAGAGATAAATCAACACTCTCGCCTTGGATCCAAAAGCCCAGGGGAATGGTGACTGGGAGAAAATCAACAAAAGGCAGGCTGAATGAGAGTTCGAAGAAATCCCCACAAAATGCGATGTGAGAGTTCTCCTGATTCTGGGAGGAACAGTCGATCCAATTGTACTCATTACAAATAGTTATCAACTCAAACTCCTTCAGCAGAAGACTGAATTTCCAAGTGTAAGGGACGAAATGCAGAATGTCAGGTCTTGCTTTGCTCGCCCAGTCGTTGATCATGTCTTGAAAGAACTCTTTGTGTGAATAAACTAAATTCGCTGTTGCTTTGCATCCAGTTAAATTCAATGTCCACTCCTGATGATCATTCCATCTGATTGGATAATGACACTTGACTCCAAACTCCAGTGTTTCACTCTCAACGAGACTTCTGTATTGAAGGCTGGTGGTGGCCTCGAGGTGCAGCAATTGCCCAGTTATTTTGGTGGTGTAACCATCCTGAAGGACAATCCAGGGCATCGTCACCTCTAGATAAGAACCAGGTCCGACATTAACATGAACAGCATTGGTCTCCCTGTTCTTGCTGAACAAAATATCGACAGTTGCTTCGTTGAGAGTCGACAGCCTGATGTCAAAGGACTGGACCTGTCTCTTGTCCCCAGGAGAAGGGGCTTTGGTGACCTTCAGTGGCTGATAGTCATTGGGAAAAAAGAACTTGAAGAGATGCTCGCGTTGTCTGTCTGCCCAGGGCCCGTAGGAGAAGTCAGTCCCCTTCCCACACTTGACGTCAATCCCCCAGATGGGTGGCATTGCCTCCACCATGTCCCCATTGGCGAGCCTGATCATCTCAGGATGCTCAGGGACGACCCCAGGCTCGTCCATGTAGTAATAAACCTCCATGTTGTTGGAGCTCAGCACTACGAAGCCCTCCCCCATGTACCTGGGTGGATCATCAACCATCCCCGTGTACTTAGGCGAGGGTGCGAGGATGACTTTGAAGTTTTCAGCCTTGCATTTGGTGAAATGCATGAAGTGATCGTGTCTAGATGCTGCTGGCTTCGTTGAGTAAACAAAGTGAGCTTCTTCGACAGTCAACGACAGAGTTGTTGGGACCAGACGATTGCCAAAGACCAGTCTTCCAGTGCAGACATCCAGCTTTATAACTGGAATTAAATCCCTCCAGGTTCGGGCTATGACGTGGGCCTCCTGTTTCCTGATGTTCTCCACGTGCCTCGAGACGTCCATTGCGTTTATCTGCTGTCGGAATTCGTTGGCTGTGTTGTTTATGGACTCTGAGTCCTTCTCGTTGATGTTGTTGGCGTTGTGGTTGTCCTCGTCTGGGAACATCTGCGGGGACAGGCCGAATGTCTCCTCCAGGTGGGCGTAGAGTTCACATCTGTTGTAGACGTGGAGCTCGAAGCCATTCAGCAGGACTGAGAGTCTCGTGTCCGAGTGGGAGAGATCTTCAGAGACATCCTTAGGCACGTAACTCCTCCACCATCTGAATATCAACCAGCCGTCCTGGATCCTCAGGCTGTAGTCCGTTGTTATGTACACGATATCTCTGAACATTATTTTTCCACTCAGGGCGCTCAGAGTGAAGGCACCCACCTTCACGTAGCCGTCTCGGATTATGAAGCGATTGAGCAAACGTGTCAGGATGAAACCGATGACACGAGAGTTGTAGTACGTTATGTAGATCAACCAGGAGATCGCTGAGACTAACGAGCAGAGGAGGTAGATGAAGTTACTGTCCATTTTGAGGTCGTCCAGGATTACGTGGTCTGAGTAGTTCCAGTAGGAACTCGCTGGCTCCAGCCCCGAGAAGGAGGGGTGCGTGGCGTTCACGAAGTCCTCAGCCATTTTTCGAGTTTAAGTTCTTTTTGCTTAGAAGTTACGGGTCGAAGAGCTTTTCTCGCCTCTCATGTCTGCCTGAAATAATTGAAAAGTCATTGAAAGGTGTTTTTCACGAGGGTCCTCAATCGTCGATATCCTCTGACTGAGTGGAACTATTTGAATGAGTCAAATCTCGTTTTGAAGCTTAAAAAAATACCTTCAAAATGAGGAAATAATCGGGAATTTTCACTCTGGCGTTCTCAAGTTATTCGCGATCAAAGACGAACTGTTTCGTCGTAATCGTTCTTGATTCAGTGTTTTTGTAATTATCAGTCTATTTCTTCAGTTCGAGAACGAAAGATTGAGTGCACAATTACGTTTGTTTACCACTGCGACTGGGAGTAGCCGCGCGATGTCACCAATAATAAAAAAATGATGAGTGGATGACTAAGCCCAATGATTCGAGCGACATTATATCAGTCCCCCAGAGACTGATTGCGCGTGAATTCGCTGATTGTTCTTCGTGAATCGTCGATGGATTGATAAGTGACAGGTGATAATTGGCGGAGTTATGTGTACAGTAGCCCTAGGAGTGTGTGTTGGTGCTCTAAAAGCAGAATTTCGTACGAATTTTTCTATCTCACCTGTTCATTTCGCCCCCTATTATCGCACATTGTCGTCAGGACTCTTCCACTGTTGATGATTATTCCGTTGATTTATTGAGTTTGGACTCATGTCAAAGGACCATTGTCGCGTGCGAATGTTGTACCACGGACACTGTCATTTTTTCGCAGTTTTGCCGATCAACTCTACACAACTACAAATTCGCCATTGATTACAACGGAGTAGTCGTAAGCAGACAACTTCAGAGAGGTTTTCTGACTGCGTGAAGTTGGTTTTTGAATTAGGGGACGATGGGGTAAAATGGACACTACTTTTTTTCAAATGCTAATGACTTATTGAATTGTTAGGGAAGGGTGGGGTAAAACGGACACTTTAGATTTCTTTTTAATTATTCATAACTCAGGAACAAATTCATCAATTGAGCTCAGTTTAGGCTCGTCACAAAGGGAAAGAATTGTTCTTTGTATTGAAAAAATTATTAAATTTTATCAACATTTCAACCCCTCATTAACATTTTAAAAAAAGTCAAAAGTGGCATTTTTTTTTCAATAAAAAGGGCAATTCTCCCCCCTTGCGATGAGTCTAGACTGAACGCAATTGATAAATATATTTATGAGTTACGAATATTTTAAACAAAGGGAAGTGTCCATTTTACCCCACGCTCCCCTCCCCTAAAGATATCGAGATACTGAAGGAAAAAAAATTGAGGAGGAGAGGTAAGCATGCTCAAGGGAATTCCACAATGAACGTTTGAAATTGTTACGAACAATCATCCAACAGTTTTTTTTATCAATTTCATAAGTACAAACGTTGGGTTCATTAAGGAATCCCTTTTTGCCACCTCCAAATCCACTCTAGAATGCTCGAAAGATGCTTCAGTTCATTTATTGGTAAATGTAATTATTTATTCTCCAAATAAACGAAAAAAAAAAACGTAATGTTAATATTAAAAATTACGAAAAAGTTTCATTAAAACAAAACTATCTGTCTTGATTCATCGATTGATCAGCAAATATTTTGTCAAGTAGTTGTGCACAAGCTTGGGCTTCATCAACCGCTTCCTCGGCTCTTAAATCAGCCAGGTGACGCTCCAGGGTCTGCTTGAGGCAAAATTCAGGCCTCCGACACTCTCTCAAGGCAGGGAGATTGTTGTTGAGGGTGAGACTGTTCAGAATATCCAACAGGCGATCCCTAAAATCGAGAAAGAAATACGTATGACAGATTACCCTTGCTTATGTTTCATTTTTAATATTTCAAAATTGGTGATTACAAGCACGAAACACTTCAACAATGAAAGAATGTCAATCAAATAGTTAATTAAGTAATTAGTGCGAGTGGTGTGCCTTACCTCGTGTCAGGGAAGACATTCGACATTGATAATAACCCAGCAGCCTGATCAATCAATCCCATTTTAATCAAATTCGACCGAATTGCGTGTGCATTCTCTTTATTGCACAGTGCGGAGAGTAAAAATGCCGATTTAATCTGCAGTTTTTCCACTGGACTCTGGAGTGCTCTCATCAATACTGAATATCCATCATTAACGTCCATATATTTTAGAGCAAGTGCATTACCCCTGACAATGCCTAGAATAAAAATCAAGGGAATGAAGTATTCTATTGCATTCTATTTGTCTACTTCAAATGGCCAAAAATTTAATGGAATGCAGGGATAAAAAATGGATGAAAAAATAAGAGTTGCATGGAGTGCAATAATAAAAATTGAAATTTCAGTCAAGTTGACTCACAAGAAACAGCATAAAGTGACTTGATCCTCGCCTGATCCGAGGGATCAGAGTCGACCATTCCCAGCAGAATAGGCATGAGTCCCATCTCAAGAATTTTATTCTGACAGAACGGATTGTTCTGCGTCAACTCAGCTATTATGTCAGCGGCTTTCCACCTGATGGATGCATGAGGTGAGTTCAAGCATGGACCGAAGATGGAGAAGCCACCGATTTTGTAGAAGTCGTTTGCAATGTCTATACTGTCGACGTATTCAGCTATCACCTCCAGGGCATTTTCGTATTCACTTGGATCGTCCTCTGGACGAAGTTCCATTACATTTCTCAGGGTCTTTATCGACTTCTGGAGTTCTTCGACGACGTTCACTGTCAGGGATGCTAATGCCTCGTTCAGAAACTTTTTGCTCTTTAAATTAAGAAGACATCAGATTATGCGAAGGTTTTTATTCGTTATTGCGTGGGAATTACCACTGTTTCGCTTTGAAATTTATGAATTTGGGAGAATCATGCCCCAGGAATCCAGTATTCAATGAATTCTCCAGTAAAAATAAACATTTTACATGAAAATTTAGTACCTCTTCGTCCATCGGAGTGAAATGAGTGTTCTGAGGTGCATCTTCAGCCTTCGTAGCCTCCATTGCGAATCTCAGGAGGCCCTGGAGATTCTCAGGCTGTCTCGGTTGATTCTCCACTGGACGAATCGGCCCAGAAGCTCTTGCTGCCTCAATGGACAGAGGCCTGCTGCTGCTGGCATTCTCATTCTCTGGATTTTTATTCGATTCTTTATTTTCACTGAAAATAAATTAAATCATAAATATTTTCTAGCTGTATTTGGAGTCGTTGAGGCCTCGAATCCACCAAATATGGGTATCAAGGTGGCATCAGTCATGGGTGAAGGCGAAACAAACAGATCAAGGTCGACTCTTTAGATGACAATAACAAAATAAAATAAAGTTGTAAATTTCTTCGATTATTTATTAACCAATTTACCTGTTCATTGCGTTTTCTTTGTTTCTTCGTGACTGCGATGTTCCCATGAAAAAAAATCAGAACCTTTTAGCAATTTCCTAGCAGTTCATGACAGGGCGAATGATCTTTTAGGGCAGGTGGGGAATTTCAAACTATTACTCACAGATAAATAATTGAAGTAATCAATAATTACGTGGAGATGAATTTATTCTCTTGATATCAACACTATATTTTACTTTGTCTGCACGATTTACAACGATTTACTACTCGACATGTATTTTTGAGGTTCACTCGTTCATCATTGAAACTGAAGAAGTCTTGGAATCATCCACACGCAGCGCTGCAGGCAGTTGAAGTTGAAGTGTTGTGACAGGCATTGACATTTCGTGTTGTTTTGGAGCAAAAAGTGGAGTAGAATGCCTGCCCACGAGGATGATCCTTACGCCCAAGTGTCCAGGACTACTCTGAAACTAAAGAATGACGAAACTGTCAGCAAAAAGTGAGTGACACTCCAGATATTTGAGTATTGATGCATCAAGAAATTCTTATAGGTTAGAAGTTGTTGATGGCACAGTTTAATTCCAGCAATTAGTCAACAAATCAATAATTAACAATGATTTGATAATAATTAACGATGAATTATCATCTCAAACGTTTCACATTTCTTCCAGAAAAAAACGAAAACAAGAGAAGAAGAAAAAGCTGGTCGAGGTATCGAAAATCGTAGAAGAGGAGGAGCAGCCGAAGCACGTCGTCCAGAGGACAAAAGCAGAACTGGCGTTCTTGAAAATGCAGGAGAAAATGGTGACAATTATCTCTGTTAACATCGATCAATCACCCTGGAGGGTTTCATTGAATAAAAGAATAATAATGGATCGTTTGTCCACAGCAAACTGAGAGGATCAAGCAGAAGGCATCGAAGACCCATAAACAGAGGGTCGAGGAGTTCAACAGACACCTCGACAGCCTCACCGAGCACTTTGACATCCCCAAGGTCTCCTGGACGAAATAATCAACGCAATTTATCATTAATCTTTATTATTATCAATTTATTGCATTAGAGTATCTCGACGTTTATAAAATAATGAACATTAATTTCATTCTCAACGAGTTGATGATCGACAGATGTGTCTGCTCCCAATAAAAAAATTGTAAATATTCAACAAATAAAGTACAAAATATCTCGCAATATCTGTCATTTTGTGCTTCATGAGATTCAATATCCAAAGAACAATGTAAAAATATATGAATGTAAGGCACGGATATTTGAACATTTAAAAAACATCCCCATGAACAAGTCGCCTATAATTTCTACAAATGGACGGAATGAGTCAATCATCTTAAAGCCCGGGTGTACTATCTTTCGAATGTTATCTCGATGTTTTTTTTTATCTTTCGTTTTCTGAAATTGTCAATTGAGTGCTGCATCATGCAGAAGTTTTGAAAAATTATGAATGAATAATAAAAAAAAATTAGAAGAAATTCTTAATTTTTTTAAAGAGCTTTGTTAATATATATACAGAATAAGTTGAATAACAAGAAAGTGGCACAGAGACATTTATTACGAAAAAGGCTCTTTGAAAAAAGTTGTAATATTTTGGAGATTTTTTAATCACACTTTTATCCCATAAAAATGGCAAATGACTACATACCACTGTTTTGAACATAGCTGTCACTTCCCATGAGGAGTTAGTGTTTTGTTATCCGCCATGGAAAATGACAGCTAATAGATAATTTGCCACAGCTAATCAGATATTTGAAATTCCGCTTTTTTCAACTCATTCTGAATCTCAATTAAAAACGCTCTTTGAAAAAGTTCAGAATTTTTTCAATTTTTTAAAATCATTCTATCATAATTTTGGGGAACTTCTACATGATGTACCACTCAATTGACAATTTTGGATTACGAAAGATGAAAAAAATCTTGATAACATTCGAAAGATAGTACACCCGGGCGGGCCTTAATCCTAAATTCCCAATGGAATCCTAAAATGAAATGAACACTGCAGCACACGAGTTCACTGAGTTCAATGAGCCCAGAGGACGCCAATCACCCCCAAGAACAGTGAAGACGCCCCAATGCCCATTAATCCTGGACTGGAGTTGACTCCAAAGTGAAAGACAGTGATGCGGCTTTCGCTCTTCGCCCAAGGATTGCTGCCATCGTCGAAGTACATGGGGCACTGATCCCTCTCCCTCTCGTACTCAGTCATGTCGAGAGCGACAGCAGCCCCCTCAGTCCAGTTGCTGCTGGTGACGTCCTGATTGATATTGCAATAGGGCCCAAGTGCCTGAGACATGAGAACTCTGTTCAAATCAGCCCTCTGATAAACCCAGCAACGATACTTGCTGTAGGGATCCAACTCGTCGTAAGTGATCAAATAAGACTTGAGGTTCTCCTTCCAGAAGCCAATGCACTTCATCCTGTAGTCGGGCTCGCTGTAGATGTCCACAGGCCTCCCCAGGTGATCCACAGACAGACAGTAGTTCTCGTCGATAGCAATTTCCTTCTGGTCCCCCCCACAAACCGAGAAATCTGAGATATTCCTCTGGCAGATGAACGTCGGCCTCGGGGAGAGGGTCACTCCCCCCAGGATCCTCGTCTCGAAGGGAATCTCCCCCTTCTGCTCGAAACTGAACTTGCCAGCTACTGGACACCTCACGGCAACCGGACGCTTCGCCAGGAACAGATTGTACTTCCAATTCGGTGTCTTCTCGAAACTCACCCAGGAGCAGACAGTGTGAAAGTCATCCTTAATTACAGCCACCCCCTTCCTGAACCTGATGATATTGTGGTGCTGAGGGACAAAGTCGAAGCAGACGTAGTCCTTCTGGCAACCGTCCACTGACAACCTCGCCATCATGAACCTGGAGCAGGAATAGGCAAATTTAGACATTTATATCATGAGTAATTTAGTAATAAACACGGATCGGAGAAGGTTTCTTCTAACGGAAAAATCATTCATTAACTATATTCTGTTATTTTTCCCCGCACGAAGAGAAATATTCAATAAAAATTACGTAGCTTTTTCGTAATTCCGGAGCGAAATGTGGTTGTAGGAAATTTTACGGAACTAGCATGGAATTTTTCCGGAGCGTTCCGTAATTTTTATCTCAATCTCCTGTGAAAAATTACAATACCGTCACTTAAATTTTCTGAGTCGATTCCGTAATCGGTGAGTGAATTGTGAGTTCCGTAATTTTTACTGAACATTTCTCTCCGTGCATCAATTTTCACTACAGTTTATTTCAGTAGCGAAGTGGTAAATCGGTTTAAGTCGACTTATCTCCCAATTGAGTTTTTGAGGAATATTTCCGAATCTAACGAAGACTGCGAAATTTTCGTAATTACATTTGTTGTAGCTCTCAATCAGCTCTACAAAAAAGGTTATAACAAAAATTTTGCTATCTCCCTTACATTCCGAGATATTTATTAAAAACTGGTCAATAGTCAAAATTGACTTATACCGTTTTACCACTTCGCTACTGATTTAGTTTCAATTTTTTGAAACATGTAATTCTCAACCAATTTCACAACTTCAACATTTTTTCTGTCTAAAACCTGACGTGCTAGGGGAATTCTACAAAAATCGTTGAATTCGACATGAAAAAATCTGTAAGTGGAATTAATTTCATTTTTGGAGAAAAGCTTGGCCTTATTTTGTTGCACTGTGTAATCAGTAATATTTTTAGAATAATTTAGATAATATTCCCTGCTGATTCCTGACCTGGTATCCTTCTGCTCCTTGCAGACGTAGATGGTCCTCCTGTACCTGCCCACGTCAGGATGCCATTCCTCAGTGATATGTGTCTCGTTGATCATGATGTCTGCATCGATGTTGGCTGTGTTGATCCACTCACCGGACATGTTTTGAGGGAGTTTGCAGCCTGGAACAACGACCTCTGTCTTCACAGGAGTGATCCTCAGTCTCTCAGGACTCTTCTCCACTGTTTTCAAAGTGTTACATTCAGCAGTGATTGAGACACCGATGTAGAGGTCGTCGTCTCGATTCCTCAGGAAGCACCTGCATTGAGATAAGAAGATTAACAATGTAATGAACATTTATTTGCATTGTTCTAGTAGAAGCCAAAAAAATATCATAAATTGGAAAATAATATTCCTCCAATGGACGAATGTAATTTCAGACCATTCTGCATCATTTCCAAGCAAAATTAGAAAATGTGAAAATCGAACGATTGCAATGCTTCCATTCGGAAGCAAAACCGTATGAGGTGTTCCCTAATTATTCTGACGATTGATCACCTGTACTTCTCGTCCTTCCTGGATTCCTTGGTGTTGGCAACAGCAAAGAAGTGATTCTTCCCCACGAACCAGTCCCCCAGACAGCTGTACTCAACAGTTCCGTCGAATGTTCCCTTCATATTCGGACACTTCTTGTAGGTAATGTTGAATTTTTCGTTCGTTATCAAGAACTGAGACCCAGCAGTCTGACAGGACTTTATCTGTGCGTCAGGGTTGTCGCATTCACCAGTGAATCTGAACCTGTTCTGATAGGCAAATTGCCAGACACCCTCCAGGGACGATCGACAGTTGACGGACCTGTGCTTCTCGGAGAAGAGGGTGATGTACTGCTGGTCCTTGTGGATTCCACTGCAGACCTCGTCGATTCGGGGCTCAACTCCTGGTGGGAGGTCCACGCAGGAGGGCACCTCCAACTTCTCGAGGACGTTGATGGTGCGGACGATGAGCTTGACGCAGTGGTAACACGTGTCCTTCTGGAAGAGGAAGGTGTAATGGAGGCGTTTGTCTTCCCTCATAGCTATGCATTTGCCTCGGTTCGTCATGCGGTCGGCGTTCAGCTCGTTCAGGGTGTTCCTGCCGTTCTCCCAGGAGAACCAGGTGCCTTGGATCACCTCGGGAATCTGACAGCCACGAGGAGCGTCATCTTGAAGGGATCCGGGAACTGAAAGATGTCAGGGAATTGAGTTTAGACTGTTTGTAGAGAATTGATTGTTTGGAATTTTTTCGTGGGAGGAGTAGAGATGCGAAATGGCCGTCATTTTTGTGATTGTGTCATATGACCAAAAAATGACGGTCTTGTGACCACTTTATGACCGGTCACATGACGCCTTCGCATCTCTAGGGAGGACAGGGTTTAGATATTAATCATTAATTATATTTGAGTTCATTAATTGATAGATTAGGATGCACTTCGGATGATTGTTACTCTGAGATTTGAATTGATGAGGAGAATAGGAGGAAATCAAAGGGTTCGGAGTGTTTAGAATTTTGTATCATTTGGAGTAATTAATGTAAATAATTATGTTTAAAATAATTATTGGATTTATAAGATGATTAAGGGATTTATTTGTTGTTAATTATGGATGAGGAATAGGAGGCAATCAAAGGCCTTGGAGTGTTCAGAATTTTGTATTGTTTGGAGTAATTAATGTAGATAATTATGTTTGAAATAATTAATGGGATTATAAGATGATTAATGGATTTGTTTATTATTGTTAATTATGCATGACGAAAATGAAAGGAAATCAGAGTTTTTAGTTGTTGCGAAGAAAAGCGTTTGAGGAAGCTGAAATAGTTGATGATGTTTGAGGTAATTAACGACTGGGTTAGAAGCTTTAGACCTTTTGGAGCAGACGAGGTTAATTGTTTTCAACTACTCACCACTGATTAGCATAAAACTAAGGCACAAAACTAGTGACTTCACCACTTGCATCATTTTCCACTGTTTATTATGACCCAAAAACCATTTGAATCGATGGTTTTCCACTCGTTTCACACTAATTGCTCCGAAATATCGTGAATCCGTCACTGTGACTCAAACATAACGCGCAACGCCCCAACCCAACCCATTGTTTAAGCTAGGTTTTCATGAAATAGTATCGTTCCGTAGAAATGAAGAAACTTTGTGATCAAAACAGAAGTTGAGAAATTGAATAGTCTCACTCTTTAAATTAATTATTTAATTATGAATGATCATTTGAAGGACCCAGTGCTCTACGTCGGCGACATTGACGATAATATCGACCTGTCACAACCCCCAATGTCAGGGGAAGACTACATAAAACGTGTCGTGTAAGCCAGAATTTTTATTTCTTCCTCACAAAAATTATCATCTTTTAATTTAAACTATTGTTGATTTTTTGTCATATTTTAGAATTGAAGCACAACAATGTGAGGACGTCGTTGTGGCAAGGATCGACGAGGCCAGATTGAAAAAACCCACCGTCAATGTAAAAACTGTAATTACATTCCATCAATTGGTGAAAATTAATTCCACTTCTATATTAATTTTTTAATCTAGGGAGATGAATGCTTTCTACTTTTTTGGGAATGTCAAACACTCGTTGAACTGTTGATGAACTGGAATATTTTTATTTCCGTGAGAAGTGAAATTTCTCACCATTCTCAAGAGTCTAGACTGCTCTCAATCGATGAAATTGTTTTCGAGAATTTTTTTTTGTGGATAAAAAATATTCTGGGCCTAAAAAAGTTGAATCAACTCATTAATCTAATTTTTTAAATAGTTGGGAGGATGTATGGAGGCTCCAGCGACCCTCAGCCCGACGTACGAATGGCAAAAATGTCAGGTGGATGATTTTTCAGAGGTCAGGCTGAATATGTCAAGAATAAAAGCTGAAAGGGAGAATTATCGTCAGTACAGGAGACGAACAGTTGAATTTGTACGAAAATCCCATCATTATTCATCTGTGAAAGGTTCAATTTTCATTCGACAAAATTAATGATTTTATCTTCAGCCAGATGTTGACGACAGAACTGGCTGGGTGAACTTCTGTCTCGGTTCGTCCCTCGAGGGATCATCCCCTCACCTGCCAACACTGGATATCATCTTCTGTTTGAGTCAGCTCCAAGTGGAGCAAGTGTTGGAGTACCTGATTGAAGAGGTGGAGACCAGAGGAACAGTGGATCCTGATATAGGACAGTGGATTTACGGTCTTTTAGCTGTCTTGGAGCTGCCACTCAATCCAGACGTCTGCTCCTGCCTGAGGACGTTGGCGAGATCTTGCTCGATAGCCAGAGCAAATTTGGTACTTTAAATTTATGATTTATCAATTTTAACAAATCAAACAACACATTTTTTAGTGAATAAAATCATCTTCTGGTGTCATTTCTATCTTTTCAGAAGCCCGAAGAGTCTGAAAAGGTCAAGACCCTCAATTTATTCATCTGTTTGGTGGCCAGGTACTTCAGACAACTAGACTTAGCAGATCCATAATTAAAAAAACACCTCCAGACGAAATAAAAGCAATTAAAAACCCAAATTTCATAATCTAAAAAAAGTATTTATTATTCGTTATCATTTACAATTGATTAAATCACAAGAACAACCTCTGAATGACCCGAAGAATGTGAATTCTTCTGAATGAAGTGACGAAGGATTAATATTAAAATAGGAAAATTATACACCGTATTCTTAATCACCTAATAATTATTACATCAGTTATATTTTATCCTCAGGTGCTCATAATAACCGTTAAACGTCTCCTGGATCAGCCAATCGACTCCTGATCCTGAATGAGAGTCGTTGCTAATCTCTCAAGATCGTCGAAACTCAGATTATTAACTTTATTCCTTAAATCCTTTATCATCTCATTGACTATAGTCTCAGTCTCAGATTCACTGTAGTAGTGTTTGAGAATTTTTGTCACTGATTCCCGGAGGAGGACAGTGCCACTCTTGGTTGCTTGCTTCTCTTCACTCGGCCCTTGGGACGATTTCTTCACTACCAGGTTTAATTTACTTCCGTCCTTTATACCGGGGTAGAAACTCAGGGGATTTTCATCTGCAAAATGAGAAGAATTTTTTTTTTTTTTCATTTTCCGAGACATTCACGGAGCAATTGTCAACTAAATGAAGAGAAAATGACGAGAAGACGAATTTCGTGAAGAGTATTTTGTAAATATCTTCGGAGGGAGTAGGTTTACAGAAAAAAATGAAAAAATATTTTTAGTGGCGTATGAAATTCTCTACAAAAAAGCTCTTCTGATATTTTTCAGACAATCTGCCGTTTACTGACATATTTCCAAGGTTATTTACCCTCAGAAAATTCGACAGACTACTTCGAGCCAAATAAATGGAGATAATTATGTTCTACACACCAGCAAGGGCTTTTCCAGTCAACAACAGCTTCTGCTGAGGCACATCGACACCCAGCAGTTCACTGACTTTATTCTTCAGCTCTAGCACAGTCTCTGTAGGTGATATCTGACCCAAAAAACGTCGAAAAAACCAGTTGAATGAAAAAATAGTGAATAATTCGATTAATTTTCGACGGAAATTAAAATCTAGTGACCGAAATCAACTCACCTCCACCACACACTCTTTCCCCTGCAGTATCTTCACTAAAACCTTCATGATTAGTGTCCTCACGTACCCGATGCCCTCGCGAAATAAAATTCTTCGGTCAAAAAATCCTCACGTCAAATTTCAGAAGATAAACAATGGTACGTGGACAACGCTGATTTCTCCTCGTACATTTTAACTTTGAGGTTAATTTCCTCGAGGACTCTCACGGACGTATTCAAGGCTTCGCTGGGTGTGTATATATATATATATATATATATATAGATGTACAGATGCGAGTTTTGTGGAATTGCCGACCGGAAAAGACAAAATATAATAAGCATTGATCGTCGGTAAAATAGATATTCCATTGGACACGTTGACATTTTGGCGGTCTTTCGAACCGAACATATTTACAGGTTAGAAATTGTCGAAAACCGTCATCAACAAGTGATTTTTTTAGTGACAATTATGGAAGAAGATAAAGAAAATTCGAAAGTGGAGACGACTGAGGCCGAAAAATCGACGAGAATCACTCGTCGTGGGGATTTAACTCCCTTCTTCGAGAAGAGTGATCATAGCATTAATCAAATTCATCAAACCGAGGTGATTATGATGACTGCATTAATTAATTCCTTTTTTCCTTATTCTTTAAATCACCATTGATAAAGTCCCAAAGTTTAACCATTCCTTTGCTTTTCCAAAATCCTCTGAATTTAGCTTAGCCCCTCAATTCTTTCTTCCCTCTTTCATAATTAATAAATAACGCCGCTGGGTTTGCTCGACTGGTTTTCAATCTCCTCTGGAATAATCCCCAGGTCCCCCAGATCTGCAAAGACGAGCCCTGTCAGCTGGGAGTGGACGAGGCAGGAAGAGGTCCAGTCCTGGGTCCAATGGTCTACGGAATAGCCTACGCTCCCCTCTCGAAAAAGCAGCTCCTGGTGGACCTCGGCTGTGCAGACTCAAAGACCCTGACAGAGGAAAAACGAGACGAGATATTCGACAAGATCTGCGACAAGCACGAGGAGATGGGATGGATGGTGGAGGCCATTTCCCCGAATATAATCGCGAACAGCATGTACAGGAGGTCGAAGACTTCCCTGAACGAGGTGTCGATGAACTCAGCAATTGGCCTGATCAGACGAGCCATCGAGGCTGGGGCAAACATCGCAGAGGTCTACGTGGACACAGTGGGAAAGCCTGAGAAGTACGAGGCGAAGCTCAAGGCCATTTTCCCAGACATCGGGAAGATCGTTGTTGCCAAGAAGGCTGACTCGACGTACCCCATCGTCTCGGCTGCCAGCATCTGCGCCAAAGTCTCCAGGGATCACGCCCTCAGGGCCTGGAAGTTCAGGGAGGGATCGCCCAAGGGGGACTATGGCAGTGGATACCCCAACGATCCTGTCACCAAGAAGTGGATGAGCGAAAACGTCGATCCCATCTTTGGGTATCCGCAGATCGTCAGGTTCAGCTGGTCCACTGCCGAGACTATCGTGGCGGACAAGGCTGTTGAGGTCGAGTGGGAAAATGTTGATGATGATGATGTCAAGAGGGATGCCAAGGAGCAGAAAATCTCCAAGTTCTTTGCCAAGGTCGAGAGGGAGAGACACGAATTCTTTGTTGATCGATGCCTCAGTGCAACTTCTGAATTTTGATTGATTAATTATGTTTATTGATTTTTTGTTAAGGGCGCTACTGAAGTGTACAGGGAAATAACGGTTTAAATCATTAGATTAGGGTTTTATACAGATAACTGATTTTTGGGGATTTAAAGTGTGAACTAATTGATTGAATAAATGAATTGAATTTTTTAATTTGTGTGGAGTCTTTGGAGAAGTTGCAACTACTGAATTTTAATTGATTAATTATATTGATTTACTTTTTTGTAAATGTCTTTGCGTGTGAATTTTGAAGGGAAGTAATGGTCTAAATCATTGGATTAGTGTTTTATACAGATAATTGATTTTTGGGGATTTAAAAAATGAACTAATTTATTGAATAAATGAATTGATTTTTTTAAATTTTTGTGGAATCATTGGAGAGGTTTCCATTACTCAATTTTAATTAATTAATTTTATAGATTCCTTTGTGGAGATAATTATCAATGAATTTTGGGGGGAAATAATGTTTTAAAGCTTTCCATTCATGTTTTTCATGGAAAAATGTAATTTTTTAAAATGAATACTGAATTAACCGAATGAATGAATGAAAATAAGTCTTTTGAATCGTTGAATTTTGGCGGCAAATTCACCCACTCCGAAAATCAGCTGATCACCACGCACGGTGGAACAACTATTGAAGTATTGAACTCAACTGTCTGTTTACTCCAAAATCTTGTTTTTTTAATCAATAAAAAAATCCTAAAATGGGTAAAAAAGGGAGAGGAAAGCAGGGGGACCTCGGAAAAGCCCTCCTCCGAGATCGTTTCGGAGTAAATAGATCGAAACGTGGTGCTAAAGAAGGTTCACTGGTGAGGTTATGTCCCCCATGTGTCTGAAACAACCCCCAATCCCCCAAAAAAATTAAATCTCGTCTCCCCCCAAATCAACCCCAAAAATCCAAGGAATTGAATTCAGCAGTGAAGAGTTTTCGCGGAATATCTCCGAAACCAGCGGAGACAGCAAAATTCTTGTGACGACCTTTTTTCTAGCCCTCAATTCGCTCTACAAAAAAGGTCATAACAAAAATTTTGCTATCAGCCTTGGATTCCGAGATATTCACTACCCTGGTAAAATAGTCCGATTATTTCCGACCGGATGATAAAAATTAAATCGGCGTTAATGATATTTCTGTCTCTGCCCGTTAAATTCCGATTGGCTGGTAGGTAGAATTTGCAGTTTGATAAGATTATGAGAATTAATGGGAATAAGGGTATGTGGCCGTTATCGTCCGATTACTTTCCAAAAAAGTGGTTGATAGATCTCATGTGACTCATATAAATATTTAAATGAGCAGTAAATACTAAAGATTTACATGAGCAATATGAGATCTACCAACCACTTTTTTTAAAGTAATCGGACGATAACGGCCACATACCCCTGTTCCCATTAATTCTCATAATTTTCTCAAACTCCAAACTCTACCTGCCAGCCAATCGTAATTTAACGGGCAAAGACAGAAACATCATCAACGCCGATTCATTTTTATCACCCAGTCGGAAATAATCGGACTGTTTTACCAGGGATAAAAACGAGCCGTGAATTTCCTAATCTTCCCTTTCAGCTTCACACATCAGACATGAACGACGGTTACCAGTGGGATCGGCTCAACCTCTCGTCAGTAACGGAGGAGAGTTCCTTCCAGGAGTTCCTCTCGACAGCGCAGCTAGCAGGGACCGAGTTCCACGCTGAAAAGCTCAACATAAAATACGTGAATCCCCAGAGTGAAATAGGAATTCTGTCAGAATCCGAGCGATCAGCTCTGCTGGAGGTCCACAAGAGCAACCAGTCCCTGTTGAAGATCCCCAGGAGGCCGAGGTGGAACGCCCAGACGAGTGCCCACGAGCTCCAGACGAGGGAAAAAGAGGACTTCCTGGAGTGGAGGAGACAATTAGCTCTTCTCCAAGAGGCCCAGGAGCTCACGATGACCCCTTACGAGAAGAACCTGGAGTTCTGGAGGCAGCTCTGGAGGGTCGTAGAGAGGAGTGACATTGTCGTGCAGATCGTCGACGCGAGGAACCCCCTTTTATTTCGGTGTGAGGACCTGGAGAAGTACGTGAAGGAAATCGATGAGGATAAGAGGAACATCATTCTCGTGAACAAGGCGGACTTCTTAACGCTGGAGCAACGACAGGTCTGGGCTGACTATTTCACTGACGTAGGGGTGAGGATCGCGTTTTTCTCGGCCACCGAAGCCGCTGAGTCGATAAAATCCCAACTGCCTCCTGGGGAATTGGTTAAAAATAGGAAGAGAAGGAGCTCGAGGATCTCCGAGGGTCTCGGTGAAGACGTTGATGACGAAGAGGATGATGAGGAGGGTGAAGACGATGAAGATGATGATGAAGAGTCCTCTTATTGCTCTGATTTTGCCTCCAGCAGCGAGTACGAGAGTGCAACTGAGGATTTGTCAGACAGAAAGCCCCAGGAAGATGGGGAGAAAGGAGACGACGATGGGGGGTCGATGATTCTAGAGAGGAATTCCCCAGAGCTTTTGTGTCGAGACAGGCTCATAGAGTTTTTTAAAGCCATAGGGAAGGGGATGAAGAAGTACACTGAGGGGGTGACCACTGTGGGACTGGTGGGCTACCCAAACGTTGGCAAGAGCAGCACGATAAATGCCATTCTGATGGACAAAAAGGTGTCGGTGTCAGCGACTCCTGGCAAGACCAAGCACTTTCAGACTTTGTTTGTGGATAAGGAACTGCTGTTGTGTGATTGTCCTGGACTGGTGATGCCCAGTTTCGTGTGCACCAAGGCGGAGATGGTGCTGAATGGAATCCTGCCGATTGATCAGCTGAGGGACCATGTGCCCTCTGTCACCCTGCTGGCGAGGCTGATCCCCAGGCATGTCCTGGAGGACACTTATGGCATCATGATTCCTAAACCCATTGATGGGGAGGACCCCGAGAGGGCACCCACCGCTGAGGAGTTGTTGAATACTTATGGATGTGAGTGGAGCTCAATTCTTTTATTAATTTGTTCATAAAACTGGATTTTCAAAGACATTTCTAGAATAATCAATTTGAGAACAGAGAATTTGTCTTCAGAATGAAAATTTTGGGTTGATAATTTACAAATATCTCTGAATTTATTAGTTTTAGGGGAAAATGTGAGGAGAGCTTTTTTGTAGAGAATTTTGTAGCCCACAAATTCACATGTGTAGTAAACCCATCTGTGTAGCCCACAAAATTCTCTACAAAAAAGCTCTCCTCACATTTTCCCCTAAAACTCTGCAAAGAATTTTTTTAGAGAAAAATGTCAATAGAGCTTTTTTGTAGCCCACAAAATTCTCTACAAAAAAGGTCTATTGACATTTTTCTCTAAAAAAATTCTTTGCAGAGATATTATGTTATTAAAATTCATGAACGATTTGTTTATAAAACTGGATTTTCAAAGACATTTATTGAATAATAGATTTGAAAACAGAGAATTTGTCTTCAGAATAAAAATTTTGGGTTGATAATTTACAAATATCTCTGAATTTATTAATTTTAGGGGAAAATGTGAGAAGAGCTTTTTTGTAGCCCATAAAATTCTTTACAAAAAAGATCTTCTGATATTTTTCTCTAAAAAATTCCATTGCAGAGATATGATGGCATGAACACTCATGAAACTATTTTAATCTGCAGATAATCGAGGATTCATGACCCAAAATGGACAGCCCGACAACCCCAGATCAGCTCGTTACGTTCTCAAAGACTTTGTGAATGGAAAGCTCCTGTACCCGGTGGCCCCACCAACAATAAATCAAGGGGATTTCCACACATTCCCCCCACGACGCAAGTCCATCTCCGAGACGAGAGTCCTCCCCCCGAGGCAAATTCGGGCTAGTCGAGGGGTCACAGTAACCAATGAAGACCTGGACCGAAATTTCTTCCAAGCGAACAACAGTGGAGTTCACGTGAAAGGGCTCCCTGGATCAGCCAAGATAAACCCTGAGAATCTTGGGGCCAAGCCTTGGAAGAAGATGAACAAGCATGGGAACAAGAAGAAACGAGAGAAGACAAGAAGACTCTTCGCACATCTGGATCAGCACTAGAATAATTCCAAATGTTGATTAGTGGATATAAATATTTCTCTTTTGTACTCTAATGTATATATGGCTGAATAGTCAAGCCCTTTTCACTCTCTCACGGTTTTTTAATCCCATGAGAAAGAATTTCGCAATAAAGAAAATCAACTAGAGCTCGTTCTCCTTTTATTTAGTTATGCTTTTGTTCATTCTCAATTAATCATCGAGAGCTGATGCTGTTCATGTTACAGGCTCACGTTCTTTAATTCTATTTGGACGTATGTCCTCAGTTCATGACTTGAGAAATTAATTTTGCAGATTTCATGCAGTGGAACAGTTTCGTGAAATTAAAAAATTGTATGGGCCATTATCATGGTAAAATAGATGCTGTAATAACGCTGGAAGGAATTTCTCACTCCATATGAATCAAAATCTATGTAATGACGTCTTCATTATCGAATTTGTAAGACGAATGGGAAGGCATCGCAGATGCATGTCAGGACGAATTGAAGAACGTTCGCCCTTTTTACGATGTTATTCTCGTTAAATTCCTATTTACAATTATCAATGGATAATCATTCGTCCCTGTTCCTTGGCACTCGTCCTCTTTGTTTCATGATTCATAGTTCTGAGGCTACAAAATTCAATTAAAGATTGGTATTCTTGGTATTATCTCTTCTGATTATTCAGTAGAAGAGTATAGTGTGCAGCATGGGTCGTTGGAATTTCGTCGATTCAAATTCGTAGAGGAGGCTGTCGATGTCGTTGTCCAAGTCGTCAGAATTCGCCAACTGAAATGAATTTTTAAATTCCATTGAAAAGAATTGAATAATTAAATCTCCAGAGTGGCATAAAACGAGCTGTCTTCAATCGTCGATAACTCGAGAATGGCTGAGTGAAATTCCTCGATTTTTTTTTCGTTCTCGAGGTACTTTTTTCAGCTTTAAAAGGAGATGTGACTCGTTTGAATCGCATCATTTGTTCAGGAGATAGCCAGGATTAAAGACGACTCGATTTACACCACTCTCCTGATTTGTGCTTCCCATTCTGTTTTATTATCTTTTCTTTATACAATACCGTTGTTACTAATTCACAAATGAGAAAGGATCCAACTGTTGCTTCTTCGTGATTATCCTGGATGTCGATATTGATCAGGTGGACTGGCTGATTGTCCACAGGCGTTCTGGACTCCATGTACTCGATCACTTGATCGTAAACGCGTTCCTCACACGTCACCAGGAGGTCGAATTTATCTTTGCTGAGTTGAAAACGCTCGGGCCTCGGTTTTATCCGACGATTACGGTCTAACATGTGTAGTAAACCCATCTGTGTGTATCTGAATGGTTTTTTCGAGTCAAGAAAAAAATATGAGGCTTCGGAAATTTTTTTGTCGGTTTGTAATCTTTGAAAATTGATGACGTTAGGATATACAATTCGTTTCAGAATTTTACAATTATTTTATTATTAAAATTGGAGCTATTTATTTAATTTGTACGGAATGTTTTAAAAAAATCAATCAATTTTTTGGGAAAAGTAACTGTGTCCATACAAAACTGTGAAAAGTCCTTGGATATTCTCAATATTTACTGAAAAATGAAATTATGGATTAAATCAGTGAAGAGGTAAAAAGATTATTTCAGGAAAATTTTTTGAAGAAAGATTTAGGGAAAAATGTTGAGATTTTTTGTGAAGAATTGATGTGTCTTCTGCAGAGAAAATCTCTCAACTTTTATTTCTAAACCTCGTAGTTTCCAAAATATTATCGAAATGGTCAGATTTTTTTTGAGTCATCTCTTTTGCAGATATCTTCCAAAGGAAGGATTTTAGCAAAATATGTCAAAAGACATTTTTTGTAGGAAATTTGCTCCCCTACAAAAAGTTCTTCTGGTATTTTTGTTAAAATCCAGAAGTTTTCGAGATATTTGCAGACTTATATCTGAAATTTTTGTTGTAGCTTTTAAAAGTTCAACTTTTCCTTTTCTTTTTGATTTCCACTTTTTTGTATAACATTTCCCTTTCCCAAAAAAAACTCCTGACATTTTTCTTTAAATCCAGCAATTTTCAAGATTAGCAAAAAGTTCAATTAATTTCAATTGTTTAACCCGACGAATTTACAATAAAAATATATTTTCACGTAGTTAAGGATACAATTGCTTATCTTTGGCTAACAAATCATTATAGATTTCGTCATAAGTAGTGCCAAAATCATAGATATTGGGTCTGTCAGGACCACTCCCTGGCAGTTTCACTTTGTCTCCCGTCCCGAACGACTGGACATTGAACCCCTTTTTGCTAAAAAAAATCCAAAAACCAAAGAAATAAATAAACAGCCCCCGAGAGCGTCCCCCAACTCCCCGAACGATCGTCCACCTCCCGAAGAATGATTTTACCTCAGGAAGGCATGTGCCTCCATGCTCCTATTCATGTTACTAGAACATATGACAGCGACGCTCAAGGACTTCGACGAGGGCATTATTCCGATAAAAACAACAAATTCACGTGAATAATCCCCCGGAATAAAAATACAATACCTAGATATTCCTACAATTAACGTAAAAAATATGTTTCGTCCGTTCAAGGTTGCGATTAACCTTCAAATAGTCTCTCCAATATGAGATTAAAATCAATTAAAAAATCCAGTCAATCGATTTATTTATTCAATCGAAATAAAAACTAAAGTTAACTGTGCGAGTGAAGTTCGGAATAAATACAATTCTTATTATTTTATAATACAATATCCCTATTTTTTCTCCCCCACGGAAAGAATTGTTTTCATTTCACCCATCACCAAAAAGATGTCTCCTGCGCATGCGCAGAATGTTGGAGGTTTCCTATTTACTAAAGAAAGAAACGTGAAGTTGTTTTATATCGAAATATCTCGAAACTGCCTGACCGCTAACCTCAATTCTGATTGGTCAATGAGTCACGTAAAGTAGTCGCTGAAAAAAATCCCCGGGATTTTCAAATTCTTTCACATTTTTCATTTTTTCATGTGTGAAGTTTGTCTTTATATCAAAACATATCTAAATTTTCTGACTATTGATCATGAGAAACAAAACAGTATTTCTACATTTTTTTAACTCGCAAAGTATTCTGCACTTCCCCAATTTTAATTTTTTCATATTTATCATACGCAAAAATTATCAATTCTTGCTTCTCAGATTTTCATACATAAATTCTAAACTCTACAAATTCATGAAAATTCTTCGGTATCCCAAATAATTTGAGAAAAATCTTTGAAGATCTACGGTTATCTGGAAAATTGTGAAATTTTCCGAAGAATTCAACAACTTTTTTCAGTTTTCTAGAAAATCAATTTATAACCCTCCCCTCATTTTTCAACCATTACAGATTTTAATCAGATTATTTTAAAACGTAAAAAAAAGGATTAATCGAAGATTAAAAATTATTCATTGATGTTTCCCTCTTCCTTCTCTTAATTCTCTTCAAGTCATTATCAATATTTATAAAACATCTATGAGTATATGAAGTTTAATAAATTCGATTTCTTCATTTTCACAAAACAAATAGATAAGCGCGCGCGCACAGATCTAGTCTCCTATTTACTAAAGATGAACGAAACGTGAAGTTGTTTTATATCGAAATATCTCGAAACTGCCTGACCGCTAACCTCAATTCTGATTGGTCAATGAGTCACGTAAAGTAGTCGCTGAAAAAAATCCCCGGGATTTTCAAATTCTTTCACATTTTTCATTTTTTCATGTGTGAAGTTTGTCTTTATATCAAAACATATCTAAATTTTCTGACTATTGATCATGAGAAACAAAACAGTATTTCTACATTTTTTTAACTCGCAAAGTATTCTGCACTTCCCCAATTTTAATTTTTTCATATTTATCATACGCAAAAATTATCAATTCTTGCTTCTCAGATTTTCATACATAAATTCTAAACTCTACAAATTCATGAAAATTCTTCGGTATCCCAAATAATTTGAGAAAAATCTTTGAAGATCTACGGTTATCTGGAAAATTGTGAAATTTTCCGAAGAATTCAACAACTTTTTTCAGTTTTCTAGAAAATCAATTTATAACCCTCCCCTCATTTTTCAACCATTACAGATTTTAATCAGATTATTTTAAAACGTAAAAAAAGGAATTAATCGAAGATTAAAAATTATTCATTGATGTTTCCCTCTTCCTTCTCTTAATTCTCTTCAAGTCATTATCAATATTTATAAAACATCTATGAGTATATGAAGTTTAATAAATTCGATTTCTTCATTTTCACACAACAAATAGATAAGCGCGCGCGCACAGTCTCTAGTCTCCTATTTACTAAAGATGAACGAAACGTGAACTTGTTTTATATCGAAATATCTCGAAACTGCCTGACCGCAGTCTCGAGATATTTCGATAAGAGTGATTGGGGGGCGGTGGTCGGGGGGGTTGCGATGAAAACTCAGTCTTGCAGCAGGCCGATAACGCAGAAATTCCACTGTGTCCATTCTTCACACTGACTCAATGGGCACAGTAGTTCTCTACAATCGTGCCTAGCGACTGTAGTTCCACGCGGTTAGGTGTGCCTAAACGGACACCCATCCAAGCACTGGGCAGACGAACGCTGTTTAGCCTGGATGACCGCCGGAGCCACACACTCCTCGCGTGACCACTACAGCCACTTAATTATCATATTATTTTAAATAATTGATTTTTCAGTTTTATAATTATTATATTTTATTATTAAACATCAATTATTATTCCTGTTATATATATATACCTGAATTGTGCATGTCTCGTAAAATAAACAATAAATAAAAAGGATCGGGTTCTTGAAATAACAACAATCATATTTCCCATACAAAACATAGCGATTTTATTCTACAAATAATGGGATAATTTTTTACTCGACTTTTTGTTTCTCTTGTTTCTTTTTTTGCATCTCATAATTCCTTTTTTTTTCATCATTTTTTTCATGTTCTTTTTTTTTGAAAATTTGCGTACAGATTCATGACTTATCATTATAATAGTACATAATCTATCTCATGATGCGTAATTAACACAATTAAAATTCATCGCATCTTAAAATTATCACTATTGTTTTGTTATTTTCATGTCTTCATACGGATCATCGAAAAGGAGAGAAAAAAAAATTTATTATTTTTTTTGTTACAATTATTAATAACAAATATAACACTCATATTAATGTCGATGTGTCCACGACCCGTTGAAATATTGTAAATAATTTTAATTGATGATGCGGGTGTGTAAACAACCATCGGTGCATTTCTGGCACATGTGCCAAGGGTACATTCACACATTGAGTGAATGATTGTGTGACTATTTATGATAGCTGGTGAATATCGTCATGAACGATGCTGCTATCGACGCCAACTTCGTGGCTCACCATCCTCGTCCTCCTCCTCCTCGTTCTCCTCGAGAAGAAGGGCTTCGGCTGTTCCCTGAGGTTATAAAACATTATTGTTTAAATGTATCTCTCACTAAATACAAAAAAAGTTCTCCAAATCGTTACTCCCCCCCAAAAAAATTACATTCACTTCCTTTCCCATTATTTCTTTGCAAAGTTCAATAATAAAGGATTTTTTTTTGTATTTTAGCTTACCTCTAGATCAACATCATCATCGATCACTTGTGCCTGTTCAGACCGAGCAGATGCCGCATTAGAGTTAGCCCCGGCGCTCAAACTGCCCCCACCACGATGGAGATGATGCCCCGACACCCAGGTGACTGACAGTAATCTGTCTTGAAAGGTTCGACCCTTCAGCATTGCCACTTCAGCCTCCTTCCGGGATTTATAAGTGATCATTACTGAGGGGGTCGCGTCGTCCACAATCTGATTGATGATCTCACCATATTGCTGTAAATAACCCAATTTTTAAAATCTCATTTTGAGGACGTTTTGAGTCGAAGATCTTTATAATCAAGAGTCAAATGATTTTGAGGGTTGAAAAAATTCCAGAACGTTTGGAGTTGAGGGTCAAAAAGTTTCCATAAACTCATACAATTAAGGCAGCCAAAAAACCAGATGAATGGACATTCGAAGAATCCTATGGGACCAAGATAATTAACTCACCTGAAAATGCGCAAGAACCTCCCCCTTCTCTTCGCTCTCATACCCGGATATGAGTAGCCCCGTGGGCCTGTGATCCACCGAGACATGAGCAAAGCTTCCTCTTCCCCGCCCCCTGTAAGCAGCAGTCTGTCCGCCCCTGACAACCCTGGGCACCTTGATGCCCCTCCCCACAGCAGTGGATGTGCTCAATCCAAGCGCAGCCGCCTGTGCCCTGAGTTCATTGAGCCTCTTCTGAAGCTCCGCCGAGTCCTGTCCCTCCTGCTGTGCAGTCATCAGATCCAACTCGGCGTCCAGTATCTCCTTCTGCGTCTGCTCCCTCGACTTTGGCTGACTCTTAGTCGTCCCTGACTGCCCATTAGTCGCCAGATCCTTTCGCAGTTGATCGATCGACTGCTGCAGATGCTTTATCGTCCCCATGATTGCCTCCTTCTGCTCTGGATTCTTCTCCGCCTTCTCTATCAATGATCTTATCTCGATGAGGTTCTTGTCGAGGAGCTCCTGCTTTCTTTTTCGGAGGTCTGCTGTTATTTTGATGGCCTCTTTGCGCTTCTCCTCTTGCTTCTTCTTGAGGGTCTCTTTGGCGGCGAGAATCTCCTGGGTCTTCTTTATCGCCAGCACTCGGTCCTCGCGGGTGGGAGGGGGTGGAGCAGTTGACTGGGTCCTCTGGACTGGGGGCACCAGGCTCTGGGACACCTGGGGCTGCGGCTGGGGCGCCGGGGGCGTCTGCGAGCTTTCCTCTGTTGGACGACGGGTTGGAACGTACTCCGTGTCCTCAGACTTCACTGGGAGGGGCACTGCTGCACCCAGACGCTCTTTTACGGAGGGTCGACAACCTGCTGGGGTTATTGGAGGTTCATTACATTTTTTGGCGGCGTTCGAGGGTCAAACAACACTTGAAAACATTTTGACAGGGATTTGAAGTCTATTCGTTAATATCACTCTTAAATTTTTAATTATTGAAGTAATCATCAATGTGAATATTCAAATTATATATTATTTTATTAATCAATAATTTAGGTAGGAAGATTGACGATTATTTGGTTCATCGAAAATCATTTTTACGAAATCAGTATTATTTACTTAATGGAAAATTTACAGTTCCATGGTTATTTAATTCATCATCAATCGAAAATTTAGATTATCAATTATTTTACTATCTTCATTTTCGATGAGTGTATTTCAGTAGCGAAGTGGTAAAACGGTACAAGTCAATTTTGACTATTGAGCAGTTTTCAATGAATATCTCGGAATCTAAGGGAGATAGCAAAATTGTTGTCATAACCTTTTATGTAGAGCCGATTAAGTGCTATAACAAACGCTATTACGAAAATTTCGCTATCTCCCTTAGATTCGGAAATATTCCTCAAAAACTCAACTGAGCGATAAGTCGACTTAAACATTTTCAAGGGCTGTTTACCCCTCAACAAAAATAAAGATAACTTTTCCTTGGGGAAGTTAAAAAACAGTTTCCCGAACTGTTTAAGTACTCTTTTTTACTGCTCTTTAATAGAAAGAATAGTGAACTTCATATAATAAAAAACAATAAAAAAAGTTGAAATAAAATATATTCACCTGGTGGAACATTTTCAATGGCACCTCCAGCGGAATTATTGGTAACATTATTATGCCAGAACACCTTGATAAAACGATTATTCAACACAGCCTCGGTGCTCCGGTACGCAGCCTTCGCCTCAGTGGGCAATTGAAATGTAACGAGAGCGGCCTCTGGATCGCCGCCAAAATTCACTTGTATATTTACAATTTTTCCAAACTTGGAGAAGTGATTGTTCAGTTGGGTTATGTTATTGAGAACACGAGGTACTTTTTTCAACTCTAGGGAACAATTAGCTGGATTGTGCACAGCTCGTTGCTTCGGCCCAAGACGATTGAAGTCAAATGTCTGCTTGCGCTTGAGGGGATTGGTCTGGGGATGAGTTATCTCTGGTGGATTTGCATGGGGTATCACTGGTACACTTATCAATTCACGCTGGCCACGACCGTAGATACCTGGCGCTGATGGGGGATGCCTACCCCAGGGGAGACGTGGCTCCATGCTCGGGGCGTCTGGATTGTATTCTGCAAAAGAGCGTGAATACAGATCTAATTTACTTCCTCGTGACGACTTTTCGGTGCGATTATAATTTTTTTTAATCAATTGAGGAGTAAATGGCCGGGAGGGTTAAATGACTGAGGACATTTGGAGTTCAGTTTTGAGGGTCAAATGGTTTCGAAGGTCCAGCGACCCTTTCTGAACCTCCAGACCATTTGACTCTATCAAAAACCAAAAAAAAAATCTGAATTGTGGTTAATAGTCGTTTTTTAAATGATTAAGGCCCGGGTGTACTATCTTTCGAATGTTATCTGGATTTCTTTTATCTTTCGTAATCCAAAATTGTTAATTGAGTGGTACATCATGTAGAAATTCCCAAAAATTATTATAGAATGATTAAAAAAAATAGAAAAAATTCGGAACTTTTTCAAAGAGCGTTTTTAATTGAGATTCAGAATGAGCTGAAAAAGTGAAAATTACAAATATCTGATTCACTGTGGCAAAATATCTATTAGCTGTCATTTTCCATGGTGGATAACAAAACACCAACTCCTCATGGAAAGTGACAGCTAGATATCTCAATTTTCAAAACAGTAGTATGTAGTCATCTGCCATTTTCATGTGATAAACCTGTGATTACAAAATTCTCCGAAATATTAAAACTTTTTTCAAAGAGCCTTTTCCGTAATAAATGTCTCTGTGCAGTGTGGGAAAAGATTTACGAAATCAGTCTTCCCCCCGCATGATATTGGGTGACAGGCCGCCATTTGTCACCGTAAATCAGATACATTTTTCAATTTCTTGCTATTCAACTTATTCTGAATATAAATCAAAAATGCTCTTTGAAAAAATTAAGAATTTTTTCTACTTTTTTTTGATTATTCATTCATAATTTTTCAAAACTGCATGATGCAAGACTTAATTGACAATTTCAGATGACGAAAGACGAAAAAAAAACATCGAGATAAAGTTCGAAAGATAGTACACCCGGGCCTTAAAGTGATATTCTCTTTACCCATATTGGAGTGATGTTGATTTCTCAAATGAGGTGGTGGTAAACTGGCCAGTGGTAAATGAGGGGGTGGAGCATTGCCATTGTGTCCAGGTGGTGCCTCCTGAACAGCAGCAACTGGCACTGTACTGGGTGCTTGTGCCCCATGGGGTCCAAACGTCAACACTCTGCTGAGAGCCACGTCCTCCAGGACAACAGGATCAGTTCCATGATCGTAAGGGCACAAATCCCCTCGCATGCAGTAGCCCTTCTCGTCGAAATCACGACAGCGTCTTTTTCCCTGGAATCCTGTACTGTTGTTGGGAGCAGTGGATGCCACTGCCACGACACTCTGGATCGACTGACTAGTCGTTGACAGTCTCATGTCGATGTCACCGTGATTGCTGTCCTGGGTGGGGGTACCCCCTGGACTGGCGTCCAAACGCTCCAGTCTCGTTGGCTCTGCAGGCCTCTCGGATCTCTCGGTCTTCTTGGGCTCGAGGGATCTGGAGCGAGACCTGGAGCGCAGGGGCGTTGGCGAACGATTTCTGAATCTTGCCCTGTGGTCTCGGGGCTCCGGGTTCTCACGGGTGCGGGAACGCAGGGGAGATATACTTCTACTCCTGCTCCGTCTGGAATTGAAAATTGATGAGGGTGAGAGAAGGGAAGTTTGAGAATTATTCTTCACTCATTGAACTGCTAATAAAAATTAGATAATTCTTTTTCAATGGAAAAGACGATTAATGGCGAGCCTTAATTACGTTCAGGTCAGGTTTAAAGGACCCTTTCAACTCTCAAAACCATTTGCCCTCAACTAAAAGCAAAAAAATTTTCTGAAATGTTTTTAAGTGGAGATTCATTATCATTCTATGTAAAATTCATTTCTTGCATTTGAATTTTTAATTCCAGTCCTCGTTTTGCATTAAAAAATATCAATTCATGAACCAACTACATCTAGATCCACTACATAGCGCATTCTTCCCCTTTATGAAGACCTCAGACTCAAGTCAATTGACAATTTCGTTCTTGAGTCATGAATATTAAAAAAATAAAATAAAGTATTCGTTTTTCACCTTCTCTCGTGCCTCCTCACACTCGACGGAGGTGACTTGTTCCTCCAGGGTCGACTCCTGTCCCTCTCCCTGTCCCTCCTGATGTGCTCACGACTCCTAGACCTCCTTCGGTCCCTCTCCCACGACCTAGACCTCGATCTCGTCCTCGATCTCATCCTCCCCCGACTCCTGGGTCTCTTCTCCTTCTCCTTGTCATCCTTTTCGGAATCCGACTTTCTCGATTCACGTTTACTACTGACTGCCACCACTGCTGCACCATTCACCTGTGGCAGAGGTGGACTCGATGCTGCTGGTGGATTCTGAGGCACTGGCGCCTCCATTGGCTCAGGTTGTACCATTGGTGCTGGGAGATTCACACTCGGTGGTGTTCTGCTCCTCGGTGGGTCACTTCTGGGTGCTGGGAGAACGTAGTTCTGGGTCTCTAGTGTCTTGAACAACAGCTCCACGAAATTTTGGGTCTCTGCAACGATAAAGCGCATTATACACTTGAAAGAATGAATTCTTCGTGGTTTTTTGGGATTAAAGTTTTATGCAAATTGGGAGAAATCATCCAGAAACTTATTCAATTGGACAATGAGAAAAAGACATTTTTGCCAAATGTTCAAGCATTTCGGAGAAGCATTCATTTTTTCAAAATCGGATTTCTCCAATCGAAGCACTCCCAGACGAGCCTGATTAGTTTTCAATTATGACAATCATGTTGCTCCAGAAGATGACTGTGTTGAACATGACCTTGGATGAACTTCTCCAATGATTTTTCATTTTTCCTAAATTTCTTATTTTCTACAGGGGAGGTTGGGGTAAAATGGACACTTTTGATTTTTTTTTCATGTTAATTAGGGGTTGAAATGTTGATAAAATTCAATTTTTTTTTTCAATACAAAGAACAATTCTTTCCCTTTGTGGCGAGCCTAAACTGAGCTCAATTAATAAATTTGTTTCTGAGTTATGAATAATTTTAAAAAGTCTAAAGTGTCCATTTTACCCCACCCTCCCCTAGTGCAAGAATATCAATTAATTTTTTAATGTTTATAATTATTGACGGGAGTTCACGCAAGTTTTTACCCACTGAAAAAATAAATACTTCTCCCAAGAAAATAATTTTTTTCCCAGTTTATTGACTCATCGAAAGTTAGAACAATTCCCTCAATTTTAAAGTCAATGTCTCACGAATATCTTGAAACCTGCAGTGAATATCGAAATTTCCATTCAGACATTTATTGTGCAGAACTTGAAGAGCCACAAAAAATGTCTGGACAAAAAAGTCGCCATCTCCTTGGAATTTCCAGTTATTCCTCAATCCCCCCAAAACCCCTGACCCCTGAATACTCACCATCTTGTAGGAACACATCAAGCTGCTGCACCATGCACCCACTGAGCTCCTCCAATGTCTTGTCCTTCCTCACCAGGGCATAAACATACTTGGCAAGAGCCGCTGGATCCGCATCACACCTAATCCCCAACAAATCACCAGAACTCGATTACTCCTCATTTCCCATTCCCATCCCCATCGCCTGCTCATCAACTGCAGACCCCATCCCCCCAGATCCGCTCCAAAACAACAGACATGGGTCCAAAAGGGCGCAATTACCCCGAATTTCCCGGAAAAATCAGCGTAACACGAAGAGTGAGAGAGAAACAGAAAGTTAAAAACAAGATAATGAGATTAACCCCCAGATTTTGAGGTTTTTGGAGTTCCCACAGTCGCCTCCATATGCTCCACCATCAGCAGAGTCATCACCCTGGGGTATAAATACAATGCCACACGCCGAGAAAGCCCCGATCACCTCCACAAGGCACATGTACCCTCAATTAACCACTAATCAGTCCCCAAAGAAGAATAAAACGAGAGAGATAACAAATGCACAGGAGTAATACACATGCTGGCCTACTTACAGTGGTTCCAAAACTGCTGTTAACCAAGCTTTGAACTGATCTGGATTATCTATTATCATTGTACAATTTATTTAGTTTATTGTTAACATATGATGTTGTAAATTCAACGTCACTATTTGTCACGTTATGGGGGCGGGAATATAAGTACTTGGTCTACATGGACTGTGTAAAGATAGTCGCCATTCTGGATTATTATTCCCCCGCTGAGGTTACTACCAACTGCGGGGTGGGAGGTGGGGGTTTCTAGAATGTACCGTAATGGCAGCGCTGGAGGTCGAGCGGGGAAATTCTAAGATTTTGAATTTTTTTAGGTGTTTTATCTTATTGGAATATTTCAGTGGATTTCTATTGGAAATTCTACTGGTTTTTACGTCGATTCTGTTGAAAAATTCCGCAGCTTGACTGCATTTTTTTAAACAAAAAACGTCTGTTTTTTTAACAGAAAAAGATCACTAGAATTTCATCTTTTTATTTTTTTTCTATCGTTTTTTTGCTCCATTTTTCTTCTTTTGTCGCAAAAAAATCGAGATAGAAGAGATTTCTATGGAAATAACTCAATTGAATAAATTGTCAACACGTTTAAATAAATAAATAAACATTCTTGAAGATCGCTCGATTAATTAATTCGTTTATTCACTCTTTCTTCACAATTTATCATTACAATTTCATGATCGTCTCTATTATTTTGCCAAAGACAAGTGAAAAAACGGTTTCAAGTTCCCAATGATTCATCGCCCTCCTCGACTTCAGCACAATCACTCCCATTGCAATCTCCATCGCATGGATCAGCTGTTCGTCGAGGGTCTGGATAGCCGGGAGCATTCAGCCGTCGTCAGGGAGCCATCCAGCAGGCGAGGAGACTCCCGAAGAGGAGCTGCGCCACTGGGAGAATGGCGAGTGGGAGATTTACTGCAGCTCCGTGAGCAGAGCCGTGATAAGCCCCTCTGAGAATCCATCCCCCAAGACCCACCGATTTGTGCATTATCGTGAATAACGAGGCGACGAGAGCGCTCTTCGAGAGCCACCTGGAGCACAGGGTCCAGCACATTCCTGTTATCAGTATTTGTCCGAGGATAGCTAGAGAATAACGAGATGACAATCAGACGAATATTTTGTAAAATTCTTGTTCGAAAATAAAAACCCATAAACTTTTTTCTGAACAGAAAAATTTCTTGAAAAATGCCCAGCAGAACTGCTCTCAAAGACAATTCAGTAGCGAAGTGGTAGAACGGTATAGGGGAGGTTGGGGTAAAACGGACACTTTTGCCTTTTTTTTAAATGCTAATGAGGGGTTGAAATTTTGATATAATTTAATTTTTTTTCTCAATACAAAGAACAGTTCTTTCCCTTCGTGACAAGCCTAAACTGAGCTCAACTGATCAATTTGTTTCTAAGTTATAAATAATTTTAAAAAAGTCTAAAGTGTCCGTTTTACCCCATCCTCTCCTAAGTCAATTTTGACTTTAACCAGTTTTCAATAAATATCTCGGAATCAAAGGGAGGTAACAAAATTTTTGTTACAATCTTTTCTGTAGAGCCGATTGAGAGCTGCAACAAATATAATTACGAAAATTTCACTATCTCCCTTGAATTCGGAAATAGGGGAGGGTGGGGTAAAATGGACACTTTTGATATTTAAAGAAATATTTATAACTCACGGGCAGCTTTATCAATTGAAATCAGTTTAGGCTCAACACAAAGGGAAAGAATTGTTCTTTTTACTGAAAAATAAAAAAAAACATTTCACCAACAATTCAACCTGTCATTAACATTTTTTAAAAAGTCAAAAGTGCCCATTTTATTCCACTCTCCCCTATTCTCCAAAAACTCAACTGGGAGATAAGTTGACTTAAATCGGTTTACCACTTCGCTACTGAATTAAATACTTCTCCTGATCCTTAATTACCATCCAGCTAACACTTTAGCGCTAAATTTCCGGATATTTACCGGTCTTTCTGATGGGGACTTTTAGATGGCATCCGTAAAAATTGTTCCCTGGGCACTTTGATGATAATAATAAAATATCTGGCCACTAAAATTACCAATTAACACAGAGAGAAGAATATCAACCGCCTGTAGGGCTGAAGAATCCGCAGTGACAGCCTCGGAAAACCAGTGGTAAGCACTGACGAGTAGAAAAACCTGGGGAAACCAACTAGTTCGTAATTTCTCGTGAAGATTGTTGAAAGCCATCTGAAACGTTAATCCCACTCCGAAAGGCACTAGAGTACTGCAGGCGATCTCCCGGATGTTGACTCCGACTAGAAGAGACGTGGAGGCTCCCAACTGCAATTAGAAGAATTATCACACAAGAATAATAACATCAGAGGGGATGAAAAAAATTAGATTCGAAAAATTTAAGGGGAGACTACTGTGAGTTTTAAAAGTCGCGGGTTATTGGAGTGAGACTTTATACGTTGAAGATCAATTATATAGATCTGAAAACGAATAATTAGTGCAAAAAAATTTTTTTTTTATTGTTCGTTTGCCCGAAAACGCTTAAAATGCCAAAAACAGTCCAGAGCTTCCAATTTTTGAGCTACGAATTATTTTTTTTTTTTCAAAATTTTCGGTAAATATGTGGAATAACAATTACGAGCTCGTTTTTTTTTGATTCACCTCTTACATGGCTAAATTTGCTTTTTTTGTATTTTTTTACACAAATGTGAATTTTTTTATACGAAAAAAAAACGAAATCAGCTGTGTAGGAGTCGAATTCCAAAAAACTGGCTCGTAATTGTTGTTTCACACATTTTTCCGAAAATTTTGAAAACAAAAATCTTTTGTAGCTCAAAAATTGGAGGCCCTGGACTGCTTCTAGCATTTTAAACGTTTTCGGGCAAACAAAAAAAAATTATTTTTTTTGCACTAATTACTCGTTTTCAGATCTATATAATCGATCTTCAACGTATGAAAAGTCTCACTCCAATAACCCACGCCTTTTAAAACTCATAGTATTCTCCCCTTAACTACTAAATACATCTTATCATTTTTTTATGGGTTTGAATTTTTTTTAAAAGATATGAGTAAACTTCAAAACATCCTTTTTTCTTCTTCCAAATGAAAAAAATTACATTATGCTTGACTCAATAAATCTTCTTATTCTTCTCGTATTACCATCAAGTACAGGAGAAGTGGAGAGACTATAATTCCAACGAAATGAGAAACAAGCGTTGTGACGACACTGGTGGACATGTCTCCATCAGCGAGTCTCGTCAGGACGGGGCTGACACTCAGGGGAGGAGGCATGCAGTAGAAAACCTGTGAGAGATCGTCTCCATTAATATAGAATTATCTCGATAGTGAGTGGGTGTAGAAGAAATCGCCAAAAAACATTTTTTGCCGGAAATTTAATTTCCCACAAAAAATGTTCTCTTGCGATTTCTTCTAAAAACGCTTGTTCTGGAGATGAATGAAAATGATTGTCTTCCGCACCTCCATTCCCTTCAATAACCAGGTGTTGACATTAGCCAACACCAGAAGGCAACTTCCCACCCGAGCCAATAGTGGCATTAGGATGTATATAAAGGCCAGAACGAAGCAGAGGAGGTATCCATCCCTCGCTGCGAGGTAGAGAGACCTGGGGCTGCAGATGAGCCCGGCCTCCAGGTACGTCAGGGGCACTGCTACGTACCACACCACAATGTGCCCATTTACGAATTCTGAAAATGTTCAAAAGCATTCACTCACTTCTTCATTGTTTTTTTTAAATTTTTTAATATCTTGAAATGCATAAAAGAGGGCTAAATTTTAATTGAATTTTTTCTGCAGCTGTCGATATATTCTATAGAAAAAACTCATTGTAAAAATCTATTCTCTTCATTAAGAGGCAATGGAACTTACCATCAGAGTAGAAACTGGATTCCAAGTTTATTCGTTGTTAGACGACTATTTAGCAAAACGCACATTATTACACTATAGATATCAAGATTATTGATGATGTAAAAAGAAAAACCTATCGAATTCGTTGGAAAATTCTATTGAATTTCTGTTAAACTTTCTATTAGTTTTTGGCTGATTCTATTGGCATGCTCAATAGAAAACATTCCATAGAAAAAGTCAACTGAATTCGATTTTTCTATATAACTTATTCTTTTCATATATTTTCTATAGGATTTGTTCGACTCAAATTTTCTAAGTTTTTTTCATTCTATTTCTCTTCTCTTCTCATCAACAAAATCAAACGAAAAAACTTAGAAAATGTGAGCCGAGGAAATTCTGTAGAAAATATCTGAATAGAATAAGTTATATAAAAAAATTGAATTCTATTGACTTTTTCTACTGAATATTTTCTATTGAACATTTCAATAGAATCGGCCAAAAACTAATAGAACAGTTCAATAGAAATTCAGTTGAATTTTTTAAAGAATTCGATAGGTTTTTCTATTAAATTTTTTCATTCGTGTAAGTTCCATCGCCTCTTAAATTAAACTGGAAAAATGGTTCATTTCAATTAAATGAACTTCATTTGGATCAAATAAATCGTTCATTCAATGAATTGTTGATATAATTCAATGTTTTAATTATGCAAATTATTTCGTCCATACAATAAGACCATTTTCGTTGGAATAACAGAGTCGAAAAATTTTAAAAAGTTTTATTCCCCCCAAATGCATAATTTCTCTAGTAGCACTTGGTCCCAAGATTCCTCACCTCCTCCTCAAAATCATAAGATAAGTTTATTTATTACCATTGGCACTCCCAATATTAGGCTGGATCGACGCCAGCAGCATGCACAGCAGCATGAGAACGAAATATCCATAACGATTCCACAAGTCTCTTCCATTTCTGTGCTTGAATCTCTTCTGGTTCTCTAGAGGCATCCTTCACCGATTTTCCTCTCGATTGAATTTACTTTCTTAATCTTCCCTCTCACCTTGAATTCAATCAACAGATGATTATTATTTTTTTACTAATTGTGCTCGATGGCCTGAAGATAACTGGGTGATGAATACGTACTTCTGTTCCTCTGAGCTTTTTTATATTTTACGAAAAGCAGGCATGAGGCATTTTAAATGCGATAAAATGTCCCTCGATGGAATTGAATTTTTTTATCATCCGGAATACCGGCCGTTCTATCAATTGTCAGGTGATCCAATCAACGTGCACCATCTCCGAATGTGGTTCTTAATTATTTATAGAGCATGAACAAGCAGTAGCATCTCCATGCAAATGAAGTTCATAGTGAATTCGTGAAGAAAGAAAATTTTGAAAAATTTGATTCCATTATTGTGCGAATTTCTCGAAAACTAGTACTAGTGGGCGTAGGGAAAAATGTCTGAGAAAGTTTTTTGAAGAGTTTGAAATTCTCTACAAAAAAGGTTCTTAGAGATTTTTCTCTAAACCTGATAGTTTTGCTGATATTCGTGATATCATTTACAGATCCGATATTTCAGTAGTGAAGTGGTAAACGGAGATAAGTCGACTCATCTTCCAGTTGAGTTTTTGAGGAATATTTCCGAATCTAAGGGAGATAGCGAAATTTATGTAATTACATTTGTTGTAGCACTCAATCAGCTCCACAAAAAAGGTTATAACAAAAATTGTGCTATCTCCCTTAGTTTCCGAGATATTGATTGAAAACTGGTCAATACTCAAAATTTACTTATCTCCTTTTATCACTTCGCTACTGATTTGATCTTTAATTCGCAGCTTTTCTGCGTTTTTTTTCATTAAAAAAACGCAAAAAACGATTTTTTTCGATACGAAGATATTTTTAAGATGATCAAATAAAATGTGCAAAAATGGGGCATGAAGATTCCTCAAAAACCCTCAACTCCTAAATAGGGGAGGGTGGGGTAAAACGGACACTTTAGAATTTTTTTAAATTATTCATAACTCAGAAACAAATAGATCAATTGAGCTCAATTCAGGCTCATCACAAAGTGCAAGAATTGTTCTTTGTATTGAGAAGAAAATTATTAAATTTTATCAACATTTCCACCCCTCATTAACATTTTAAAAAAAGTCAAAAGTGTCCGTTTTACCCAAACCTCCCCTACTATATAAAAAACTAATAAAGTGGCGCAGGTGAATAAATAAAAAAGTCTGATAACAATCAAAAGAGATTTATCATTTTATTATCTTTCCCTCTAATACATGAAAAATCTATATAAAAAATATAACATATCAAATATAAAAATCCTCTATAAAACTAATAATTAATCTAACAATGTAATATAGTAGTGAGAATCATCTCTAAGCCAGGCAGATAATTAAATTCAATCGAGTAAATTAATAACTGATTAAAATCGTTAACCTTTCTTCAAATCCATCCTCCTAATCTCCAAAAATCCGACATGAACAACAATCCCACGAGCAAAATCCAAGAATCACCCCCCAAAATTCAACAAATAAAACCCCCACAGCCTCGTAAACACCATCTGTCACTGAAAGAAAAATTCTGAAAACTTTCTTAAACTCCAATTCAACAAATTAACGGAAGAAAACGTATTTGAAAACTCTCAACAATTCTAAACCCGTGATAATAATTGCGAAAGAATGCGCTAATGCACTTTCGTTGCTGCACTGACGATGACTATCCCCCCCTCCCGCCGCCCGCGCCATCCTAAAAAGACAGTTGACGTTGGGCAGGCGCAAAGCGCATCACAACGCGCGCAAGTGCCAGTCGATGTGACTCGTCCCATGCCGTTGCATCTGCCAGTTATCGTGCTTGTGATTACATAGTTAGTTAATAGTTAGTTAATACCCGGACTAAAATAATAAATAAGTGAAAAATGGTGGAGAGAAAAGAGAGCCGTGAAATCCTGACAATATTGATATTGTGTATTCTGTGGTACATTGTGTCGAGCAGCAATAATGTAGTGGGTAAATTGTTGCTGTCAGAGTTTCCATATCCAATGACAGTTACGATGGTGCAGTTAACCTCAATCACAGCATTGAGTGGGCCATTTTTCAACATGTGGGGAGTGAGAAAGAGTAAATCGGATATTTCGTGGGGTTATTATTTGCGGCTCATTGTGCCACTTGCACTGGGGAAGTTTCTGGCGAATGTCTTCAGCCACGTCAGCATCTGGAAGGTGCCTGTGTCGTATGCACATACTGGTATGGTGATACTCTTTTCGTGCATGTGGTTGGAATGTTGGGGGTGATGGTGGTGACCACGAGGGGAGGGCCAGGGGGAGAGTTCTGGTGTTCTTCAGGATTTTTTGGGAAATGATTTTGGGGATTTATTTGTTGCCAGAGGGATTGAGAGTTGGCTGGGGCTGGGTGCAGGCAGAATGTTTACAATATGGTAGATTTGACGACAGATTTTGTGGTCTTGATGATTAGGATTTTTATTGCTTGGGAATTTCTGTGAGTTTAGGGAAAATGGAGAGGGATTGCTCTGGAGGGCATGGAATTTCATATAAAAATCGTTATCCAGAAAATTTTTATTCATTTTTGTCTTGGTGACACTTTTTTGGTGCATGTGGTTGGAATGTTAGGGGTGATGGTGGCGACGACGAGGGGAGGGCCAGGGGGAGAGTTCTGGTGTTCTTCAGGATTTTTTGGGAAATGATTTTGGGGATTTATTTGTTGCCAGAGGGATTGAGAGTTGGCTGGGGCTGGGTGCAGGCAGAATGTTTACAATATGGTAGATTTGACGACAGATTTTGTGGTCTTGATGATCAGGATTTTTATTGCTTGGGAATTTCTGTGAGCTTAGGGAAAATGGGGAAGGATTGCTCTGGAGGGCATGGAATTTCATATAAAAATCGTTATCCAGAAAATTTTTATTCATTTTTGTCTTGGTAACACTTTTTTGGTACATGCGGTTGGCATGTTTACAATATGGTAGATTTGGAGACAGATTTTGTGCTCTTGATATTCAGAATTTTTTTATTTGGGTATTTCTTTAAGGTTACAGAGAAAATGTCAAAAAATTAATTTTGTAAATAGCGAAATTTCGCGTAAAAAAGGGCTTTGATTGTTTTTTCTAAAACTAATTGCTATCGAGATAATTAAGATGATTGTTAGGATGAATATGTAGAAATATTAAACGAATTTGCAGACTTTTTTAGAAGAATTCTTTGTGCACAACGATTTTTAAACTTTATTCATTGCTGCATCAATTGTAATTGTTAATAAAAAATAGAAAAATATTCTTCATGTTTTAAAAATTGAATTAAAACCTTTAAGCCTTTGGATTAAAATTCCTTACATAGTCCGTTGTTCAAAAAACAATTAAATTTCCTTATTCAACACTAATCCAACTATCAACAGCTTCAAATAGTATTCAAGTTTGGAATTCCCCGCTAACTAATGTCACAAATCGTAAGATACGTTATCACCGTGTGAGTAGATAAAGAATTTTCCGACCGTTTGAATCCTCTTCTAGGAACTGTCAATCCCCAGTTAATTATCTTCCAAGCAAAACAAGGCACTCGTTCATTTACTAATTGATTAATTGTGGTTTGTCCCAGTGAAGGCTACGATGCCCCTCTTCACAGTATTCCTGTCGAGGATAATCTTACGTGAAAAGCAAACCTACAGGGTATACCTCAGCCTCGTGCCAATTGTCGGTGGTGTTGCTATTGCGACATTAACTGAACTCAGTTTCAACGTCATTGGGCTTGTCAGTGCTCTAGCATCTACCATGGCATTTTCGTTGCAGAATATCTACTCTAAGAAGGTAATTACAACCGCAAAAAAATTCTTAAGTAGTGATTTAGGAGCGGAATGAAAAAAAATTATAGTTTCTTTTAATATCTAGGAAACTACTGAGTCTAGAGAAAAGTGGTAAAGGAACATTTTGTGGAGAATTCCATAAACTACAAAAAAGATTATTTAATATTTTCCTCTAAAGCCAATAGTTTCGGAGATATTTGCGAAATATTCACTCAATGTTTCAAAACTGTTGAGAGGATTTTTGAAATATCTCAAAAACTACTGGGTTTACAGAAAAACACCAGAGGAATTTTTTGTGCATAATTTCATAAACAACAAAAAAGATCTTCTGACATTTTTCTCTAAAGTCGTTAGTTCCAGAGATATTTGCAATTATTCAACCAATATTCTTGCGAATCGAGTAAAAACTCAGTGAAAGAAGCTAAAATAACGAAAAAGTTCTTGAATCGTCTTTTTCAGGTTCTGTGTGACACTGGAATCCACCACCTCCGCCTCCTCTTCATCCTGGGTCGCCTAGCCCTCTTCCTCTTTCTCCCAGTGTGGCTCGCCTACGACCTCCGGACCTTGATAAACGAATCAGTGACGCACTCCATCAGCACCAAGGTAATAGGTCTTCTAATTCTCGATGGAGTTCTCAACTGGCTCCAAAACATCATAGCCTTCTCCGTAATGTCAATAGTCACACCACTGACTTATGCAGTTGCCAATGCCAGCAAGAGAATATTCGTCATAGCTGTGACGTTGTTCATACTGGGCAATCCCGTAACTGGCCTCAATATATTTGGCATGACACTCGCAATTATCGGAGTTTTTTGTTACAACAAAGCTAAGTACGATCAGAGGCAGGCAGCTAAGAAGGAATCACTGTTGCCTAGTTACACGAATGTTCTTGATATCAAGAAAAACGGAAGTGCTTTTCATGTCAATGGCTGGACACCACAGACGCATCGATTATTCGCCGTCTAGTCTTCAATTTAGATAGATAAATATTTCAATTATTGATCAATTTGCGAGTGATTTTTTTCGTGTGTGGAACGAGCTTGAAGACATGTTCTAGGGGATTTTCTGAACGTCTTTCTTTGATAGAACTTGGGCAATTTCTATAGTAATGAGGCGAACAGGAATTTAACTATTCAAAAATCCATTCAATTTCGAGAGCATGTTCATCATAATTTTCAGCTAAAGGAAATGATTTTGTAAGTACTTAGAGTACTTTTCTCCAGACGATGCCCAGAGAAATGCAGTTTTCTACACATTTTCTATAGAATTTTTCTGAATTCTTTATGAGAAAAACCCATAAACTTTTCTGTGGATCATGTCTATGAGATCTCTGCATACATGTTGACAGTGAACGTAACTCCAGACAAATTAATTTAATAGTTCAATGGATTGTTGAGATATTCTGTTGTGAAATTCTCTGCTCTGGAGGAAGATGATACGTTCAGCCTTGTAGTATTTATTTATCGTCCGTTGTCTCATGATTCTTGCGCAAGGTTGGGGAGACCTTTTAAAAATTCCAAAGGTTTCGATAGTGACGTTTTTTACAAATGATTGATCAGTGATGACGGGTTTATTCGTGGCTCGCTCGTCCCTGCTGGTGAGGAACTTGTCCATTTTCGGTAGATAGATATTGACGAAATGACGAGCCAATTGCGGGCCCAATTGGCTCGCGGAGAGTTCGATAACGGCCAGAGTGAGATTAATCCATTTTTCAAGGGTTTTCGGGGGAATGTCCCAGTTACTGAACTTGTCGTGCAATAAAGCTCATAAATAACAGTGAAATGATGAAATATATCGTTCATTGTTGGTTGAAAAATAATTTTTGTTGAATATCTCTGAATCTATTGGAAATAGTCAATGTTTTTCCCAAAGATTCGAAGATATTCACTAATTTTGTGATTATTTTTTGGAAATTATTTTGATTTTTTTCTGTAGAGGAGTATAAGATCTACAAAAAAGGTTAAGATATTTTTCTGGTTAAATTAATTCGATTAAACATGCAAAATTTTCAAATAAATCCAGAAAAATAGTTCATTTCAATTAAATAACCTTCATTTCAGTGAAATGAATTGTTCTATTTAAACAATTCGTAATGAAACTTTCATTCAAGCTCGAATTCGATTTTTATTCACATCAAATAGATATATTTTAAAAAATGAAAAAATTGAATGTTTTGATAGTATTCCATACTTTTTAAATCCATTCTTTTAAACCAGACGTTGAGAAGATATTTTTCTCTTCTGTTTCGAGTTAAATTTACTGAATCTGTTTTAACACTTCCATATCGAAAGGAATTGAATGATTAAATGAACTCAGGAGTTAGATAAGGAACAAATATGGTCAGCCATTGAGACATTCACCTCGATAGTTACTTGTGTACCTTGCAGGTTGAAAGAGAAACTAACAAATGAAAGATAAACAAATTTTTTAATACAAATGGTACTTCCTTGAGTGCTCGTGAGGGTATAAACTTCATAGTTGGATGGACTGAGGAATTTTAAATGCAATTTCACGTTGACCAAAGCTGTTATTCGTTGAACCAATCATTTTGAATGTCGTTTAATTGGTTGGAAATAATAACAGAATTATTTCACGAATTTATTTTTGATTATTCTGCAAAATAATCTGCGACTCCCTGATTTTTTTGCTTGTAATAATATTTTGCCAAATTAATTTTCCCGTCCGTGACGTGTGGAAATAAACCCACATGTCTGTCGACTTATTTATAAATTCGGTGAGAACAAAGAGAAATATCTCGCTCCATTCAATCATGAAAATAAGATTTTAGAAATTGTTATTCGTTCCAAGTTTATGAAGAAAATAAAGAAATATGTAAATAGTTCTGGTGCGAATGAACTAGTGTGCGGGAGAGTGACCTAGGTATAAAAAAAAAGAAATGTAAGAATTTATCTAATAGTAACATTTATTTTTGTATAAATAAAAAGTGACATGCGTACAAAAATAATGAAGAGACGAATAGGGCACCTGGATGATTAATGCCCGAATAAAGTATTATTCAACATGAATCAATCCACAATATCCAATATTCATTGACTAGTTAATACTAACGAAAGAACAGGGGAAAGTCGTCGATTAAATCGGGGATGTCATGGGTTTTCGTGAATTATTATTTTCTAATCTGACGTTTTTTTTAATTTAACGTCTTTCTAAAGGCGAAATTTATACGACATAATTCTAATTCTCAGTAAATTTTGCTTAAACCTAGCAGAATTGTCCTTGAATTAAGACGTTTTCAGCGATTTTGAGAAAATTTCGATTCTTGAATTCAGAACATTTGGGTTTTCACATTAAAAACATTATCGTTCTTGAATTTACAGTTTTTCCTGTCCCAAAATTAATCCATGCATGTCTGAAATTGGTCATTCCAACTGAATGTAATTTATAACTTCTCTTCATGGTCTAACATGTTGATTGAATTAATGTTGACACAAATGTTCTTAATTTCTGAAAATTTCTCACTTGAAATCAGTTTTTAGTCTTCAATTCCAGAGATATTCATCTGAAATTGAGTGAACTTCTTATTCTGAGGACAATGCACGCTAGAACCACGAAAAATCAGCAACTTTTTACTGAAAACTAGAAGCACTTTTTCTCTATAAAAATTCTGCATTTGTACAAGTACTTTTCACAAATCTCTGAGATTCTTTATTCTACAAATTTAATTTTCAGGAATTTAATGAAAATAATTTTAGTGGATGAATTAAACTCTCCTTCCAATCCTCCAAAGACAGTCCCACGATACCCTCCACTGAATTAACAAAATTAATCTAACTACCGGTGAAGAGTAAAATTACAAATTTTTCGTGACATTCTGGGGGGAGAGGGGTCGCGCAACCGTGAGATCTAGGCGGGCTCCGGCAGCAGCGATGAGTGGCACTGCTAGGCAGCAGTCGCAGTCCTCTGTGCTCGTGTCGTTGACACGTAGAATTCGGTCGTACGGCTTCAAGACACCGTCGCATGGCCCCCCGGGTCGCAAACGATTTATGTAGACCCCACGCTCGTAGAGACCGTCCGAGACGGAAAAACCGAAGTCCTCGTAGACTGGGTCTTTATGGAGGGATATGTGGACTATTTGCTGGGGCCTATTGTCACTCCCCGGTCGATCCTGAGAGCTGAACAGAGGAATTGAATGTGAAGATGTTTTTTTCAAATTAATTTTCTCGATTAATCCAAAAATTTTAAAAACTCAGTAATTAATGATCAACAGGATTTTTTTTATTAATGAAAAAACGTCTTTGCTAAATTAAATTCATGGAAAATTGTCAAGAGACATTTTTATAAAACATTAAATCTCCGCGAAAAGATCTCTGATGATGAATAATGCCAAAAATTAAAAAAACAATCAGTAATTCAGTAGCGAAGTGGTAAAAGGAGATAAGTCAATTTTCACTGTTGACCAGTTTTCAATCAATATCTCGGAATCTAAGGGAGATAGCAAAATTTTTGTTGCAACCTTTTTTGTGGAGCCGATTGACTGCTACAACAAATGTAATTACGAAAATTTCACTATCTCCCTTAGATTTGGAAATATTCCTCAAAAACTCAACTGGGAGATGAGTCGACTTATCTCCGTTTACCACTTCACAAGTGAATTGATGATCAACCGAAATTTTTATTAATTAAAAAACGTCTTTGCTAAATTAAATTCATGGAAAACTGTCAAGAGACATTTTTCAAAGTGGTTAAAACTCCGTAAGAAGATCTCTGATGATAAATAATTCAGTGGCGAAGTGGTAAACCGGTACAAGTCGGTTTTGACTATTGGCCAGTTTTCAATAAATATGTCGGAATCTAAGGGAAATAGCGAAATTGTTATAATTTCCGTTTCTGTAGCTCTTAATTTGCTCTACAAAAAAGATTATGACAAAAATTTTGCTATTTCCCTTAGATTTTGAGATATTCATTGAAAACTGAGCAATAGTTAAAATCGACTTATATCGGTTTACCACTTCACTACTGAATTCGTATGAATATTAAATTTGAAATGGAGTTCTTTGTTAAATCATTAATTATTGCAAAACATAATTCTACGCAAATAAAAGGGAAAGGCTTACCCGGGATACGACGACATGGGAAGGTCCAATTGTCCACTGTCGATGGAGGCAGTGTCCCAGAGTCGTATAATCTCGGGCCCACTGACCTCCCCGAGCTCTCCCCAGGAGTCGACAGCACTGTCGACACTCGGTAAACTCTCTCTGGCGGATCTGAGGATTCCCGAGGGGTACTGAGGGCTTATCGGATCCCCCGCGACACTTCCGGAGACACTCCCCGAGACACTTCCATCTCTAAAAATACCAAAGTCCCCAGAAGACAATTTAGAAAAGAAAATTTCAGTTCGCGAGTGAATGCGCGCGTTACTCATTACGAAGTCGTATTTTTTTCCAAAGTCACCCTTCCTGATCACTTTGATTGAGTCTAAATATTTTAAGGGGAGACTATTATGAGTTTTAAAAGTCGTGGGTTATTGGAGTGAGACTTTTCATACGTTGAAGATCGATTATATAGTTCTGAAAACAAATAATTAGCGCAAAAAAAAATATTTTTCTCATTGTCCGTTTTCCCGAAAACCCTTAAAATGCCAAAAACAGTCCAGGGCCTCCAATTTTTGAGCTACGAAGGATTTTTTTTTCAAAATTCTCGGAAAAATATGTGGAGTTACAATTACGAGCTATTTTTTTTAAATTCTCCTCTTACATGGCTAAATTTACTTTTTTGTATTTTTTTTACACAAATAGTAAATTTTTTACATTAAAAAAAACCGAAAGCAGCTGTGTAGGAGTCGAATTCCGAAAAACTGGCTCGTAATTGTTGTTCCACACATTTTTTCGAAAATTTTGAAAAAAAAAAATCTTTTGTAGCTCAAAAATTGGAGGCCCTGGACTATTTTTAGCATTTTAAGCGTTTTCGGGCAAACGAACAATAAAAAAATTTTTTTTTGCACTAATTATTCGTTTTCAGATCTACGTAATCGATCTTCAATGTATGAAAAGTCTCACTCTAATAACCCACGACTTTTAAAACTGAGTAGTCTCCCCTTAATGATTATTTGACGTTCAAATCTAAACGTTCTTAAGCCTTATTTGACCCTCAAAACCATTTGACCTTCAATTTCAAACGTCTTTAAGGGTCGTTTAACCCTCAACTCTCTCCATCTTGAATTCATTTCCTCTCTTTAAATTCCTAAAAAATGAATTCAGTAGCGAAGTGGTAAACCGGTTTAAGTCGATTTTGACTATTGACCAGTTTTGAGTAAATATCACGGAATCGAAGGGAGATAGCTTAATTTTTCTCAAAACCTTTTTTGTAGCACTCAATTTGCTCTAGAAAAAAGGTTATTACGAAAATTTCATTATCTCCTTCAAATTCCGAGCTATTTTTCAAAAACCCAACTAAGAGATAAGTCGACTAAAACCGTTTTACCACTTCGCTACTGAATTAAATTCACCTCTGATCATTGCAACTGTCGGGTTTCCTCACGGTGAGAGCAACAACAGAGCTCCCTGGCCGATGAAGAAGCTGTGCAGCCTGCCTCAAATCCCCAGGGTCGAGTTTCTGGCCGTCGATCGCCAGCAACCGATCCCCAGGGGATAGGCTCCCTGTTCTGTACGCCAGGGAGCCTCTCCTCACCTCCGCGATCACCAGGTCCTCGTTGACGGTCAGCCCCAGGTCCGGCTGTCCCCCCAGGGGTCTTGCCACTCTCACCGTGAATACTCCTGAGCTGGGGACCACCGATCCCCCCACCTTATACTCCGTCACTAGTTCCACCTATTGCCATCAACGGATTTTTGAAAAATTCTGTTAATTTCGGGGTTCTGGGGTTCTTATTTCATCAGTCGTACCTCAGAGAAGCAGGAGCCTTCCCTGAAGTGTCGATTTATACCTAGCCAGTTTAGTGAGAGTTCCACACACTCCTCGAGTATGAGAAAGAACAAAAAAGAGATAGAAAGTTCAAAAATTTTTGTCAAGGGAATTTGCAGGGATTGGGGCAGGCGTATGAAATCAAATGAATTTTGAGATTATTTTGGGGATTTATAGGGTTCTTGAAGATTTTTGGCAGATATTTTCGGTATACTTTTTGGAAATTTCCCTCGTGGAAATCGGGTCGTCAGATTTTGACAAATTATGACATAAAATGTGAAATTATGTCAAAAAATGAGAAAATTGATAGATTTTTACATAATTTCATAGAATTTGATAAAATATGTCCACTAGATAAATGAAGTTCCACACATTCCTCGAGTATAAAAAAGAACGAAAAATGAGATAGAAAGTTCTGAAATTTTTGTCGAGGGAATTAACAAGAATTGTGGCAGGCGTATGAAAAATCGATGGAAACTTGACCTCCAGTTCAATTATCCCCCGAAAATTGATAGAAATCAGGAAAATTCAGGGAAATATATTCTTGAATATCCAATTAATTAATTCGGTGCCGCATATTCATGTTTTGATGAAAATTCAAGTGATGTTTGCATTGGGAATTACAATCCTTGTACTTCCCCATCATTACAAACCTGCGAAGACTCGAGAATGGCCGCGACCTCGGCAGGCTGTAGATCCCTCAGAATCCTCCTGTTGATGGCGATGATCTGATCGCCAGGCAGTAGCACTCCACTCCTCTCGGCAGGCCCCCCCGCCTCCAGCAGGTCGACAACATAATTAATTCCGTCATCGGCGATCCTCAGTGCCAGCCCCAGTCCCCTGTGATCGGGTCTGAGAAGAACAGTGAGACTCTCCTTCGTGTAAAGCGTCTGGTTAGCAGCTTGAGGCTGCGCCCTCCTCTTAACCGTCCTGGATGACGTGCTCGGTGGTCTGGGAAGTATCTGGAGTCTCGCTATTCTGCAATTATCAGTGACATTCCTGAGCAGTTTGGCAGCTGCTGTTGCATCGTGCACGGGTGTGTCATCGACCGCGAGGAGACGATCGCCAGGCTGCAGTGCACCACAACGATCTGCGGTGCTGGCTGGTCTGAGACTCTCTATATACACACCACTTGGTGTTTCACGTACTGTTAATCCCAACTCCCCTGGTAAACAGAGAGTTTCGGGTTGAGGGAATGGGTAAACAAACTGGGGAGATGATGGGACACGTTGTTTATGTCTTCGGGGTTCATGAGGTGTGGAATTATGGTCTTTGATATTGTCAGAGTGTATATGACGGCTGAATGTTTATGGAATGAGTGTGTCAGTCATTATGACGTTTTTAGTTGCCTTTTACTCATTCAATCTTCATTATTTACCGAATTTTCTATTGAACTTAGTTTATTGAGATGTTTTATGTAGAAATGTTTTTTTTGTGTTTTTTTTAACAAAAGGAGAAAGAAGAGTGGAAAAAATACAGAATTCATGTCAAGGTATTCCTATGGAAAATGTCTTGATAAAAAAAGTTGCGGAGAAAGATGAAATTCTGCTGATGTTTTCAATAAAATAGTTTCCATTATAGTTCTTCAATAAGGCCAAGAACCAATGGAATTTTCAATAGAAATGCAATAGAATTCCGTGAAATTCTTTCGTACGTGTCATTCTTCATCCAATTTTATTATCCAGTAATGGGAAAATTTCCTGCGGAACCGAAATTTTCGGAAAAAGTCTCGACATTATTTTACCGGAGAGTCCTCGCTCCAACTGCACTAGGAGGGGACCCGAGGTGGCAGCCCTCGCCTCCTCCATGTTAGCCACGTCGTACTCAATCGTGAGAGACGCCACAGGTGCGTCGGAGCTCCTCCTGAGGGCCCTCTGCGCCTCCGCCAGGCTCAAGCCCCTCAATTCCGTGTCGTCTACCGCCAGGAGTCGGTCCCCCGGTCTCACCCTCCCCTCCTTGGCGGCTGGACCGTCCGATTTCACTCCCGTCACCACTAGTGCCCGCGCTACCCCTCCCCTCAGGGTCACCCCGAGGTTCCCACCCTCTCGTTCCACTCGAACTTGAGCCACTTTCGAGGAAACTCCGGAGGGCTGACCCGTCTCTATATCGTCCAGTACCAGGAACTTCTGGGAGCCGTAGTGCGAGTTGTGCGGATTGTCCTCGGAACTTGCGTTTGTTGCAACACTACCGGGACGCGCGCGACTCTTGTCACGAGAACGCATCGTTCCCAGGCGCAATGAACTGAACATCCTTGGCATTGAGTGTTGGATCGGTTTTAAGAGTTTTCGGGCATTTTTTTTTTACTTGAGGTCCTTATTCGGGATAATTGCTTGGGGATTTGATCGTTGGGTTTTTGGTGGAGTTCAGGATTTTTTCGTTTTTTTTGGTCGAAATGTCAAGATTTCTACGATTTTTGGGATTTATTTCGCGAATTTTAGGGGTTGAAATTCAGGAAATGGGACAGAATTTAGGTAAATTGTTCGGACAATTTCTTATTTAGATTTTTGGCGATAAACTTGACTCTTTGAGTGCCTGAAGAACTTTATTAATGGTTTTTTGGTCGAGACCTGGAGGTTTTGAATGTATTTTTGAAATTTAGCTGGTGAAATAAGTGTTTTTTGATTCAAGGGATTCAATTGTTCAATTGATTTGCTATTTCTATTTTGTGTACTAATGTTGGACATCTTCGATGGTCTGAAGAATTCTGTTTTTGATTTTTCGTGAATTGTAGATTTTTCCAATTTTTTCCTATTTAATTTGATAAGATTGAGGAAATGAGTTCGGATGATTTTCACTTCATCATTTTCAATCTATAATTCCTCCTTCCAAAAATTGGGGATTATTATTTTTTCAATTCAATTAAATTATTAAAATTCTTCAATCACTCAAACTTTCTCTTCTCAATTCTATTCCTATTTGCATTTCAAAATCCACACATTTGCGAATTTTTTGGTCTCAAGTGAATGAAATGAATGAGCGAATAGAATGAATTCAGAGTGAATTCTAGTACACGAGATGAAAAACCTAATTCGATTCCCTCTATTAAAAAAATTGCCCCTAAATTCGTTGTTTTGACTTTCTCCTCAAGTGTAGGAACCCCCTCAAGAGAACAAAAAATGATTTAAACTTTTCCCATTCAATTTGACGACTTCACAATTTTGTTGTTCTCAATTCTCTAAATTAAGTGTTCAATCTCTACAAAACGGGATTAAACGATTCAAGTCGTTGATGTAGAGTCTACCATTCTCGAGATGAGTTTATAAATAAATCCCATGCTCAACTGACGCCCCGGCTCGCGAAGAAGAGGCGTTTGTGCATGTCAACAATGAAGCTGTTCAACAATTGGATGACACTTGCAAAAAAACAATTATTCACAGACTTTTGCGCGTATTTTCACGTAACAATTGTCCTCAGCCTTCGTTTTTGACGTTTGAATACAGTGGGAGCACGTGGATGATGCGTTGGAGATGAGGTGGAGAGCTAGACTGAGGGATGCCTCGGATGCAGGAGGAAATGAGGAGCAAGGAGAACGGGCCGGCGCGAGACACACTAAAATAACCGGATAGGGACGCATCGCTTCGTAACTTCCAAGTTTTAAGGCTATTTATAAAATTGAGAGGGAACACCCGCGCTTGGGTATTGAGTCCGTCCCTGGGATGAAACTCACTGCTCTCGATCGTCGAATTACTCTTTCTACACTTATCGTTAATGTCATCCCACGCAGAAAATTACGGAGTTTTTTTTGGTTGTGGTCAATCGCGGGGAGAAGGGGGACGGGGGGCATTTCCGGACGGAAATGTTGCGATGCGAATTAATGAATAATTCTATTGGATCAGAAATGTAGAATTGGACTTCTATTGGAAACAATTTCAATTCAATTGATTTTGACTATTCGTCAGTTTTCAATGAATATCTCGTAATCTAAGGCAGATAGCCAAATTTTTGTTGAGACCTTTTCTGTAGAGCAAATTGAGAGCTGCAAAAAATGTAGGGACGAAAGTTTCGCTATCTCCTTTAGATTCGAAGATATTCTTCGAAAACTCAGTTGAGGGATAAGTCGACTTAAATCGTTTTACCACTTCGCTGCTGATCTGATAAAGACAATGGATGCAATTAGATTTTTTTGTTCAAGTCGTTCCATAAACGTCTTTTCTATACATTTTTTTATGGAAAGTATATTTTTAAAAATCTATAGAACGTCTAGAAAGGAAAAAAATTTGAAAATTCATATAGTTTGTATTGAACGTTTTCTGTTTTAAAAAAACGCAGTAAATCTGCGGAACTATTCAATAGACTCAAAATTTCAGGAGAAGTTCCATAGAAATCCTATAAAATTCATGCGTGTTCGACCGCAATTCTCTAATTCTACTATTTATTTAGTCTAAAGAACCTCGAGAAATGTTTTTTCTCACTTTTTTTATTCATTACCCAAGAGGCAGGTGACGGAAGTGGAAAGTGATCCATTCGGGTAAAAGTGAGACGACATCAAGAGTTGTTTTTTCGGTCCCTAGAGTTAAGATGACGCAAATAGAACAGTCCGCGTATCTCGGAAATTCTCAAATGGAATGGAAAAATATTAATCCGGAGAACCTCAAGCACTGAACGTGCGATTTGCTGAAGTTGTTTTTTTCGGTTGATGCCCTCACGTGGGTACGAGGACCCTGGTTTATTGCCTCGGTCAATTAAGTGTACCGCGGCCGATAAACTCGGGACAGAGGCCAGGCTTTCACACGTGCGGGCTAATCGCGAATGAGCATCTCCGTTTCAATTGATGACGATTAAAGACTTCTTTATGCGCGATAACGGAATTTTTCGAAATTTAATTATATTCCTATTCTTGGAAAGACTCCTCGAATGATTAGATTAATTTTTTCAATTCATTTCGCACGGAAATTGAATTTAATTGCTGATTGTTTCATTAATTGATGGGAATTCGAGGAAAAGACGAATGAATGCAATTGTGAATTTCGTTTTTGCTGAATATCTTGGGATTGAAGGGAGATAGCAGAATTCATGTTACAACCTTTATTGTAGAGAATTTCGAGAGCTACAAAAAAGGTCTGAATAATAATATCGCTATCTACTCTAAATTCGAAGATATTTACCGAAAACTGTCGATGAAACCAGATGGATTCATTACGTTTCATTTTATGATTAAATTATCTTTTATTGACATTCAATCTCGCGAGATATTTGAAAATAACGAAAAAATACTCGTCAGAATATTTTGTAAGTCTTTTAGCCCCCAACGCAGAGGTTGGCTTCAGCATTCGCAGAACTAAAAATTGGAAAAAACTCGAAAAAAAATCCAACTCTCCACTTGGCGCTCATCAGACGTTGTTTGCCAATTCCTCGGGGGTTCTAAAGTTAGCACAGTCAGCGCGGAGCCGAGCCAAGGAGCCAAACAGAAAGATCTCGAGAGAAAAAAGAAATATCCAGGAAAAAAAAGGGGAAAAGAGACTTTTAGTGGGCCCTCGAGGGAGAAATAAAAATAAATCAATAAATATCAATGTTTATCTATTGAGGTCAGCCCTGATGGATGGATATAAATATTTCCAGATGGCCACTCAATTGCCCCTGAATTTTCATCCACTTAAACGTCTTCGTGAATTACTTTCAACTTGTAGCAATTGAATTCGATGTTTAAAGATAAATTAAAATTTCAGTGTGGCGCAGTAATTTGATTTTGATAGCTGGGAATTTATTTTGGAAATTAATGGTGAGGAAATTAATGACGAGAAAATGTCAGAAAAACAACTGTTAAGGATAATTCCGGAGACTTTTGTTTTTGTTTTTAGTTGGAGATTAAATTGTTTTGGGGCCAAACGATCCTCAAACTTTCCATTTTAACGTCCTTAAGGGTCGCTTACTCCTCAAGAATATTTTGAATCCCCAGAAATCCTATCCGCAACAACTCTGTGCGACGATAATCCCTCATTCATCCAAAAAAAATCCACTCGTTCATTTCTGCTTCATTTTACGACACCGCAGACCTAAACCTCCCATAAATATCTCCCCCGCCCTATAAAAATCCACTCCACTGCACGTGTCCCTCAGCTGCTCAAACCTGTAGACCCCCAATAATAACCTCGGAGTATCAAAAAGCCCTCAAGGAAAAAAAATAAAAACTCAGTATTCACGGAGTTCACGTACCACCAAACACCTTCTTTTAATCGAAAAATTTGCAATTCTCTTACAATTAATGAAAAAAAAATCTACAGCTATTAAACAACTAGATAAATCTTTATTACATACAATTCCATGAATCTTCATTTTTGCCTCTAGCCATCATCAACATTTCTAATAGAAAAAAAATTAAGATTCATCAGATTCTCCTTCCACGACGACTCAATTCAAAAATACAGTCTTATGCGTATTCCATATTTTTTATTAAAAAATCGTTAAATCATCGGTGAGAATATTCATAAGATGTAGATTGATGTGTGGGTTGTGTGGAATGAAATAACACCGTATCTCCATTAATTAAAAATATTAAAATGATCGTAAAATCTGCAAACGAGAGACTAAAAACGTTGTCTCAGTGGTTTCTCGTGGTTTTTAATTTACAATGAGGTTCTAAAAAATATTCAGCAGCTGAGGACTGACGATGGGAGGATGTCTCCATCGAATTGTCCCAGTTAGCGTTCATTTTCACGGGGAAACGGACGCTTCCAATCACAGCACGTGGTTTGTTTGACTCCCGGGATTGAGGGGATTCCCCTTTTTCAGTCCGTGGCGTTGGGATTCGTGTAGGAGAATCCTCTGAAGACACCCTGATCCATTGATGTGAGGATTTGCTCAGGTACGGGGGTCAGACGAGGCTTCTCAGCTGTGAAAGCTGTGTCGAAGTAACGGGTGTCCAGGGTGTGCTCCAGGGCTGGCTTGAATGGGGGGTCCAGTAATCTTCGTTCTAGTCTGTCCCAGGAGAGTGACTGTACAGAAATAAAAAATCGGGGCTTTAAATGAGAAATGATGGGATGAGGTAGAAAAATCTGGAGTGAAAATATTGAACACTGGGAAAAATTATTATTTAGAATTACGAAGATTCAGGAAATTTTGTTTTCATTTTTCATTGAGGGAAGAATGGTTTTGAGGGTAAAATCGTCCTTAGAATTTTTGTAGTTGAGGATCAAATCATCTTGAGGGCCATCAAAGTCGTTCGGAGTGAGCGATTTAATTCAATTTAATAATTATTTCTATTGAGTTATTTAATTAAAAATTAAATAATTATTAAATAATAAAAAATAATATTGTTAATAATAACAATATTGTTGTTGATAATAATAATAATATATTATTTAATAATATTATTATTATTTGGTCTTCAACTCTAAATGTTCTTGAGTGTTTTGACCCTCAAGACAAAACTGGTCTGATGCTAACCACTTCATCCACTACTACACTGAATTGGTGGTAAGTAGATTTGGTCCACACTAGGGCAGACAGCCAATTTCTCGGCTGCTGATAAAGCGACACACGTGTTGAACACACGTCGTCCAGTAGTTTCTCATTCATTCTGTTTGGAAATTCCAATTGGAGATCCTCGATAGATCTTTCTCACAGTAAGAAGAAGGTAAATCTTCCATTGAACAGTGAATATTCGTTTCAAAATGTTGAGGAAATTTTATTTTAGGTAAATTTGATGTGCAGATTTGAATATTAATATCATTTAGAATGGAATATTCTACTCTTCTGAAATATTCACAATTAATTCAGTAGCAAAGTGCTAAAACGGTTTAAGCCAATTTTGACTATTGGCCAGTCTTCAATGAATATCTCAGAATCCAAGGGAGATAGCAAATTTTTTGTTGCAACCTTTTTTGTAGCCCTCAGTTCGCTCTACAAAAAAGGTTATTACGAAAATTTCGCTATCTCCCTTGAATTCGGAAATATTCCTCAAAAACTCAAGCGGGAGATGAGTCGACTTAAACCGTTTTACCACTTCGCTACTGAATTATACTTTGAGATCAATTAAAAGAATTTGACAACACTATTGTAAAATTGAAGGAGAATTCCTAATTTCATTTTACTTTGAGGACAACTTGAGTAAAATTTTTATAAACAGTAAATGTTAACGTGGAAAATGCACTCACGTGGAAGAAAGCATGGGCCTGAATTTCGTGACCCATGGGCCTCTTCCCCGCGTCCTTCTCCAAGAGAGCAACAAGCACGTCCATGGCTTCCTGCGAAAGATATCTGGGGATGAATGGTCGTTCGTTGCAAATACTCCAGAAGAGTTCGTCCTCGTCGCAGCCGGAGAACGGCGACTGTCCGGTCAACATTTCGTAGAGGAGGACGCCGAACGACCACCAGTCGACAGCCTGGTTGTACTTGAGACCTTTGATTATCTAAAAAAAAACAAAACAATTGATTTATAAAATAGGACAATTGAATGAATTAAAATTCATTTAATTGGAGCATCGTGAGACGAAAATTATGAATTTTTGGGGATTGGCAGCACGAGATTCATCATTCTTAATTTATTTCAACAAAAATAATGAATTCTTCTCTGCATTAATCCCCCCTCATCTCTCATTTCTCCAAAACCCATCAACTCTCACCTCTGGAGCCATATAATCCGGGGTCCCACAGAAAGTATCAGCAGTTCTGTCCAAGAAGATCTGTAATTTGCACATTCCAAAGTCAGCGATTCGTATGTGACCCTCGAAATCCAGTAGAACATTGTCCAGCTTGAGATCCCTGTAGACAATCCCCTTTTTATGAAGGAAGTTCAGTCCAGACCAGATCTCCCCGGCGTAGAACCTCGCCCGGAACTCGGGGAATCGTCCGGACTTCTGTATGTGGAACATCAAGTCACCCCCGTTGAGGTACTCCATGACGAAGAAGAGATGCGAGTCCGTCTGGAAGGTGCAGAAGAGGTGACAGAGGTAGGGATGCCGCGTGGCGAGGGTCAGGACTTTTCGTTCGATCAGGGTGCATTCCACGTCGTCGTCCTCCAGGACAACGTCCTTCTTCAGGCATTTCACTGCGTACACGCAGTCGGTGCCACGCAGCTCTGCTAGGAGGACTTTTCCGAAACTTCCTTTTCCGAGCACCTGAATTATTACATTATATTAATCCTATAAAAAATTTTATCTCCGATTTTTATTCTTTGCTATTTTTTTAATGTATTCTATCAAAATGTGAGGATAGAAATTGAATTGATGGGTATTCTTCCATTATTTGAAAAAATATATCAATTTTAAAACTTTCCGGAGACATTGAAAAATCGAAATTTTTATTTTCTTACTGATCACGTATCTCTGTTTTTTTTTTCACTTTCTTCCATGGAAATTAGATCATAGAAAGGGAACATATTGATATTTTTTCGGCATCTAAAAAAAAATTAAGGAGGTAGCATAAAAAATGAAAAAGATGGAAATAGTTATATGAAAAATGTAGTACATAGAGAAATTTTTGAACAATATGTAATTGTGAAAAATATATAGATCATCATCCCAAAAAAAGTATCAATACTCTCCTTATTATTTAACATAATTATCTCTTCATTTGAAAATGAAAAAAACTGTTCCCACAATTTGTATACTACAATGGGATTAGAATCCAATAAATTTAATTTAATCTAACCGCAAAGAAAAATTGGAAAGAAAACAATAAAATAAATTAACATAATATAATATAATCTAGCGACGGGCGCGAAGCGCCCATTCGCTAGTATTGATAAAAACGATAAATTAATTCCTCTAATTCAATTCAGTACCGAAGTGGTAAACCGGCTTAAGTCGACTTATCTCACAGTTGAGTTTTTGAGGAATATTTTCGAATCTAACGGAGATAGCGAAATTTTCGTAACTACATTTGTTATAGCTCTCAATCGGCTCTACAAAAAAGGTTATAACAAAAATGTTGCCATTTCCTTTAGATTCCGAGATATTTATTGAATCGTTGTACCACTTCGCTAATACTGAATTCGTCTTTCTCGTGTGATTGACGCAAATCACAAATATTTTGTTTAAACATATAATGCAACAGCACTCGCAACCCCCCAGAAATACATAAGAATTTCCTAAATAAACTCAGTTACCGCCGAGGCTGAATTATTTTGATGTAATTCTGTCTCGACAGACTGGTATGACGGTAATTCAGCGTGTACCCGTGGGTTTGTTGGTGCAACATCTCTCATAATTCATAGCGGGCTTTTCCAACCGAGTGCGAAATAGCCGTTGGCAGCCAGAGCCACTTCGCAATTGCTTAACTAACTTTATGATTAATGAAAATTTTCATACGCGGATTTAATGCCCCTTCGATCGTAACCATAACCACAGGTATTCCGCGGCTGATCATTGACGGAAATAACTACTCAATTTCTTACTACTTGCTTAGTCGTAATTTTTTACGAAGCGCGGGACGAAATGGAGTGTTTTTGGCAGACAGAGCCGACTTTTAATATTTTCGCTAAATACTAGTCGTTATTGAGATTTTAATCAAATTCAAATTTTATAATTTTGGTAATTATCTAAGTAATTAGTGCATTGTCGTGAAACTTGGCAATTCAGGGACTTTTTTTCGTCTTTATAGCGGAAGTGGATGAAAGGTCAAATCAAATATGAATTTTTCATGGAATAATTTAATTGAAATTTACAGTTTCCCTTCATTTTTCAACGCATTCTGAATTTTAATGGAGAAATTCTTTGCAATTTCCGTGAAACAGTTGCTCGATCAAAGTTTATACCCATAAAAACTCGTGAAATTGATATTTATTTCACTTACTTTGAGGAAATGGAAGTCTTCAACAGTATATTTCTTAAACCTCGGTAGATTAGTAGCCGGTGGAGTGATTCTGCCGCTTCCATGAACATGATCCGAACTGTCTGAGTTCCTCTGATTGTCGGACGATTGTGAAGGCGCTGCAGGACAATAAAAACCAAAATAATCGTAAATTAGCAAGTTTTTTGGATAAATTTTTTAGCACTCGTGTTTCCTAATATCGTATATTTATAATAGACCGAAAATACTATTAGGAAGTAGTTTTCCCTGGTCATGGTTGTGAGTTTTCCTCGAATGACCCTGATTTTAATTGTCTCTTGCACTGGCAAGTATCCCCGGTTGCTCGATACCTGCCCAGATGCACTTTTGGCTGGTGTCAGTTTATTCGAAAATAGACGCGCAGTGCGATGACTGTATCAAATGCATCTTCTGGGGTACACGTGCAAGGACGCCATTATCACCAGAGTGCTCCAACGGTAGATGTTTTATCCTCACTATTCTTTGATTTTCGTTAGGCCAGTACATTGTTTTCGAATACTTTTACCGGGTCGTTTGTCACGAGGGCTAGGGGTGTTGCGGGCCGACGGGTAGGCGCGGGTCTTGTGATTTTAGATGGACTGTGGGCTGGCTGAACGATTGGGGACAGGTGTTTTGACGCGTTACATGCATTAAGTGGCGCGTGAGACGGGCAGCGTCGTTTACTCAGGGTCATGGAGACGAGGTGAATACCGAGGGTTGAATGACTAGGCTGCAAGGATTTTAAGGAGGGACGTCCGGCTCGGGGATTATGTAAACTCGTGATGTTTCATTATCCATCCATCCGAGAATTCGGTAGAATATTTTCCATTGAACATTTCGAAAATGAAAAATCAAACGAAGTTAGTTGGATAGACAAATCAAATTCCAGTCACAAGTTTCTTAATTAATAATTTTTTTTTTTAATCTTTTTTATTAAAACAGCGATTATATCGCTACGCGATGTAACAAAAGTTTAATTTAAAATGAAGAAAAATAGAAATTTGATATCATCAATAGGTGAAATAATATGTGAAAGACATTTTTGAAAAATATTCATTGTCGCCACAATAATTCTGCATCTCTCATTATTTTCTTTATTTGAAAACAAAAATGAATTTGAGTTTTTTTCGGGCTCTATTTATATTTCGCCGTCCGTGGGATTTTAAAAACCACTCGGCATTGATTGATAGCCATTTCTCCGACGATGCCCCAGAAAAAAGCCATCTCCCCTAAAACATTTCCCATCTAAATATTTCAAGTTGAACTTATTGTGAACCAGGAAATAACTGGATAATTGCAGTCTCAAGATTCCCAGTGCAAAGAGAGTATTCCCGCACTAAATATACCCTCGCGGAAGAGACTCCCAGTGAGTTCGTACTGACGACCTAATGCCGACACTGCGACAACGTGGAAACGTACCAAATTAGTCCAAACGAGAATTCCAAAATTTTTCCAACTGAATAAAAAATTCTCCCCAAACCCACAAATTCTGCAAATTTTTACGAAAAAAAAAATATGGAAAAACCTAGCGAATTCGCTAGGAAATTCTATTAGTTTTTCATATTTTTTTACAATAGAAATGTGTCATGAAAAATATTTCATAGTAAAAAAATCAATAAAATTGACTGAAATTTTGCTGTTTGTTTTTTTTTAATGAGATGAAAAGATAGAATGGAAAAAACTTAGAAATTTGTGTCGAGGAATTCCTATGGAAAATGTCTCAACAGAAAAAGTTGACTGAGTTTTCGTATTCATAATAGAATCCCAAGATGCAATTCAAAATTAAAATTCATTGCCAAGGATATTATTGTACTCATGATATCACGTTTTGGAAACACGTATTAGGACCCTTAAATTTGGCAGAGTCTGGCTGAAACTTTTGTGAGAACCAAATAACATAGAATAATTTTCTAAAATTAAACGGATACGTATCATGACCATCTTGTTATTCCAATCAAGGCACAACGTATTCCCACAGTTGAATTTTCCATTTTTCTTCATTAAAAAAAAATTGTTCATTATATTTCTTTCAAATCAATCATTTTTTCCTCTAGTTAATGAATTACTCAATTAATTTAATTTTTTCATACCCATGATTCTCACAAGTGTCTTCCAGACGTCTCAATGAGTCACGAAAATCGCCTCACAGCACAAAAAAAAAATTGTGGGAAAAACTCGGGATTTTCTTGGGAAGAAAAATAAATAATGAATCTCAAGAAATGTATTGACTGCGAACAGTCTTCCTCGATGGTCAACAGCGAAAAGCGTCTTGAATCTGCGGAAAAGTTAGTAGTATAAACCGAACCTGACGTCAACCAAACAAAAACAGAGACAGCTGCGACGAGACTAGATTTTCCGAACAAAGAGAGAAGATTTTTCAACGGAAATAGTTTTTGGCAGGATAAACGCTCTAACAAATGGGAAAATTCAGCACCAAGATTGTTTTGATATATCGGGACGGAGGCGAGAGGAGTGATCGTGCTTTTATCCATCCAAATCGTGTGGTTTTCTCATTTTTTTCAGTGAAAATAATTTTATTAATAAACTTGGAGTATTTTCTTTGTCGTCTTACCTCGTTTCAATGCCTGCAGGGCTTCGGCCACAAGTTTTTGGTTGAGTCCACACAAATTTCCGGTTAATTTTTCACATTTCTTGTGACAGGCCATGTCGCAATCTACTCGAAATAATTTTCCAAGAAAAAATTTTTAAGGAAATGGAAAAGAAAAAAATTCAGCTGCGAAATGGTGTCAAGACGATTTTTCGTCTTAAATTGAAGGCGAAATGAGACATTTAAACTAATTCTAATAATTAAACTTTAAAAAACAAACTTTTTGTCAAAAAAAACAAGAGCTACACAAAAGTCCGACATTGCCAAAATAATTTCACAATCTAAAAAAACATTCACCTCTTCGCAACCGAATAATAAAAAACTTGTTCTCTAAATTCATGGATCGATCCCTTTGGCTCTCAAGTCGTCCCTTCCCCTCATCAAATACCTCGCAACATTAATTACTAATTAGTAGAGAGGAGGGGAATGATGTGATTAATTTCGTCCATGCAGACAAGAAAGCATAAAGTCTATTTACAGAAATAAAAGCAAAAAACTCCCATCCTCAGCAGGACCACCTGTATCTTCTCCCAAAGCCTCGTACAAATTACCCCCAATTCCAATAAAAATAAACTCACGGTCGAGTTCATTAACGGCAGATAGGAATAATGGCGATAATTCCGGCGACTAATCGACGCGTGGAACAAAAATGAAAGAAAATAAAACGATTTGATGTGCGCAAATCGATCGGTTCGGCGCGACATCAGGCAATCTTGGCCGGGTTTCAATTCCCTGTCGTCATTTAAATGCGATATTTCATAGTTTCGGCGCTTTCCCTCGTACACATACACGATAAACATTTGGAAACAAATTTTACTAACATCTGAGCAGTGCGAAGTTGAGGAGATAAGCATTTATCCAGAAATTTATCATGCTTTAATGCACATCTCGTGGAGAAGTGACCAATCTGTCTCATTAAAATTTAGGGAGATTTATTTGATGATTGAGTAGTTGGAGGAATCGTTGGCGACATTTTCATTGCGTTTTCCAAATTTCTTTGAACTTAATGGGTTCAGAGACGAACGACAAGAGACATTCCTCATTAGCACCACTCATTAGCGAGATAATTTCAGAGTTAACGAGACAAATAAGAATTTCATGAATTCAAAATTTCCCGTGTCCACTATTTCCGCAATTATCTCGGTAATTATTGGTCTTACGACGAAAGGACACAATACTTTTTTGTAGATCTCGAAATTCTCTGCAAAAAAGGTCTTTTGTGGTTTTCCGCTAAATCCTTTCCGTTCAAAGATAACTGCAGGAAAATGCATTGACGAAGTGATGAAAGACGACGAATTAATTTAACTCCAACAGATCAATTCTTGCCAATTACCCAAAGGTTCTGACACTTCCGAAAAATCCCGGCATCGCACCCTCCAAATCTCCCTCCCACGTATCTCCTCAACCACAAATACGTGCAAACCTTAAACCTAAAAATAATGAAATAAAATATAAACACAGTACTAGATAATCTCGGCGATCCGTCGAATCCGGAGTCATTGCTCCTGGTGGATGAGATCCTCTTCTGCCCATTCTCATCCTCCACCTCCGTAGAATTGCTCCTGGAGCTGGTCGTGTCCTGGCTGCTCCTGGTGCTTCCGGTGCTGTCACTGCTGGCGGAGGGTGTCCTCACCGGATGCTTCTCCTTCTTAACTTTGACCCGTTTGACCTTCGCCAGATCCCTCGGGGTAGCCGTCAGCAATGACGAGGGCGTTGTATAGAACATCTTGTTGAGATCAATGGGTCGCTTCGCAGGTTTAGGAGGGCTCGTCTTCAAGTTCTTCTTCGGGAACTGACAGACCTTAGAAACCTCCGTCGAACTTGTGATTTTCTCCGGCACTCTCCTTACGATCGTGTCCTCACTGCCAGACTTTTTCCGTCTGCTGAGTTTCTTCTTCGATACTTTGGGCGTTGCGACCTCATTTCCAGCATCACTGGAGGGGACATTTTTGCCATTCAACGTCGTGAGGTCTGTTGTTTTGTCCCATTTTGATAGACCCCCACTCGCGTCCTCGTTAGTTGGGGTCACTGGACTGTCGTCTTCGTCCTCATCTTCAGGAGCTTCAGGTACTTCAGGAATAGGTTCAACACTCGTCAACAAAGGAGGGACTTCCACAACAGGCGTCGAAGGCTCTGAACCTTCCTCAGGTACCTGTTCTGCAGGTCCATCACTTCCGCCGGACACATCTAACAGAAGCTTCCTGTCCTCATCTCTTGCTGTCGTCTCAACATCGCTTGTTTCCACAACCCCAGTCGATCCAACTTCCATGACAGCTCCTTTTTCCACCGATTTCACATCATCTCCAGGCACTTCAGATTGTGTTTCACTCACCGGGGATAATAATACCTCCATTCCCGTAGTTTCCGCTGTTTCACAATTGCTTTCGCTCGACAACGAGTTCTCTGAACTCAAGTTGTCAAAAATAGCTTCCGGGAGTTTGACTTCTTTCGTTATTGCATCTTGGATAATTTCACTAGTGTTTGGTTTAACTTCATCTCTTATTATTTCGTCGGGTAATTGAGGCTTTAATGACAGTTTTGGGGGGTCTATTTTCGGAGGTGATGAACTGCGAATCTCCGACCAGAAGTCTATCTCATCGGTTTTTTCGTCTTCTTTGAGTGGGGGCAGGGGTTTGGGCTCGGATTTTGCGAGGGGGAAGGATCTTAAGGATTTGAAGGGTCCTTTTGGGGGGTTTTCCTCGGTGGGAGACACTCGGGTCAGGATTATGTCCTTTGGAGGATCGTTCAGCAGCGGCAGGGGGAGGGACTTTGCACTTGTCAGTTTCTTCTTTAGTTTTTTCACTGGCGGTATTTTTGGCTTTTCCGAACGTTTTAGCTTTGGTTTCGGGTCCTCGTCGCACTCGAAGGAAGAACCTTTCGAGTTCTGGAGCTTCTTTTTTGTCTTCTTCTCTGGGTGATGTAGGTCAAGCTCTAGGGAACCTATTCCACTGTCTGTGGAGAGGAACTTTGATTTGGTCATTTTGGGTTTTGGTTTGAGCTTTGGGGGGTCTGGAGGGGATAACGAGGGCAGGGCACTATCGGTGAAGGATTTCGATTTGCTGAGGGGCTTGAAGTTTTCCGGGGTTTCCTCTTTAATAGGAGTGGATTCTTCCTTGAGTTGGAGTGGTTTTGACTTCTCAAGAGGTTCCTTCTCTCTGATTTCTATTTTGGATTCTGGGGGAAGTTCCTTCTCTAGGGGTGAAGGGTTGCTTTCGTTAGAGGGTTTTATGTCCTCTGAAGATTTCAGGTCGTCAATAATATTTTCGCTCTTTTCGATAAGGCTTTCTTCGGGCTTGAGAATCGAGGGAATTTCATTCTCAATTAACAATGGTTGGGATTCATTCACAAGCTTCTTGTCTTCAGACGAAATTTCTTTCACAACTGGAAATTTAGATTCATCAAGAATTTTGGTCGTCTCAATCATCTTAACTTTAGGAACCAAGGAGACTGCACTCTCAATGGAGAACGATTTTGATTTCTCTACAAGTGTTTCCTGCTTGATAGCTATTTTGTTTCCGTCAGAAGGTTTCTTACATTCTAAAGAAGTTTCTTTCTCAACTGCCGAAGCCTTCGATTCAACAGACAAGGACTTCGACTTATTCAGTTTCTCCTTCCTCAACCCATCAAATTTGGAATCCGAAATTCTGCTTTCACTTACAGAAGACTTCAGCTTACTCAATGGTTTATTTTTCTCCAAGATGTCAGTCCGACCAGCTGCGATTTGACTCTTCCCGTCTGATATTTTTAACTCACTGCAAGCGTCCCCCATCACCTCATCTTCCTTTTTTCGCAGAATGTCCGGATCTCCCCCTTTGCCCACAGGAGATCCCCCACTCACCGATCCCTGATCGATTACCTGGGAATTTCCGCTACCTGCCCCACGCAATTCCCACAGGCTCCCTCCCTCACCACAATCTTCACTCGTAATTGCCATATCCTCACAAACATCTTTCCCAAAATCACGAGTCAAACTTTTTCGAGTCTCTTCCACTGCACTCTCATCAATCACACCCTGCGAACTCTCTCCACCAACTCTCGACAATTCCTCCGATGCTTTCATCAACAGCTTCGCATCAGAAGTGATCTCACACCTCGCAGCACTAGTCTCTTCATCAATAACATTGATCACTCCTCCGACCTCTGTATCACTCTTAAATGTATCTTTAGCCCGGATATTGGCAGGTTTTGAATCACTCTCTTTCTTAATACGATCCATTTTCGATCGTAATGAACGCTGATTGGTGGCCCCCTCATCGTCCCTCGGCCCCGATGACTTTGCAATTTGTTGCCTCAGGGTCAAGTACACGCTGTTGCGTGAATTGTCGAGAATGTACGGCTTCTTGATGGGTAGAACAACGACTTCTTCCTCTTCCATCTTACGTGCTGCTTTCGGTGGAGGCAATCTGACGCTCTCCCTGAGTTCGATCTCCTTCTGCTTGTCCTTGGCGTTGACTACAATCGTGGAGAAGTCGCCGACGCTGTTACAGGCCTCGATCTTGAACCCCTTCGCCGGGTCTTTTCCATCTTCACCAGGGGTTGACGGCGCCGATGACGGCGGCGATGGCTTGTCCGTTCCCTTTTTCTTCTTCTTGATCTTCTTCGGGATCTTCTTCTTGGTGTCGTCAGACTTGTCGGCTTCCGACTCGGATTTGCCGACTGCAGCCGATCGCAGCTGATTCTTGTGGAGGAGAGTTCCTCTCCGCACTTCGACTTCAATCTCCGCCTGCTCCTCGGCGACTAGATTGTCCAGCACTTCCGCCTGCACTTGGGCGATTGCAAGCTCTCGCTCCAGTTGGCCCGGGTCCATCTGAATGTCCGCTGATGAGCGACGACGCGTCATCCTCCTGGTGAGCTTGCCCTGCGGCGCTTCTGATGGGTCCTCCAGGGGTTCGTGCGCGAGCTGACGGATTTTGGGGGCATCCTCGGGGGGCTTCTTGTCTTTTATGAAGAACTTCTCCCGGAGGAGCTCTCCGACGGTCTTCTCGTGGCGCTCGTTGTGCTCTCGCAGGGTCGGGTTGTCCTTCAGGGCTTGCGAGCGAATCCTGATGGTCGGGCGGTCTCGGCGAAGACGGTTCCCCGGGCGTGAGTGGTCCGCGTGGAGGGTCCGCGGGGTTGACACGTCGATGTCCGCTGTGTCGATTATTCTTTTTGGGCGGGAGGGGAGGATCACTGGGGCGTAACGACGGTAGTTACTCAGGGGGGACTCCGAGATTGTCGAGAGGTGCGGGGCGAAACGGTGGGGCGTGTAGACCCTGGAAAATAAGGTGATGATTATGGTGGGATTTTTTTGGAATTTGGCCTGTTATTTCAGGAAGGAATTCATTCTACGACAGTTTTATCCCATTTTCTGTCTCATTTCTGATTGGAATTAATACGATTAATAATAATGATTGTGAGAATTGATGCGCTGGCGTTCGACGTATCGTTTTTTATGACCGTCACAACCGTGAACAATTTTACTAGAATCTGATTCGGGACGAAACAATCGTGGAATGAAGGACTAATTCCCGTTAAAAAAGCCTCTAAAAAATTAATTTAATGACTTCCTTTCCCTGAAAATAGAAATAATCCCAGCCCCTCCTCTTACGTAATTTACCGCGTTTTTGGTACGTCACATTGTGCTTATTTTTAATCGTAAATAAACAAGTTGGAAGACATGACGATACACATTCGTCTTGTTTAAAATTATATCTGACACGTGGACCTTGAACGACTTTCTTTGAGACACTAGTTCAACAGCATCAATTGTCGCTGAATATTTACACGCGCGTCACTTTCATCTAGGGGTTCAATTGGCCTGAATGAGGTATAGTCTGTGCAATTTTGGGGTTTCCACGTGGGTGTCGAATTGGGGCGATTATAATTGTTGATCTGATTGGCATCCAGCCAATTATTATTGAACGAGATGAATTGGGTTAATTTCATTAGTTTATGATGATGGATATTCATTCTGCAATCATAAGACGCGATTTCTCAAGTGCAGCGAATTTTCCTGATGCAATGGGAGATCTTTCTCGATCACATTACCCCTGAATATCATAACTGGATAATTATCCAGGGAGCGGTATCTAGCCGGACAATTGGGATTCGAAAAAGTAATTAAAACTCAAAGGTGGAGGCGAAGGGAATCTGAAAAATGCTTCAGCTGTTGCAATTGTTCGGTGGAATGGTATCGAAGACGCAGTCGATCTCGAATCCATCCGAACATTTGGCTGGATGACAAATAGCGAGCGCATCGTGTCTGATTCAAAAGAAACTAGCGGATGATACTACAGAGACAATTTTTTCTCGGGCCATTCACGATCTCAAGCGATAATGACAGATTGTTGACCTAGTCTCGGGAATTGAATTTTGAAGAATGTTTCGAGGAATTGATCAAACAAATGCACTTCCATCTTGTTAAATGCCAATTTTATTATTAGAAGAAAATTTGAGAGAGATTTTTCACGGAAAATTGCACCGAATGTAACGTTGTTATTCAGATCGAGTAATTTTTTTATGCAAACAAACGCCGTTGACATTTATTGCATTTCATACAATACGAAAATTCCAAGTGAAGAGTTTTCTTCGTTAACATAATTGTCAATAGAGTTCTTATACGCTGAGAAAAAAAATTACTTTTGCTGAGTAAATTCACGGACGCAAAAATTCAGTAGAAAAACCTATCGAATTCGTTGAAAAATTCTATTGAATTTCTATTAAACTTTCTATTAGTTTTTGGCTGATTCTATTGACATGTTCAATAGAAAACATTCAATAGAAAAAGTCAATTGAATTCGATTTGTCTATATAACTTATTCTTTTCATATATTTTCTATAAAATTTGCTCGACTCAAATTGTCTAAGTTTTTAAAATTCTATTTTTCTTTTCCTCTCATCAGAAACTCAAACGAAAAAACTTGGAAAATTTGAGCCGAGGAAATTCTATAGAAAATATCTCAATAGAATAAGTTATATAGAAAAATTGAATTCTATTGACTTTTTCTACTGAATATTTACTATTGAACATTTCAACAGAATCGGCCAAAAACTAATAGAACAATTCAATTAAAATTCAATAGAATTTTCCAACGAATTCGATAGGTTTTTCTATTAAATTTTTTCGTCCGTGTTTGCTTGCCACAAGTAAATGTCCATAAATATTTACATTTGAAATTTGTGGGTTTTCTTGTAATTAATAAATTTACTTGGTAAAGTTATTTTTTGTCTCAGTGGAGACTTTCGAGAATAACTTAATGCAATTTTGAAAGAACGACTAGATTTTCTAATCGAACATCTCCCCCTAAAAAATGATGAAACAAATATCTAAGAGAATTCTCATGCATCTTCATCTTCTCATTCCGTTCTTTAGAATGCAAAGATGAATTCTCTCCCCCTGAACAACCCCTCACCCCAACAATTAAGCAACAAATATTTCCCCGAAGAGCTCCCCCGAATCGCCACCTCCGGAGCCAATTCGGCTGTATTAATAGCCCCATCAAAGCATAGTGAGCATTTTTCGAATGGCCAAAACCCTGATATGAAGATGTCTTACCTTCCGGTGCCTGTCATCAGCGAGCTGTGATTGGCGAACGCTCCTCCCCCGTAGTAATAAGACATACTGTCCCCATAGTACGACATCCTGACGTCTCCGATCGAATCTCCACCACAGTAAACGCGATTAAAATCGATAAACTCACTGTATCACTCACTTCAAGGTGTCACTGGACAATTCACGTGATAGACAATTAACAGTAAAAAGACCGTTCTCACGGTTCAGGGAGCCAAGACCGACTGAGTTTTAAGCCAGCGAACCCAAGTGTGTAATTATAGAATTCTAGTATATGAGGTCTTCCCTAGCACAACACTGTATAGATAGACAACAAGCAATCCAAGCTGGCTAATAACATTTTCACAATGATCTGACCAACCAAAAAACATTTAGTATTTGTAATTGTGGGAAAATGTTGGACCAATTGGCGGGGACATGCTGGGGGATGAGGGGACACAGGGAAGTGCGCCAGAAAATTTCAAGTTGTTACGCGCCAGGAGATGTAACCGTAATCGAAGTATTTCGGGGGGAGCCAAAGAAATCGATAAGATCAATGCTTCATTACTTAATGGTAATTATAGATGGGGGCGGAGGGGCGGGGAGGGGGGGAGGATTGAGAGCATTATTTTTTATATATTCATTTCGGAATGACGATTGTTGAAGTAACGTCATTCGGTAGGAGAGGAATTACGGACTGGTCTCGGATGGTAACTTAGGATTTAGAAGTTTAGGCCAGTCAAGTAAGAACTTTACTTTGAGCGCGGTTGGCGGCTTAACGGTTGAAATTACGAAAATGCTGCTAGTGGATTTTTTGTAGGAAATTTAATGCTCTGCAAATCATGTCTTATGGGTTTTTACCTTATCTGCTGCGGTTTCGTCAGTACAAAGCGAAAAAGCTCACGCGGACGCTTAATTTTGCAGTTTTGAATTTTTTTTATAGAATTTTCCGGTTTGATAGAATCCCAAAAATTTAATGTGGGTTTCATATCATTTTTCCGCATGGTGTGCTGTGGTTTTTAATCTTCTTCTATCATCCTGATTTCGAAATCGTAATTTCAGTAGCGAAATCGTCAAACTTGGCTAGTTGTCAATGAATATCTCGAAATCTAAGGGAGATGGCAAAATTTTTCTCATAACCTTTTTAGTAGGACTCCATTCGCTCTACAAAAAAGGTTATTATGAAAATTTCGCTATCTCCCTTAAATTCGGAAATATTTCTGGAAAACTCAACTAAAGACTGAATTGACTCAAACCGTTTGACCACTTCGCTACTGATTTGACTGGCCTAATTCCTTCAGGAGGCTGAGGAGGGTTGAACGACCCTCACGTACCTTTGGAATGGAAGGTCAAGAGTTCTTAAGGGGCGAATGAGTCAATCAATAACGTCCTTAAGGGGATCGTGTGTTCCACGAGGTAAGATTGACTACCAAAATTACCAGAATTCCGAAAAATAATTGAAGGACAATTCAATCGTGAATTAAATTCATGTTTAGAAATATGATCGAGGTTTTCTAGACACGATCGTGATGATTTTAAATGATTGCTTACTTTGGCAATCGTAGATAATCGAAAGGAGAAACAGACTTACCATCGCACTTGAGACCTTGGCGGAAGAATCCGTAGAGCATTGAGCCGCAGTGGTCACAGAACGTTGGCGACATGAAGGTGTGCGGTCGAAACCTATGGGGCACATCCACCTTGAATCGTTCCCTCAAGTACTGAATAGAATAAATCCAATCAATGGTATATCGTCAATCGTTAATTATTTCATTGGTAAATGAGAGCGAGAATGAAGCCGTGAATACTCAAGATTAAATTAACTGTTTTTAATTATCGATATCTCAATATATTTTCAAATGAGACCAGATTTTTCCAAATTGCATAATTTAATCAGAAGTTTTCGACGAAAAGATTTCTTCTTTCCCCGTTCTTTTAAACTACAATCTGATATTGTTGTTAATTTTCGATTTATGTCGTAAAGGAGAGCATTTAGAAGAAAATGTCATTAGATATTTTTTGTAGAGAATTCAAGTCGCAACAAAAAATGTCTGTTGGAATTTTCTCGTAAAATTCCTTATTTATGGAGATAATTCAACTTTTATAAACATGAGAAAAATCAAATTACGAAGTGGAATTAAGAAATTTTATGTCATTTTAAAGATTTCAATTTTAATTTCAATTTTTGAAGTGAAAGGAATTTATCTTATTCGCATTGTTTGCTCCACCCCTCTTCTGAGATGAAGTTGATGCAGATTTTTCCTCATTTCTGAGATTTTTTCACAGATAAATAGCTTTTGAATGTTTCTAATAATTGAAAACATTACAAATGAAAAAAATACGATATTAATGCAATCCCACGCTCACACGAAGCTTTCATGCTCCATCAAGACGCTTTCGCTTGAAACACCCGAGCAATAAATCAGAGTCGAGTAGCTTCCTAAAACAAATAAATTGGCTAAGTGAATATGATCAATGTGCTGTCATGCAGGCATCCTCACTTTTTTTCTCTTCCAAACTCGAAAGTCAATAAATTACTGAGATGTTCAGTAGTGAAGTGACAACAACTAATAGAAGAAAACAGATCAGAAGCAGTCACTCCTGCCCATTATTCTATATATTTTTAAATTTTTATGAAAAAAACTTTTTTCAATGCAGGAAACTGATTTTTAATTTTTGTGGGGAAAAATTTCATATAAAATAATTATCAATCAAATTCATTAAAAAATCCGCAGCTTTACCTGCGCTGTTTTTCAATAAAAATGTTTGCAAAATTCTTGTAAATATTCTACGGGAAACATTCTATAGAATAAATCAGTAGAATTTGATTTTCCTGTACAATTTATTCTATTGAGATATTTTTTTCAAGAATTCATGGGCATGAATTTTCCTTTTTTTTAAATTGCTAATAGAATTCTGATAGAACATCGAGAGATTTCTTATAGAATTCCAATAGAAATTCAATGGAATTTCTTGGGGAAAACGCTAGATTCTTCAATTTCTTTTTTTTCGTGTGTCTCCCCGCATGACCATTTCACTACTGAATCCATCATGAACGCATGCTGATAACTATGAGCCCATTTACAATAGTGTTTTCCGAGTCTCTCCCACTCTCTAAACACTTCGTCAACAGTTTGTCATGGCACTTCTTGTGGACTGCAGTCTGACAGGCTGAAACCAGAGTGAAAATATTATAATATCACATGTTTTCGGGGCGTATACGTACTTAGAAAAAAGTGATAAACGACCTCGCACCTTGGCATTGATAGCCCTGCTTTCCAAAGCCCCTGGAAAGCATGAAAAAATATTTATTAAACAGCATAAAAAATCAAAACTAAATAAAACGAACTTCAACATCAATTTTAGATTTAAAAAAATCTGAGAACCTTCAAATTTTCAAAGTTACATTTAAAAAAAAATGGAAATTCAAGAAATATAAAAAACGTTTCCATAAAAATTTCGCCATCTTAATTAGTTTGAGAGATTTTAAAGAAGAATGTATCAATTAATGAACTCATTCATTTATTTTGTGAGATATTTTAAAAAATCACCTTAAAATTTAATGAAAAAACGAGTAATTTTGTTTTTGACGCAACAAAATTGTTCATTTATTAGTTAAGTTCTTTAAATTCAAGGAAAAAGTGAAATTTGTTTGAGAAATGTTGTCGTATCTCTAAAAAAAAATTGGCTGTCCCCTCCAGATGCCGAGATATTCCCAAAAACCAGTTCCCAAACAACAATTGCATAATTTATTAATCTCGAATATATTCTCCTCCAACGTACGTCACCAGATTCTTAAAAATATGTATAAAACCCCGTTGAGTCGACACTTATAAACCCTGAACTAAAAAAAATGCATGAGAAAACGATTGACCGTTATTATTAGAAAATTCACCGGTGAATTCTGGAGAGTAATAGGATTGTACCAGAGGAAGTCTTTGCAGAATGCGCAGAACGTGGGCTGTCGGAAGAATTTAGCGACGAGTCTGTGGCCCCTTATCACGTGAATTTTGTTGTGCTTGACGGCTCCTCGTCGCCGGGTGATGGGACCACCCGGGTCATGATCCGGGAGGGGAGTGGCCGAGGAGGTTGACTCCCCGGTAAGATCGCGCCTGGGGACTCTAGTTCGGTAGACGTATGTCCTTCCTGCTGACGGGGATGGCAGGTCTTCTGGGTTCAGTGGCGATGGAATTCTCGTTCTGTTTCGGGGGAAAATATTTTCGTCAACTCATTAACCAATTAATCGACCCATTAATTGCTTAATCGATAATGAGTGGAGATGATTTTTTCGGGGGGTGAAGGGAGTGGGTGAATGCAAAAATTTACGGACATTATTTATTTCAAATGTAATTTATTTATTATTTTGAATGTTAACATCTTTAGAAATTTAAAATTCTGCACGAAAACTTCAGAATGAAACACCGGGAAAAAGCCTGTTTCATAATTTAAACTTTTTTTTTTAGGGTCAAAGGGTTTTGGAGGTCAAGTGACCTTTAAATCGTTTAGGATTAAAATTACAAATTGCAGAAAATTCATCAAAAGGATTATTTTCGCTTTTTTAATGTCGTCAGCTCTTCGAAAAAATTTGACCCTTAACCCCGAGCGTCATTAAGGGTGACCAGACCCTCATTCAAAACAAAAAATATATATTATTAAATTATGTGAGACATATATTGCAAAAAAATTCTGTAACAACAAAAAAATTAATTACTCACCTGTAGGTATACCCCTCTGGCCCCATTCTGGGCTGTGGCAGTCGATGATCAAGTGCACACTTCCTACTACTACTGCTACTAGTATTCCTACTACTATTCGCATTCCGGCGTTTCGAGTGCGAGGACCTTCCCCCCGTAAACATCATCTTCCCCCCCGACTAATTACCCCTTTCCCAATTAAACAACTCCTGATTAACATTCACCAGTCCAAGTCTCTCCGGAACTCCCGCCCATTGCTATCCCGACCGGATTAATTCTATCGAAATGCTCGGATCTCCAAAACCACTTCGAAATGTTAATTTGAAGTATTATCCACGAGTAGCGTCGATTCACACCTCTGTCCGGCACTCTCACAAACCAAAATGAGGCGTCTATAAATATTACAAAGTCCTCGTGCCACTAATTTCGCCGTATTTCGATTTTCAATGCATCACCAAACCCTCTTCCCCCAATTAATTCCAGAGCCTCCAGTAAAATAGTCAATTAAAACGCCGATACCCCGATTTCACCGGTAGTTCCAACATCTCCCAATCAGTCTCTTGATAATCAACAATAATTAATCCCTCCGTCAACAAATAAATACAAAACCCCTAGAAAAAGCTCTGGAATACTTCATTCGCGTCCACGTGGCTTCGAAATAGAATCGCGAGTGAAAGACAAAAACCAGAATTTCAAATTAAAAAAAAAATTGTGATTCATAGTTTAAAAATCGATGATTTCTTTCTCCGATGATTCACTCCGGAATTCGATGATATTTTCATGAACGTCACTCGTCACCATGGGGAGCTCAACAGCCCCCGAAAAAGCTCAATCATTATCACGAGGCACCAGTCCCTGATTAATTGAACTCTGATGATTTTTTTTTTCAAACTGAACGAGGGGATGAGGATGAATCACATGGCTGATATTGTGAGGATGGATTAAATGCAAGGGGTCAAATGATACCGGATTTTTTGACGCCTAAAAACGCCGTGGGTTTGCTACGAAAATCTCAACGTGTCTATAAATATCGGTAGCGTTGAATACCGCCCGCCATACCTATATTTTTTAACAACTTGATGGAATCTTCGATGGAACTGCGCATGATTTTTACACCACCAGCGCCATTTAACATGATTTTTTAGTCATTTTTGGGGTGAGAGTGCCTTAGGTAAATTAATTGTTTTTATCGAGTAATTATTTTCCATGTGGAAACGAATGTGATATTTATTGCATTTGGTAAAAATGATTAGTTTCTTTTGGTTTTACTGTAAACATTTTTTAAATCATTCATTGAAATCGCGAGTGAAAAACCCAGCGAATTCTCTGAAAAATTCTATTGAATTTCTATTAAACTTTCTACTGATAAAAATCACAAGAAAGTACAGCATTTCTCAAGCATCAAATTTCCTCCAGGAAATAATACGAAACGTGAAGACATTGCATAAGAAATCGTTTGAAAGGGGTGAAAATAAAAGAAAGACAATTCAATCGCTTTATCAACTTTTATTCAATTTTATCGTTCCTCAGCAGATTTTTAGATTCAATTCATTAGATCCATCGACTCAAACCCCTCAAATCGATGAACTCCCTTTCTGCTGACTCATTTCACGAAATAAAGGGGGAAAATTAAAATTTTCATAAAAAATAAAAAAAAACATTCATTACCCGTAAGAACTATACATAATTTATTATTATGCTACGTGTGTTCTCTCGCATAAATCCTTCAAAAGTTCGTATCTCAAATCATCAAATTGATGCGTCCACTTCGGTCACGTGTTTGTTTCAGTTATTGTTTTTTAATAGATTTTTTAAACTCTCGTGTATCGGAGGCGAAAGGAAATGGAAAATCCTAAATTTTTAATAATCAAACTCAAAAATTGTACAAAAAACATCGCGTTGTTGTTTAAATCAGTGGAGAAGAGTCGATTTTCGATTTTCAAACATAAGAATATCTCCCTAACTTTTGGTTTTACGACAAAATGTCAGAAGACACTTTTAATCGGAAATTTGATTCCTCAAAAAAAAGGTTTCTGACATTTTCCTCTAAAATCACTCGTTCTCGAGATAAATTAACAATTAACAAAGCTCAAAGCTTACGTCAAATGGAATCAATCGCAAAATTTTTAATAAACATTTCAGAATTTAAGGGAGACAGAACATTTTTCGTGATAAACTGAAACATCTGGAAAACGTCTACTTGAAACCCTTTTTTTGTTTTTAGTTGAGGGTCAAAAGGTCTTGAAGGTCACAATTACTTGACCTCATCTAAAAAAGCAAAAAAAAAATTTCCTCAACTGTTTTCAAACGTTGTTTCCTATTAGATTTCATTTTGCCCTTCCCCCTCCCCTAAATTCCACCACTTCCCCACTGAATAAACTCGCAAAGGTAAAAGAAACTGGAATCGCACACCAGTAAATCCACTTTAAGTTATCCGCCAACATGATCAGTCAATAATGGTCTCAACACGAGTCTCGGTACGTTTTTATCACTCATTTAACAAATTAAAATAGTGATCAATTGTCAGTGTTCAGTGGCTAATTTTTTTGGCTGACGTTCCTTCGCACGTTTGAGTCGTTGCATTAGGAGATTGTGAAGCTGGTCGACTTCCTTAGGTGCTGCTTGAACAATGAAAATCCTAATGTCACCGTGAACATCCATGGCAGTTAGCCTCAGTGATTTCGGCCCTGCGAGTTCAGCTGTCATTCCAGGCCATACTTTAGTGTTTAATATGAGTCGTTGGGTGCCTGTTGCACGTCCAACGAGTCGGGACTCGTCGTCACGGTCGTTCAGGCGGAGGGTACCTCTCCCTCGCTCTTGCCAACCACTAGTTGCCTGGGGAATTGCAAAGTTTTTATTTTTTATTCATTTTTGTACTGATAAGTATTAATCCGTCGGTGGATTATTTACATAACTTCATTCGAGTATTATTTACATATAAACTTTGGTTTTTCTGTCAACCTGTATTTAGTTGCTGTGAACATATTTTTAAATTCTTATATTATCTCTTTTAATGCAATCATGAAGAATTTTTAGACTTTTAGAGTCTATCTCTGCCAGGAATGTGGCTATGGTATATGGCCTAGAAGTTTTCATTTCCAATAACTTATCGAACATTTTATGTGATAAATAAAAACAAAGTTTTTATTTATCATATTTTTTGCTAATTATTCATCATGATTATACGTATTATTTTTATTCACCATTAATTAGAGAACTTCAAAATTCAATTCTATTTCATATTGATGGAAATTTTTATCAAGTTACAGTCCCACTGAAAATTCATTATTCGAAATCAATATCCAATACAAATTCATCAATAGAATAATTTTAAAAACGTTAACAGGCTTGAAAAAAATGAAAGAATGGAGAAAGCCTCACCTTATCAAAAGCAAAAAGTTTGCAATTGATCTGAAGAACATTGGTCTCCCCCTCCTCGCCCGTGAGAAGAGTAACCTGGCTGTACTTCCTCTTATTAGCACGATTGGCCTCCTCCATCTCCTGGGCAGCCTGCGTCAGAGTGAGTCCAGGTCTGCTAGTGCTTCGACAGACAGCAGCAGCACTGGAGAACAGCAACTCCGAGGAACCATTCTCATTGCTCTTCTCCTCCTTGCTCGTCTCCTCCTGCTCCTCACTCTCCCCATTGTCGTTATCATTCTCTTTAGCAACAGTCACCCTCTCCTTGAGGTTCTGACCGAAAACGAAGCTCGAGGCCGACGAGTTAGCTGTCACTGCACTATTTACACTGTTCTCGTGATGCTCCTTGGAGCTCGTCCCCAGGGGCAGGAACTTTGGCGCCTCCTCTGGCTTTTTTGTCTCGTTATTCGTCTCTGGGGTGTCTTCACTCGATTTTTTAACCTCCTCACCGTTTCCATCGAACAATGCACTGTCTGTTACTTTAGTGAAGGGATTCGACGTGTCGGTGGGGGTCAGGGATGTGCTGGGGGAATTAGTTGCTAGTGGAGTCAGTTGGGAGGGCCGGAGGAGGCTCGAGGGCTTCAGGACTGAGGTCGATGATGATTTGCTGAATTCACTTATGCCGAAGGAGTTGCCGAATTTTGAGGCTGTCAACACTGGACCTGCAAGGATTATTATGCGGTTAAAGTAGCGCCATCCTCTGGCCGGGCTACGCTACTTTAGAATATTTTCAGTTTTGGAATTTTCCAATTAAATTGAGTGAGAAAAATTTGAAAAAAATATATATATACCCAGTCAGTATTATCTAAATTGAATTTCGCAAATCGTTAATATTTTTTCAAACATTTCTTTCTTATAAATAAATGGTAGAACTTGTTTGCAAAACGGTAGATCATTTTTTATTAGGCGTCAAAAAATTTGGATAAAATATTGAGATTTTAATCTTCAATTACAATAGAAATATTAGAATATTATGTGAAATATTAGAATATTTTCACATAAGACACTGGGGTAAATCCTGATTCTTAAACATTTTTTGTTTGAAAAACAAAACGACCATTGAGAAAAAAATTACGATTCCGAATGTAATCGAGTTTTCTGAATTTTTTTTTTTCAGTTTTCAATAATCTTTGAATTTACCGTAAGGGTGGAGCTACTTTATTCTTCTGCTTTTGAGTGAAGTTTCTAATAATTAGACATGTTGATGAATGTGGAATTATGCCAGTGGAAAAAAAGGAGTTTTCCTATTTTACCTTGAAATTAATAGCTTTTTAGATAATTCCACAGGCTCTCACAGAATTTATTTTCCAATTAATAATTCCCCTACTGGACATCTCCAAAAATAAAAATGAAAACAGAGGGCGAAATCAAGCCCCATATTGTCTACTTAATTCTGAATAATCGCCAGCGGTTGATGAATTAATGTCCATCAGCATGGAGCCGCGAATTCTGTCTCTCAGTTGATGAAAAATATATTTCTCTCAGTATTTGCAATATTGGACTTGAAAAAATCGTTAGAAATTCCAACTACTCATTCTGGACTTTGAGGGAAAAAGGAGTCTTTCCATTTTTCCCTGGATTCAACATTTTTTTAAGATAATTTCACACAGGCTCTCACAGAATTTATTTTCCAATTAATAATTCATCTACTGGAGATCTCCAAAAATAAAAATGGAAACAGAGAGCGAAATCAAGCCCCATATTGTCTACTTAATTCTGAATAATCACCAAGGGTTGATGAATTAATGTCCAGCGAATTCTGTCTCTCAGTTGATGAAAAATATATTTTTCAGAGTATTTGCAATGTTGGACTTGAAAAAATCGTTAGAAATTCAGACTACTCACTGTGGATTTTGAGGGCGGAGTTGGAGGAGGGCGAGGACGGCGTCTGGGAGCTGTCCTCCCCTGATTGTCCCTCAGCTTCGTCTGCAAATTCATTGAGGTTATGAACCCTCCCACCTATTCCCTCACCAATCCCCAAGAGATAACTCAGAGGATCGAGTAAAACGTGAATAAATTCAACGAAGCCGGCGTAAAACCAGCAATTTCAACTATAAAAAACGGAATTTAATGGAATAAATAAACGAACCGTTGGCTGAGTTCTCACTGGCCTCTTCCGGTGCGTCGAACTTCATGATTATCGGCGGCCTGGGCCTGTTGGACTCCTCCGTGCTCTCTAATCAACAAAGCAATTCGAGATTATTCACCAACAAGAGTAATCCTAGATTCGATGAGAAGGGCACAGATCCATTGTCATCACAAGCAAAATAGAGTAACCGTCGCACATCGAACAACGGAGAGGTACGTGGGAAGGGTGTTTAATCGTGAATTGTCCCTTCGAAGGGCTGATGGGGGAGGAGAGCAGAGGGCTGAGGGATTGTTGAGAAAATGGCTGAGAGGGTTATCGTGGCGATTAAATGTGTTATGAGAATAGTTTATTTAACAGTATCACAAAACGCACCCGTGCAGTCCGCCATTTTTTAACGTGCGAAATGATTCGTGGTGGCGGGGTTGTAGAGGGAAATCTGGAGGTGATTGTGGCGGGTGATAACAGATGTCGCGACGACATCATGACGTCGAATAAAACAAGGGAAGGGGAAGGTAGGGTAAAACGGACACTTTTGACTTTTTTTGAAATATTCATGACGTGTTGAATTGTTCATGAAATGGAATAATTTTATTTTTCAATTGAAAAACAATGATTCATCTTTGTGATGAGCTTAGAATGAGCTCAATTGATGAATCTGTTTCTGAGTTATGAATATTTTGAAAAAATTAAAAAATGTCTAGATGTAGACAACGAGCTTTCACATGAATTTTGAGATACCCTTGTTTTAAAAAGATCTGTTGATTTTTTTGAGAGAGAGGTCTATTTAAAATTTTTGCTCCTCGTCGAGTGAAAACGTTTGCAGAACTCATCGTCATCTGAATTTATTCCAAATAAAAATGAGAAAGAAAATAGGGGAAACAGTCGTGAGATGATTTTGTACTCTTTAAATTCATTTTTACAATGAAAAATAGGCAACAATTGACGTAAAAATAGTGGCCCTCTCCACCCAATGAAAAAATCTGTCTTTTGACAGATGCCCAAGGGATTTTCGATTCAAAAAACTAAAACAAAGATGGGAATTGCCATTGGACGAAGCAGTTCGCCCTCGAGCCAATGGCAACATCCCCTCTCAATCCAAGATGGCGAGCGCGTTTGAATTTTGAGCGTTACGAACGGTCAGCGTTCGTGCAGGTGCATGCACATCCCGCCTATTGAGCCCTCATTTTCCTCAGTTAAAAGTGAAAAAACTAGGTGTTTTTCGGGATTATAACCGAACCGACGTGAGTCAGGTTCACAGTGAAATCAGCAGGATGGAGAACTTCATGAAGGTCGAGAAGATTGGCGAGGGTAAGTACCAAAAAACGTATCTCACCGCCGGTCCTGTCCCTCGACGTCACCAAAATCTCGTCCTCACGTGGGTTTTTCCCCACAATTTCCATTTTTTCACCTTCAACTCGTGATTTTGGAGAGCAAAAAGTCCGGAAAAAGTGTCTCGATCATTGTGTCGACAATTTTCGTGACGTTGAAGAGCCCCAGAGGTTCTGACGTTTTGTTTTCTTGTGTTGCGAAGGCACTTATGGCGTCGTGTACAAGGGGAAACACAAGAAAACTGGGGAAATTGTTGCCATGAAGAAGATTCGTCTGGAGAGCGATGACGAGGGCATACCCTCCACAGCCATCCGCGAAATTTCCTTGCTGAAGGAGTTGAAGCATCCGAACATCGTGGGCTTGATTGATGTGCTCATGGAGGAGTCCAGGCTTTATCTCATCTTCGAGTATCTCACCATGGATCTCAAAAAGTATATGGACACTCTGGGGAATGAAAAATTAATGCCCGCCGATACTGTCAAGTCGTATTTGTACCAGGTGAATACTTAAAACGTGAAAATAATTGGCTTGAAGTAATTGGGGAATTTAACACGTAATTACCTCGGTGAGGAGTGACTTTAGGAGGAAATATGAGAAGACATCTTTCGTTAGGAATTCAATTCCCCACAAAAAAGATCTTCTGACATTTCCCTCTAAAACCAATAGTTTTCGAAATAAATGCATAGTAAGTAAAAATGGAAATTTTAATTTTCCATGATTTGCCATTTTTTACTACGAAATTATGGGAGAATAATAGCTAATAATCGTATTTATTTAAGATCACACGAGCTGTGCTCTTCTGTCACACACGACGAGTCCTCCATCGTGACTTGAAGCCCCAGAATCTGCTCATCGACGAGCGTGGCGGAATAAAAGTCGCTGATTTCGGTCTGGGAAGGGCATTTGGCATTCCAGTGAGAGTCTACACACACGAGGTCGTTACCCTCTGGTACAGGGCTCCCGAGATCCTCCTAGGCACCACAAGGTACACGTGTGCCATCGATGTCTGGAGTATAGGGTGCATCTTCGCTGAAATGGCGACGAAGAAGCCACTGTTCCAGGGGGACAGTGAAATTGATCAGTTGTTCAGAATATTTCGGTAATTCATTCTTCAGTTTCTTCTAATTTCATTAATTTTCTTCGAAATTAAATTATTTTCAAGCTATTCTCATTAACATCAGCTTTTTTAGAATTTAATTATCTCGATAACGAGTGTTTTCAGAGAAAAATATAGAGATTTTTTATATTAATTCAATTGAAATTTCAACAAAGAATGGTCTTGTACATTTTTCTCTAGAATAGCTCGTTGCTGAGATAATTCTATAATTTTATAATAAATAAATACCACTATAATGAGGAATTTCAGAGGAAAAAGTCATCTGAAAAATCATGTCGAGTAAAATTATGTAATTATTACTAATTAATTCTTTTGTTTTATGAAATTAAATTATCTTCAAGCTATTCTCATTTACATCAGCTTTTTTAGAATGTAATTATCTCGATAACAAGTGCTGTCAGGAAAATATCGAGATATTGTTTATTAATTCAACTGAAATTTCAACAAAGAATGTTCTTTTACATTTTTATCTAGAATAGATCTTTGCTGAGATGATTCGATAATTTTATAATAAATAAATATCACTATAGTGAAGAATTTCAGAGGAAAAAGTCATCTAAAAAATCATGTCGAGTAAAATTATGTAATTATTACTAATTAATTCTTTTGTTTTATGTTTGCCCAGTGTCTTGAAGACACCAACAGAAGAAAATTGGCCTGGTGTCACTCAACTAGCAGATTACAAAGCCACATTTCCCAACTGGACGTCAAATAATTTAGGAAGTCAGGTGAAGCCCCTGAACGAAAAGGGTGTTGATCTCCTCCAGGCGATGCTCATCTACAACCCAGAGAAACGTATATCAGCACGTGCAGCTCTCGAGCACCCCTACTTCGACGATCTAGATCTCAATAAACTTCCTCCAACGTGATAAATATACCGAGGAAAATCATGTGGTTTTGGATTCTCCGGGACGACAATCTCCACTGCTTCGTTCACGGGAATACCTCTGTCGTTTCTTTTAACTCCACAATTCGATTTTAAAGTGTAATCGTTAAATACTCCAGTTTGATTCCATATTCACGTCGATATGCACTCGGTGTTTATTATTCCTCTCAAGTTTTATTATAATTTAACTCAATCGCACTTTTGTGTATCTCATTTTTTATTTCATTTGATTATTTATCTTGATGTCGGTTCATTTGAGGGGTTTTCCACAGGTCGCTGACTCTTCGCATTATTTTCGAGTTGAAATTCATGGTTGAGATATTTTTTGGACATGGTCTGGGGGATCTTTTTAGAGAAAATGTCTTTGGGTGGATTAAGGCGATGAGAATGGAGTTTTATGTCATGAAATTGCAATAGAAATTCACTGGAATTTAAATTTCAACAGAATTTGAATGGAATCGCAATTGAAATTCCTGTCATCCCACATCTATAAAATCTTCTGCAGAACATGTCCATAACATATTTTCAGCCACGTCGTCACAATTGTCTGTATAATACACATTCCTTCCCTGTCCAAGCAATCATCATGCTCGCAGGGCAATTCGTCCAATGAACTTGTAAATATTTTGGATGATAAACGAAAAATTGAGAATTATCTCATTATGTAAACAACGAAACCGTACGAGTGTTCAATTTTTGACATGTGACACGTTGATTGTCTGAGGAGTTGGAAAAATAAAGAGAAATAATGTAATGTTTCTAGATCAGATTAATTCTCGTTAAATTAATTATGTAAGTCGTTCGTGGGTCTTCCCTCAATAGAGAGACGAGACTTTCCGGGAATGCGGAGTGTCGGGTCAGCGGTCCGGCATGCGTCATACAATTTTCTCGTTATCACTGAGATTTAATCATATCGTTGGAACAGCATGGAGTGGGAAAATTCAACAACTGGATTTTTTTCATCTGTATAAATTTAGAATTATCTCAGTAACCAGTCATTCTAGGGGAAAAAATCATAAGACACTTTTTATTGAAAATTTCACCAGGAACAAAAAAGGTCCTGATACTTTTCCTTCTAAAACCACTCGGTATCGAGATAATGATAAATTGAACAAGACCTGAAAAATCGATCTATTAGGCAAGAACAGAGGAAAATTAACCCTCTTCAATTGCCATTATCTCAGGATTGGCTGAGTGAAATTTGAAAAAATTACCGCCATTTTCAAGATAATCTCGTAAGCTTGAAAATGAAAAAAGACTCATCCAAATCGCATCGTTCGTTCGAAAGATGTCCCATTCTATTGATGCCTCTTGTGACGCGTTTCGACGAACGATTCGTCATCTCCATTCAGGCGATGTGGGGATGCGTGACGATGAGGGGAGAGGGCCCATTCTTATAAAACTCAGGGACGTTCAGTGGCTGTTTACAGTGACAATTCACAGTGCGGACGTTCGTCATCGTAAGTTGCATTACAATTTTCCTTTATTTCAACTAGAGCAAAATTTTCGTTTCACAAACCGCGGACATTCTCCACTATTTTATTTATTTGCGCTTTTAGATTAATTCCTCAATTACTATAAATTATTATGCCTCATTTAGATTTATTTCCGTTCATATTCCGTCTTGGAGAACGAGAAAAATGGAATGTGAAAATGTTTTCTATTTTTTTAAAAGTATTTTAGAAGAATTAATTTTACTTCTTGAATTCTTGCAATGAAATCGCGATTAAATATTCAATATTTAGAGTTGCTTTCGTGGGAACGTCCTTGGTCGTGCTCAGGGACACATCCGTGGGTTGAAGGCGAGTGAATCGACTCAATTGATCCTTCGCGGGTGTAATTACCAAACCGGTTGGCTGACCCTGTGGAATTCTGTTATTGTAATCAGATGATTGATTTTCGACAGATGGTTTTGCTGAGGAGTTTAGCAGTTCTCGTGGGAGTTCTGGCGGTGGCCAGTGGGCACACTTATCACATGGGGTCGTGCCCCACGGTGGAGCCCCAACCGGGATTCCAAATGGGCCGGGTAATTACCAGAAATAACTTAATTTTTATTATTAGAATTTTTTATTCTTGCGGTTCCTGAGGTCTTGGAAATTTCATAGAGACTAGATAGTGAATATTCCAAGAGGGAGTGGGTTTAGAGAAGAATGTTGAGGGTTTTTTTAAGTATTGTAGAGTGAAATTGGAGTTTTTTTTCATTCTCAATAATTTTTTTATTCATTCATCTGCAAATATCACGGCAACTAGTCCATTAAATAGAAAATTCCATAAGACATTTTTTGTAGATCTTAAAATTTCTCAGAAAAAAAAACTTATGACATTTTCCTCTAAACCCACTGATTCCAGAGATATTCTCCCGACACGGACATCCGTAAATTTCCCGTTCATGAATTATCGAAAAACCTTTTTTTTATTCAGTTTCTAGGCAATTGGTACGTCATCCAGAAGACATCAACAGCCAGTAAATGCATCAGCTACAACTACACCCGCGGGGACGAGCCCGGGGAGTATATAATCACCCAAGACTCCAATCATCCAGTCCTAGGTAATTTCCCTGCATTCATGAATAAATAGAACTCAAGAAATCTCCAGAAGTCGAATCGTTCATAAAAAATTTGCTGTAATTCAGTGGAAAAACCTTTGAACAAGAAGTCGAAAATAAAAAATCTGCTAATGACTTTATGAAGGATTCTCTCTGAGTGATGCGTCATGCCGGCTACAACGAATGAGGATTGTACATGATCGAGACCGATTAAATGAATGAGTTTAAAGTGGTTTATTGTTAGTTGCTGCTCTCGCAGTTGATTCACGTTTTTTTTTATTCCAGGCCTCACACCACTGAAACATGAGTACCATTACACTGGGGAGCTCACGGTGCCCGAGCCGAGTACCCCCGGACGCATGCAAGTTCGTTTTCCGTTGAGTAAGTACGATTTATTCATAATTTTTTTACTAACAGAAATAGAGAAGAAGTTATCTGACTCAAAATCAATTTGCGAAATTCTCTCAGGGGAAGGTAGAGTAAAATGGTCACTTTTTACTTTTTTAAAAATATTTATAAATAGGGAATAGATTTATCAATTGAGCTCAGTCTGAGCTTGTCACAAAGGGAAGAATTGTGCTTTTAATTGAAAAATGAGATTATTCCATTTCATGAACAATTCAACACGTCATGAGCATTTCAGACAGTCAAAAGTGTCCATTTTACCCCACCCTCCCCTAAATAAAATTTTACCCATTTCATTTAGTTAGTTAATCAGTCTTTACAGAACTTTATTCACCATCATTTTTTTTCCATTTGTCATATTTTACTCATTTGTTTATTCATTATTTAATTATTCGTTATTAAATCTCCTATTTATTAACTCATTTTAATTCTACGCGGTGATTTCTCCTTTTCTTACCTTATTATAATTACAGGAGCACAGTCTTTGCAATTAATTCGGTTATCAACAAGGTCTTAATATAACAGAAAAACATTACTTCATGAGTAAAAAGACTTCAATTCGCTATTTGGCTTATTTAAATGATATCACAGGCTAAGAAAACATAACTTCCTTTCTCTGCTTAATGAACAAATATTCGAAAAGGGCGTTGCTAAAGTTTCCCCCTAATTCCTAAAGGAATTGAATTCCAAAAATTTTAAAGGCGTTTATTTAACATAAATTGGCAATTTAACAATATATATATATATATATACAAATTATATACACGTTATGATAGTTTCAGTCGTAGTCTCAGCCCTTGGGCTCTTACTTACAAATATCTTGGGGGTTGTATTTTATTCAAATGACAGGGAGATTATTTACAATGGAAATAAATGGATAATAGGGAAAAGCGACCAGTGAAAAGCCCTAAAACATGAGGGATAAGTAGAATTGTTCAATAAAAAATATTGAATAATTTGATTTTTCCATACTACTTATTCTGTTAAAACATTTTCTATCGAAATTCCTCAGCTCAAATTTCCCTTTTTTTTTTGTTCGATTCTGTACAAACAAAAAGATTTAAAAAAATATCTCTTCCTCCAGGTGTTGCTGGCACCGCGTCGCACGTAGTCTTTGCAACCGACTACGACACCTACGCGGGTATCTTCACCTGCCAGTCCCTGGCGTTCGCCCACCGCCAGAGCGCAACAATCCTCTCTCGCACGAAGGAGCTCGACAAATCGAAGATCGATGAAGTGAGAGCTAAACTGAGTAGATTCGGAGTTGATCCCTTCGAGCTCAGCATCGTCCCCCAGACAGGCTGCGACACCGGAAAGGATCCTGTGGACATCGACATCAACCCTGGCACCTTCAGTGCCGAGAACATTGGGAACTTATTCAAGAAGGCTGGGGAGAAGATTGGAGACGGTGTGGAGTGGGTAGCCAACGCTGGGAGCAAAGTTTATCACAAGATAACGGGGACTGAGGAGAAGGAGAAGAAGCCTGCCAGCACGACACCCCCCAGTCACGGCAGGATCGAGACTAATGATGTGGAGTGGATCCCGTGAACAATTCTGGATTAGTAATTTTTTTATGAACTCATTCCCATTGTGACTGATATTTAGCTGGAGAAGAAGCGGAAATTTTGGGGGTTTCGTCATTAGACTTTTGTATTATTTCGTGATGTTTTTTATCGATTCGCTTGTGAAGATAGAAGACTTTTTGGGGAGTCTTATCTGCGGAGATTAGAGGAGGATGAGTTTTTTGGATCTGGAAGAATATTGAGTGGCTGCCGATGGAATGTAACTGAGATTATTAATAAATATTCGTACGATTGAGTTGGCGAGTTTTCTTGGGAAAAACTTAATGAATTCAAGACACTCTCACTGCAGAAATCATCGAACTTCAATGATTTCGATTTAATCAATAAATACTTTGAAAATACAAAGTGATGTTTTATCATTACTGAGATACAATTGATATTATGATCTTTATTATAAAAAAATTAAGTTATATCTTGGTTCATTGTATTTACATAAAAATTGAGGACAGCCTTGTCGCACTCCTTCGCAAAAAAACATCACAAGAATTCGCATTAGTGAATACAGTTATCATCACTGGAGTGTTGTACTCGTTCCCCATTCTCTCATCCTTAATCTACAACTGTGATAACAATAATTTTTTAATTATTAACTGGAATTTAATAATTGGTACAATTGAGTTTGGTGAACTTAAGTATTAAAACTTAACATTTGTAAATTAAATGTAAATTCTCGGAACTTTCATGCCATTTATTCTACTGGAGAGAAAGGAATAGAGATGAGTGACGAAGTTTCTGATCATTCTTTTGTGAGTAACTCTCGAACGATTGGGTTTAGAGGAAAATGTTGAAAGATATTTTTTGTAGAGAATTTAATAGGCTACAAAAAATATATTTTCACATTTTGCCGTAAATCTCAGCCTTCTACACATTTTCGGGAAATAAACTTTCAATACTTCTAAAACTCATCTCTTCTCCCATTCTCTTGATGAATCAATTCGTCAACAGATTCCCCTTCAAAAAATCTTAGAGTAATCTCTACTCTCCAGAACCCCATTCCCATAAACGTTAATTCACTCTTACATCCTCCCCTCAATAACATGTCCACCCCCACGTCCCTCACGCAACTAAGACGCACTAATATCCCAAGACTCTCCACTACTGCTATTATTAACCGAAGAATGTCTGCTGATCTGTGGCAGATCAAAATGCCACTTGCCCTCGTCCCCCACGTTCTCCACCCTCCACTCACTCTTCGCCAGCGGTGGTCTCGCCTTGACCCCCAGAGTGGTGGGCCTCTTCCCAGGGTTTTCATCCAGCATCATCCTCAGAAGTTCAATCGCCCTGGGATGTTTCTCCCCAAACCCCCCTGGAAAAATCGCCTTCCTCAGATCCAAGATGGCCATCATCCTCTCCATATCAGTCCCAAAGGGGCTCAACAACTCGAACAAAATGATCCCTAACGAGTAAATATCCACCTTATAATTATAAACCTGTCCATTCATCTGCTCAGGTGCCATGTAGAGATGTGTCCCCACATGGGCCGTGTGCAGACCATTCCCCACGCCCTCGCCCCCATTGGGGGTCCTGGGCTCCTCCCAGCCCTCAGTCATGGCAGTGGCGAGTCCAAAGTCCCCAATCTTGACTTTCTTGTCATAAGAAAAAAATATGTTCGAGGGCTTCAAGTCCCTGTGGATGAGCCCATGAAGGTGAACGTACTCAACCCCATCCACAATCTGCTGGAAAATACTCTCGACATTGTCAGGATTTCTGTCCTGCGTCTGACGCTTCATCCACTCCCTGAGGCTCTCCCTGTGGCACAGCTGCATCTGAATATACAGAAACATTCTGGGGATTTTCCTCGTGGACCTCTGCCCCAGGTTCAGCGACAGGGACGCTTTCCTCTTGTCCCTCTCACTCTTGTCGACCTCATCGACGATTTTCGCAGAGCTGCAGGTGTTCCGAAAGACTATAGACTCTGACTCTTCTCCAACATCATCACCATCGTCTCCCCTGGGATAATTGGCTGATCCCGAAGCCTCTGTGATGCCAGCAGAGTCGTAGATCTCTTCGGTGACAGCAGAGTCATCACTCCCCTCGTCAAAAACAATGAAGGAAGATTCGTCGTTGACCTTGTTGAGCTCCAGTGCCTCGAATGCCGAATCAACTGAGGACTTTTCGCTGTTTGGGAGGTCGATGCAGACAGAGGCATTCGGTTTTGAAGGTGTCATTGATACCTCGGAGGGGAATTCCGAGGGGGAGAACTTCTGTCTGTTGATGTACAGGTCGTCGTGCTCCTCCTTCCAGCCAGCTGGGGGGCACTCCAACCAGGCGTGGAAGTATCGAACGATGTTCTGGTGGTCCAGGTTAGCCAGGGCTCGAACCTCCCTCATTACTCGCTCCCTCGCGTCCTCGTTGTTCGGGAGGGTGATCCTCTTCACTGCGTAGTTCACGTGGTCTATCTTCTTTCGCGCCTCGAAGACTACACCGTAGCCACCCTTACCCAGGCAGTCCACTGGGTCGAAGTCGGTTAAGTATCTGAAGGGTAAATAGAGTATTTGGCGGTTTTAATATCACTTTATAATGATTTTTATTCTCATATTTTTATCATTATTATTCATTATTCATTATTTTTATGTTATTTTTCAATGCATTTATAATATTTTTTTCTATGAACAAAAGTCGTAGATGAAAATTTTAGACAAAATTTCCCCCAAAAATATTGAAATTTTTACTGAAAATACATCAATGATGCTTCTATCAAATGGGAGAAGTTGAATTTCGATTTGTTGAATAATTTGTTTGTTATAAATAAATTTAGCATGTTCGGAAATCTCGGCAAACATTGAAATTGGTGTCAGAAATTAAGAAATTCTCTAGGAGTTTATTTCAAAGTTCAATACAGCCAATGCATTTTATTTCAATTTTTCTCGTTCGACTGTTTTCAAGTTATCGTTCATTAAAAAACGGAGTTCACGCGCCGTAAGTCGCCCGGCCGTTGGGACAATCCGCGTTAAACAGGCGCCGTGAGGGGTTAAACTTTATTTTTTTTAATTTGATAATTGATATTCATTTTAACAAATTTAACTCACAATAAATGGAGCAGACAAAAATACTAATGCCAAAAGGGCAGGAATTTAAACAGAAAACAAACAGAATTTTATGGAATTTAAAAATAATTGATTAATAATGAATAATAACTAATTGCTAATAATTAACCATAAATTAGTTCTAATCGAATTCTTATGGACACGCAATAGAAATTTTATAAGTCTCTTGGAACCATAAGCAGATCCTTCATTAAATTTCTCAATAATCTAGGAAAAACCTGCAATAGAAAATTTATCTGTACCTGGAGACGAATTCTCCCGAGCAATCTAGGGCTGGAGGTGGCTTAGGAGGGGCTCCATTCGGGGGCAGAGGCCTCTCAACGATCAAGGGAGGCAGCACTGCGTCCTTGACAAGAGTGGTAGCATTGAGGAGCCGTTGGGTCAGCATGAAATTCAAGAGAATGGCTGTCGTGATTGAGATTATGAGGACCTCCTTCCACCAGTACCAGAGGGAGACGATTATCACTTGGACTGGGGTCTCCTCGGAGTAAGGGTCCTCCTGGGGTGGGTCTGGGGGGGCAGGGGCCTCCAGAAGAGGCACATGGGTCTTGTTGCACTGGTTGGAGTCCTCTTGCTGCAGGACCTCTTTGCTGTGCAGGTAGAAACCGTTGCCATTGATGAATTCAGAGTTGTAGAGGACTGAGAGGGCGGTCGAAAGGGAGGCGTCTTCCTGGTGGATCGCCAGGGCTGTCTCAGAGGCTGGGTACGGACGCCAGGGGTACGTCCGAGGGGGGCCCGCAGTGCCTGAGAAATTAGAAATTTTTACATCATTGGGTGAATTTGGGGGACGATTCAGTCCATGAAATCATCTTAACGACAGCTTTGTCTCATTTTCTTCTTCACTTACGGTTGGAGTAGATGATATTTGCCATTTTTCTTATTGTTAAATATTTTGGCTAACGAAATCCTCATCTTTGCTTTATTTTTTGAATGAAAAATCAATTGAACATCAGTTAAAAGACAGATTTTTCCTTTTTAAATGGAGAAATTAATTGTTTATTTCTTGGGTGAGGACTGCCTGCTGTTTTTACCGAAATTGTTACCCATTTTTTGCTACTGTCATGAATAATTTCATTAGAATTTGATCCTTGAGAAAGAACAATCACCTGATGAATTAATTCATGATGGGAAATGAGTTTATAAACGTGTAGAATAGTTTTAGGCATTCGAAGTACATATTTCATGAACCATCATTATCATTTTAAGAAAATTCACCTATTAGCTTGACATGCTTCACGTTCTCCTGAATGTACAGCTGACGATCGTGCATCCCCACGTAGATATCCGGGCTCACCGTGTGCTCGTTCCCCCAGTTCCGCTGGGTGCTCTCGAATAAATTCAAGGACGTCAGCTTCTTGGTGCTGTCGCCATAGTCACTCTCCTTTCGTTCTCCATGCTCTCGCCATACCGACACTATCGGGGAGTTCACCTTGTACTGCCACAACTTGATCCCAGGGTTCGTCTTGTTGACCGCCCAGATCAGACCCTCTGGAATGTTCACCTTCAATACGACATTCTCCATCCTTTGGATCAATTTACTGTTGCACTTCTGGTTCTCGTTGGGGATGAGCTCTAGTTCGTGCTGTCCAACTGAGTAGTTCCATCTTAAATAAATAAAATGGATGAATAAAAATTAATTAAAGAATTTAAGTGGAATTTTAGTTGAAATATTTTATTACAATTTTTTTTAAAGATTTTTAGATAGATATTCGATAGAAAGGAGTCAATGGATATTATTTTCTGGAAGAGTAATTCCCATAAGTTTTTTTTCTGTAGAAATCCTTGGGCATAAGTTTTGCAACGAAAACCAAATTAATTTATTTATTTATAAATTAAAGTTTAATCAATTAATTAATGTAGCTTTCCTGATGAATTAATTTCAGTTTAATTACTTCAATTAATTAATTAATTGAAATTTAACAAAAAAAAACAAACTAAAATTAAAAATAATTAATTCTCTTTAGTATTACTTGTCTTGAGGCTGTTCTCAGGCTGTTGTTGATAATTTCCTAGAAAATTAATCAAAAACTTTCTTTTACCTCTCCTGGCCTGTTCGAGGTTCTGCAGCTCGAACAGTGTCTTGAAACCTCCTGACTATGAGGACGTCCTGCTCCAGGTATCTCTCGTTCTCCGTCATGTTCGTGCAGCTGCCCTCGTGGCAGTGGTACAGGATCTTCCCCGTTGAACTGGAGATGCCGTAGGTCCGGGTCTCCCCGGACCCCGAGAGCACCAGATCGTCGGAGTAACGGAATGACGAGCGCAGGAGCTGCTGGGGGGTGACCCGCAGGGACTCCAGGTTCTCACCGTCAAATTTATATAGCCCTCCGCTCAGGGAGGGAATCAGCCTCACCCAATGCCCGTCATTATTCAACTGATGATAAGAATTTAAAGGGATTTCCATTTTTTTAGCATCAAAATTGTCGATAAAATAAAATCTAAAGAATAAAACGAAAAATGGATTAAAAAATTCATGAGCAGGAAGGGGTTTTCCATTTACCTTTGGGAGGAATTATTTATTTTTTGAGGATTGTTTAACTTCAGGTAAAATTCAGAATTTAGAAAATTTAAGGGAGGAATCGATTGTTCGTAAATTGTTCGTGTAAACTTTTTGATGTAAACAAACTGCATTTTCTCAATGATTTTGTCAATTACCTCCCGCTTGTGAATACTGGATGACAGCATCGGTTTATCCTCGAAATCAACGCTCCATTTTTTCTCTCCATTCTTATTCAGATCGAGAGCCAACAGATTTCCATCTAGAGTACTGACAAACACCAAACTGGAGCAAAACCCCTCATTAATACCCAGAAAAGACTTTAAACGAATAGTGTTCCATGAAATTCAAACAAAAAAAAACTTCTCAATCATCAGTTTTCAGTAAATATCTGATAACCCAAGGCAGATACAGAAATTGTCGTGAAGAGTGAGTTTGTACCTCTTGAAATTCCCCATAAACAAGTCCATCGATAAATTTCCATCAATTCCTCCACTCATCTGACCCTGACTCATCAAAAATACTGTTTTATGAAACTTTATTAACACCTCGAAAGACTAAAAAAACGAACTGAGAGTTTTTCATAAATAATTCCAGAGACGAATCCTCAAAACGTACGACGAAAAATAATTTTTCTCTCGATGGAGGCTATCAAATACGTGAGGTCTTCCTCGAGTTATGACGGATAACAATAAATAAATTACATAAACAACGAGTTTGATGTATGAGAGGATAAAAAATATTCTGAAAAAATAGAGAGCCGCACAATCTCTTGAAAAAGTGTGCATTCATCCCCGTGTCATCCCCTGTTGTATTTATTTTCTCCATAATTAATAAAATTTGCTACTTTTAAATTGCGACAGGGATGACTCATGAGTTGTCTTCCACCAGTAAAAGAGTGAAATTGTTTTCGAGCAATCAACAGATCCCCCCGACCCACCAACCCATAATCCACCTCCAAAAATTGACGGATCAATTAGTAAACAAAGTGGTTGATGCAAATCACCTGGAGAATGTTTCATCAGACGTATCGGGCCCGCAAACATTCAACGCTCCAATATTCCCGCCGACGACGACACCAATAGTGGCAAAAACAGCGAGTATCAAGTGTTTCCTGGCTCCAGCCCATAGTGACATGTTTTCAGCTCAAAATCCGCCCGATAATTGACTACTCGAGGGCCCCAGGGAGTCGGCTTGCCCACTGACTCGACAGTTACACATTCTTCGATAATCTCCGGGACACCTCACCCGTATCACTCCGGATTTCTCGACTCCAACAGTATAAACTTGAAAAACAACTGGAGGAATGAGGAACCCTGATAAATCAGCTGAGGTTTGGTTGGTTAATCCTGATACTGCGGTGATGTTTACCAGATGTTGCACATGGATCTGCTGCGTCGTCCAATTCGCTCACTAGGCAGTGGTGCTACCTGCTGGTGGAGCCCCGACCCATCACCCAAGCCTCACCCCGGTTATTCCAAAATATCTCAGGACCTGTCACAGCTATCGAAACCCCCGTTAGCACCTTTTTTGCGGGGAATTTCAAGCCCCACAAAAAACGTCCTGACAAAAAATCCTCTATCTCCCTCGGATCCGGAGATATCAGCCAAAAACGAGAGGCCCAACAATGCCCCCTGTTTTACCACTTCGAAATCCCCTCGAAACCCTGCATTGTCGACCCACAATGCCCCCCAACAATGCAGGTGTCGTTTCATGCATAAATAACCCCCACGTGTTCCCCCCGAATTGCCAAATCCCGAGGTATTGTCATCTGTATCGCCTCTTCCACGGCCCAGACGTGCTATCCCCCCAGGTGCTGAATGTCGTGCAGTGTTGTGTGTTGAGGACGTTAATTATCTCAAGTAAATACCCAAAACACATCGTCCATACTTCTCATCAGCCTCACGCAAGTGCCACCAACGATAATAATCCCCTCAAACCCCTCAACTCCCCTTTATCACTCGAAATAAATTTTTTTCATTCATTCGCGTGAGGAAATACAGTTGAAAGATCACCGCGTGAGTGCCTACCCCCTCCCCCCGACTCGAAAATTTTAGTTCTGTTCTGTTCTGTTACTCCAGCCATACCTGAGGACAATAATAGATTTGGCTGGAACCTTACAGCTCTGATTAAATAAATAGGATTGTCTTCTCACCCCTCTTAACTGACGAATCACCAGTGACTGACTAAATGTATCGCAGTTAACGCACAATAGTTTTGCGGGCTATCAAATCTGTGCGAGAGCTTCGAGTTTTGTTACTTCTTTTTTGGGGACTATTTTGAGAACTTTAAGAGGTACCATAACCTTACGTCCAAGGTACTTGGAGTATTCAGTTGATTTTTCAGTGGTTCGTTGGGGGGATTTTGTTGAGTTGGTTTATTTATTTGGGGCAGGAGGTTGGAGGTGCATAGTTCAAGGATACGAGATTACTAATATTTACTAAATTTGGGGGAGAATTTGGGAGTGAAGTGGTGAGGGGATTCGTTGGTTTTTTAGTTGTACAAATTTTGAGTTTTCAGGTTGAAATGAGGGTTTCGTGGATATATTTGAATCTGAAGGAGATGGGGAGATTTTTGTAGGGAATTTCAAGAGCTAGAAAAAATTTCCTGAAGGAAATTTCGCTATCTCCTGTTGATTCTGAGATATTCATAAAGAATAGAATTTTATTTCATGTTTATTTCATGTATAGAAGCCCTCCTGAGTCAACTCAACATGAGAACAATTATGGCTATTGCTTTATTAGAATAATTAAAGTAAATGTATGAGATACTCATGCAAATGATATAAATTATTCTTCCACTTTTGTATCATGATTATTGTGCTTCAGCAGAGTAAACCTATTAATTTAGAATGCTTAAATAAAACATTTAGGGGAGGTTGGGGTAAAACGGACACTTTGACTTTTAAATGTTAATGAGGGGTTGAAATACTGATGAAATTTAATTACTTTTTTTCAATACAAAGAACAATTCTTTCCCTTTGTGACGAGCCAAAATTGAGCTCAACTGATAAATTTGTTTCTGAGTTATGAATAATTTTAAAAAAGTCTAAAGTGTTCATTTTACCCCACTCTCTTAATAAGAGATTTAAATAAAAGAACTGTCAATATCAATGAAAATGAGGAAAACTCCCTGGGTTTAGAGACATCTGGGGGAAAAAAATCGAATTCCCATTTTTGTTTGTTTCCGTTCTACTTAATTTCGTCACGTTTTGCCACTTCACTACTGAATGAACACATAATGACTGATCATCAAGATGTTCAATCATTTTCTAGGTTCACCACCTCAAACATCACTGATTATAGACCGTAGAGTACAGTAGAGCAATCTAGGAAGTAAACTAATGTTAACAAGCTTGTTAATTCTCTGTAGGTAGTATGGAAGGCCAACAGTTTTGCTTGAGATGGCACAATTTTCAAAATACTCTACTCAGTTCATTGCCAAAATTGCTCGACGGCGGATATTTGACTGATGTTACGCTTAGCGCCGGTGGTAGACACATTCGTGCACATAGGATTATACTATCAGCTTGTAGCTACTACTTCAAAGAGTTGTTCAAGGTATCATTATTTATTCTGCTAATTGCTTTTTACAATGTTTATTAACCTCAGGTTCGTCAGCTGTCGAATTGACATTAAATGTCCCGTCCATTAAATAATGAGCAAAACAATTAATGAAATAGCGAAACGAAATGATTAAATTTCACTTCCAGGTCTGTTCAGGTTTTCTTCAATTATCTCGAAATTGAAGGGAAATAGAGAAATTTTCATCAAGACATTTTTTGTAGCTCTTGAAATTCTCTACAAAAAAGCTCTCCATGAAATCTGTTCTATCTCCCTCAGATTCAAAGATATTCACAAAAAACTGGGCTCAAATGAGAGAAGTTAATCTAGTTTCAATATTTTGTTAATGATGAGGTAATTAATTGACTAAAAATTCGTTGACATATTTTTAGGACTTGAGTGCATTACAGCACCCTGTAATAGTCCTCCCTGGGATGGAATACGCGAATTTATGTGCCCTAGTCACCTTCATGTACAATGGCGAAGTGAACATATACCAGGAGCAACTGCCAGCCCTGCTGGCCATGGCTGACACCCTCCACATTCGTGGACTCGCCGACATTGCCGGGGTAAGGTGACCCTTGTTTAAGAACCTCTAGCCCCCTCCGAGTCACTTCCTCGTGTAATTACCTGCAGAACTGCAGCAAGAACAATGAGTCTAAAAGGCTTGGGCAAAGAAATTAATTGAAGGAAATGTTCAGTGGGATATTCAAGTTCTTATCAATTCGATGCCTCGGGGTGGTGATATCGCACGCGTCTGATGAGATATTAAAAAGTCCACTAACAATTTGGATTATGTATTCAACAGTCATCAAGCTTCTCATAATTCCCAACTCGCGTTCGTCTTTGCAATCACTAGTGCAACGAGCTTTTTATGGCACATTCCATTTATTATGAGTGGACGATCTTGTTGCAATTGTCCTAGAGATGCTCTGCTGGAGTTTTTGAGGATCAAATGGTCTTAAAGATCCAGTAAGTTGGAGTGAAAACTTTGTTTGACCCTCAACTAAAAATAAATAAAGTTCCCTGGGAATTCAACAAATAAAAGTCCCCATTTAATAATTCTTCAATAATTTTATATGGTCTTGCAACATATTGCTTCAATAATTCCTGAAACTTCCCTCATAAATGATAGAAAGTGCCATAATCATGAAAAATCACATGAATAATGACAAAAATCCCAAAATCAAGTGTCAACCTGACTCCCCAATATTTATATTATCCTATCATCGTGTTGTTTTGTTCAGGTCACTTAAACACATTTCAATGTCGTTCCTCGAAGAAGTACTTCACTGAAATTAATAAAGAAAACAATCCAAAACCGAAAAAAAACAAAATCGAAAAATTAAAAACAAACCGAACAAAAAAACGAAACCAAAAAAGTCCAAAAAAACGATATCCACGAGATCAAGATCGTTGTGTGTGTTGCAACTAAATGCGAGTGGATGCATCTCCCGTGGAACCTTACCCCATAGAATGAATTTACCAGGTATATCTCTACAAATAGAACTCTTTTCACGTTCTCTATTGTTTTTTTTATATCTTATTCGTATCGATTTACGAAAGTTATCATTGCTAGCGAATTAATCTGCAGCTTCTCTTCCCTCTTCTTCTACTTATTTGTACACCTTTAATTTTTTTTATTTCGTTTATTAATATTTTATCGTGTATTTATTAATGTTCCCTGATGAGGAATGTGTATCCTGCCCTTTTCAGTTATTATAATAGCAGTTTCTTCATTTATTTGATTTTTTGCGTTGAGGGGATATGAAATGCTAGGAAATTACGTGAAAATTCAGTTTAATGAAATCTCGCATTGAAATTTCATTATTTTACGAATTTACAGAGTGTTTTCTGCATAAATAATTTCAACAAATTATTCATTTAGTCTCAATAAATCATCTCTCTGCCTTTAATATGAAAAAAATCTACAACTAATAAAAAAATCTTCATTCTGTAGAACTCGGACACACACTTCATCCCTGCAAGACCTCAAAATAAAAAAATTTCTTGATGACAACGAAAATTAATTTCATATCCACTCAACAAAGGTTTGGTTCCAAGTGCTGCTACTCTGCTTCCAATTAACGCATATACTCGATTATTCAAACCCAAAGTCAAATAAATCAGTCGAATGATGAGATCAACATGTCCAACAATAAAACCAATCCCCAGGTCCAGAAATATGTGGATCTTAGACGTATGAAAAATGGCAATTCGATCATTCTCTGAGAATGGCCATAAGAAATTCTGCAGGACAAACTTATGGAGGAATCGAGCTAAAATTTTTTATAAGAAACAATACTTTTATGGAGACATCTACAGAAAAAATAGAGTCCATTGAACATAATGCATTGCCCTTTTCCATACGTAGCCCTAGCATTTGCAAGCTTGATTCAACTCGTAACACAATAGAAAACAGCTGAAACATCTCCAACCCCCCAGGAGGTTTCTCCCCGCAGTGATGAAAATTCCCTGTTGCAGAAGACCTCTCGTCGAGACTCAAATGGGCTGTACGTCGACCCACCGTCCGAGGAGACGGAGTTGACAGAAGCCCCAGTGAAGAAAGAGATAATCGAGAGTGCACCAGTGCCTGATACCCCAGAGAATCCGATTCCCTCGTCGATTCCCCAAGAGTCCGAGCATCCTGATCTCGACGAGAACTATCAGGACCACGAGGACATCCCCTGCAGCGTCAAGACCAAGCCCTACTACTCGATAAACGCGAAGCTATGCCAGAAGGAGAAGAAACAGTGCACGACGAATGGACCGAATGTACCGAAGCAAGTGGAGCAGACAATTGCTGATGACAAGGCAGACGATAATATGGTGATTGCTGAGGATCAGAGCTGCAGTATTGACGAGGGAAAGACATCGATAATTGACACGACATTCAGATACCTGACGACACCACCAACAGCTAGAAACAATCAGACTTGCAACAAGACCAGTGTTACGTGTTTGATTTGCGGAAAGCAGTTGAGCAATCAGTACAATCTCAGGGTCCACATGGAGACACACAGCAACAGCTCGTACAGCTGCACTGCTTGCTCGCATGTGTCAAGGTCCAGGGATGCCTTGAGGAAACATGTGTCTTACCGACATCCTGTTGCAACACCCCAGAAACGCCCGAGGTACAGCATCTCGAAACCGTAGGACTCGGGGCGAGAGTAGATTGTTTATTCAGGGATTTTTTTTCGCGGTACCATGGGAGGGGAGGTAGAGGGGTGAGTCGACTCTTTGGCGATGATTTTTCGGAGATGGTGGGGGAATTTTTGCTAAGAGGCTTTTTGGAGAGAAAGTTCTTGTGGAAATTTTGATATCTCTTTTTGAATTCTGAGACAGTTGAAGAATGTTAATCAACGAAATGAGTTTTTAGGAAATATCTTGAAATTTGTGAGAGGTTTTTGAAATCATGACAAACGTTTTCGGATTTTTAGTTAGAAGAGATCTTGGGAGGTAGGGGATTTTTTTAGTTTTTTTAAATTCTTGACAAAGATTTTGATCTCCCAAATTTAAAAAAAGAAAAAGTGAAAATTCTGTTGATTTATTTCGTTTAATTACTTTTGTTGCTGAGTTTTTAGGATTTTTTTTTTCAATTCAGGAATATTGGAAGAGTCTTCATAAAGAGTCAACTCATCTCGTTCCACGAATCAAGTGCTGAATCGTCAAATTAAAATGGAACAAAATGGGGAATATTTTATGTACATAAACTTGACGAGACCTGAAGCGACTGTTTGGATATCTAGTCCACTTTTATAGCTAATTTTCTGCTAATCTTGTTGAGGCTCATGCGGAAAACGGAAAGACAAAATGAATTAGTTGTACTTGTTTTTAGTTATTAAGACGGTTTGAATGATCCTTGTGCCCCACCTGTTGTTTTTTTCCTTCGTTTTCCTCGTGATAATTGTTGGGATTTTTATTCAAGTGAGAAGTGGAGGAATAGTCAAATTGAGAAGTTCAATAACGTTGAATTGTCGCGTTAATTTTGCATTCACCAGGGAAACGAGTGATTTGAGCAGAAAATGTCACAAGAACTTTTTTGTCGAAAATTAAATTTTCAACAAAAAATGCCTTCAGACATTTTTCCCCAGAACAACTCGTTACAGAGATAATCTAATGTTTATAAAAGCGTGAAGACCCTTGTCTTTTAGTAAAATATCTCGCAATCCAAGGGAAATGCTAAATTATTTACCAAAAACTCGTCCTCAACTTGAACAAAATAAGCTCAAACCACTTCTCTTGTGATGAAATCGTCCCAAATCCTCTGAATAAAGCTTAGTGACCCAGAAACCTGGTGTTTTCAGTGAGATCGTCCACCGAGAATCTCATATCATTGCATAAGATTTAACGATCAAATAAACTGGACGATTTTTCTGAAGTGATATATCGAAATAGAGTGAGTGTCTTGATACCCCTAGTGTTCAAACTGTTATCAACATTTTTTTCTTGTTATCGTTGATATAGTGTAATGAAGGCACTCTAGGTGATTCGTCTATTTTGAGGTGAAACTGTTCAATAACTGGACATTATCTTTTTGTTTCTTCTTTGCTTTCGATTCGTTTTTTTTCTTATCTCTCGATTAAAATCGTTGTTAATCGTTGATCGTGTCTGAACCGGTTGTTGATTATTATTATAAGAGTTTAGAAATTATTGAGATGTGGGGAAATACGTTCACAAAACATATCCGTCTGTGCCAAGTAATGATAATTCGAGTGCTGAAAAATTATTTGTGTATGACAATTGGAAATGACAATCCACTGGCAATTGAGTTGTATATCAATGAACAATCGTATTCAAAAATAATATACAATATTTGTATGCTACAAATTATAAAATAAATAAAGTGCATCAAAAGTTTGTGAAAAAGTTTCTCCAAAAATTCATTGGTTTTTACTTTTCCTTGAAGCGAGAGTATCAAAATGACGAAATCAATTGTTTTGCGGTTGTATTGCTCTGTTGGGTCGTTAGATTCTCTCCACACGCCATATTTTGGTATTGCAGTCTTGGCCAACGGATATCAGGGTCTCCTCGTCCAGCCACACCAAACGTGTGATCTGACTCTGGGGATGAGCATCTGGGGAACAATTCAATGAAATTAAATTTTTTTATCGTCTGAAATTGTTCCCCATAATTTCTTATGGATAATTTTTTTAATATCTCAAAAACTAGTGCATTTAAAAGAAAATTCCGCTAATTATTAACATACTTTTGATAATAGTGTGTTTCGCTGGGTTCGTGACACTCCAGATGATAATAGTAGTGTCCAAGCTGCCACTGGCCACCATTGTCGAGTCAGTTGACCAAGCAACTGTATTCACTCTAGCATTATGGAAGCCCCATTCTCGATTGTGCGCCAGCTAAAATTGATCACAAAACAATAATTCGGGATAACTCGAGAGTAAACATAATGATCTTGATTGAAAGAAAATTTACCCCCTATGTTCCACGTTTTGCGAAGGATGAAAAAAATGAATCAATTATTAAATTATCAAATTTTCTACAAGATAATGAAACTTGAGAGGAAATGAGACATCTACATTGGTGAATTACCTTCAATTTAAAAATGAAGAAAACAAGAATTCCTCAACATGAATTTTGCGCTCCATTTTTCTTCTCTTTTCATTAAAAAAATAAAAAAATAAACGATGAACCTCAAATTACCTTGTACTCCGGCAGCATATAAAGTATAACTTTCCTGTTGGCATCGCAGGCAACAAGATACTTATTATCCGGACTATAGGCAACATCAGTGACAGGTCCCAGATGCTCCAGCTCGAGTTTGAACGTCAGCGTCGTCCCCGAGAGATTATAAACATAAACTTTATTGTCAGAAGTAGAGCCAACAGCCACATCCCCATTCTCCGGATTGACGCCCACACAAGAGGGCTCATAATCAATGGGAAGTTTGGAGACTTTTCTCCCAGACTGAGTCAGATGGATCTGCCTCATGGCCGCAGTGACAACAATATCATTATAAACATCGAGTCCACGTGGCTGTGAGTCCAGTTTGATGGTGTCTGCGTCATTGTACTTGTTGCTGGCAATGTCAATGGCTCTAAGTGTGTCATCGATGCCAGCTGTGTACAGTAGGTTGCCCGCTGCCTTCATCCCGTTCATCTGATTGCCGTGCCCCTGACCCTGGACACGATCGTTCTCACCAGTTGATGCATTCCAGTTCGTCACGTGGCCATCGTGTGAGCCAGTGTAGATGGTTCCCCTGTCTGGGCTCAGGGTTAATACTGTGATTGGCTTGTTGTGGCCCTTTATTATTCTCAAGGGCTTCGTGGGGTCATTGACGTTCAGGTAATTTATGAAACCACTGAGGGAGACTGACAGCAAGTGCTCACCTTGCCACAAGCAGCTCACTTGTTGGTCTTCTACGGTATTGCCTGTTTCATTTATTTATAAAAATAATTATGAATGAATTATTACTATTATTATTATTATTATTATTATTATTATTATTATTAAGGCCCGGTTGCACCAGCTCCGGGTACCCAAAACGTCAGATAATAAAAAAAGTAAATTTGAATATTCGATGGATTATTTTATCGGGGCGAATATATCAAATTTATCCCAGGAACAAAATATAAAATTTAATCCCACGGTTAAATCAGTGTTAATTCAAATGGGGCTACAGGATAAATAAAAAATTATTCTTCGGGTCAAATATTGAAAAATTATGACCCCTACGATATAATTGACCCTGATGATAAATTTTACCCTGGGGTTTACTTGGATAACAGGGCTTGGTGCAACCGGGCCTATGAATTCTACGGAATTTTGATTAATTCATTTTTTGGAATTGTTGGAGTTTACATTTTATGATGGCAAAAAATTTTTTTTCCATTCCCATATAGCCGATTAGGCTTTTCCTGGTCTCATCCTAGATGGGATTTATGCGTTTGGTTTTTCAGACTAAATACCATTGGAATGAACAGAGGTTGTCATGGGTCTATGTCGTCAAAGCTTCGTCGTAGAATAGGAATTAATCCCGAATAATGTCGATGAAAAATAAATAATAATAAATATTTCTCAGCATTCGCATTCCCCTGAATTATTACCAATTTTTTCATACATACCCATATTGAACTCAGTAATCAGACTTTTGGTCTCCACATCCCACAGTCTGCAAGTCTTATCCCCCGAGGCCGTCAGCAATTGTGTGCCATCAGGCTTCCACGCGACCCCGTAGACCCCTCCCTGATGGGCTGGTGAACCGATCTCACTGACGAGTTCACTGGTCGTGCCATCGTACAGAAAGACTTTGCCATCGAAGCCAGCTGACGCGAAGAGGTGACCCGAGGGTGAGTACTTGACCGCCTGGACGAACCTCGAGTGCTCTTGCTTCGTCATCTTGAATTTGAAGGGGGGCCCCTCGAAAATGGCGACGGTGTTGTCCTCACTCCCGGTGATGAGTCTGAAGGGCCTTGCGGGCCGGAAGTCGCAGGAGTTGATGGGTTTGCTCTGGCCGGAGATCTCCCCCACCGAGGTGCCAGTGTCGGCCATGAACACGTGGCCAAATCTCTCGCGACCCTCACCCACCACCACCATCCTCTGGCTGTCGGGGGACCATGCTATGTCCTTTATCGGACCACCGATTGGGTGGAACTCGTTCTTCAGGATGTGCTCTTTATTCACTGTGTCCCAGATTCTTATTTTTCCGGATTGATCTGTGGAGGTGAGGAATTTTGACATTTTTCATTGAAAAAATTTGCGAATTCAATAAAAAATTTTTACTGAATTGGTATTAAATAATTTTACTCCTTTCCTGCGCATTTTTTTAATAGAAAATGTTCAATAGAAACTTTTACATAAAAAAAAGAATAGAATTTCATCGTTCTGTACTTCTTTTTTACTGTAAAAATTTCTCATTTTTAATTTAATAAATTTTCTATTTTTTTTCATTGTTTTTCTGCTCTTTTGAAGAAAAAAAATCAAATAAAAAACTTGAAAAATTTGATTCTAGGAATTTCTGTAGAAAATATTTCAATGGAATAAATTGGATAGAAAAATCAATTTCATTTCTTTTTGAAGATCATGAAATTGTCATAAAATTGTCATAAAATTCCCTAATTCATGTAAATCCATTACCTCCAGACGCTATATAAAATCCACTCGGCGAGTATTTAGCGACATTGACCGCGCACGAGTGCTCGGTGTAGATATCCGCAATGGCAGGATTCTAAGTAAGCAAAAATGTAAAAACAGTTGAGAAAACAATGGTTCCCAATCCCTTGTTATTTCCCACTCACATCAATATTCCTGATGATAACGCTGTTTCCATTGGTGTACAGGAAGTTTTTCCCCTTGGGATCACCTCCAAGGACGAGGGGAGTACCCCTCTGGGTTCTAGGCAACGTAGCGAATATATATTCTGAAAGGAATAACGGATTTAATGACTTGTGTCATCAGCGGCTTCTGGTGAATCCAGCCTCGTCGAGTGGGCAAACATCCAAATTGGTTTTATCAAAATTATTTTGAGAATATGCGTGTTTATACGACGACCCGGTGATGTAAGGGATATTGTTGAGAGTCGAGAACACGAAGTTATCTCACTTCCTGTTTTTCATTCAACTTATGACGAATTTTTTACGAGAATATTTTTTACAGCTCATTAAATTCTGTACAAAAAAATCAATCCGACGGAAGCAAAAAGGGAATATCCAGTTGCTGAACAATTTCACCTAGAGTGTCTTCACTACAATTATCAACGATAACAGAAAGAAACATTGATAACGATGTGAACAGTGGAGGTATCGCTTCGGAAAAATCGTCGCGCTTATTTGATCAACAAAAAATCGAAGAATAACTCTCTTCCAATGCGAAAACAATCTCTTGCTCCATAATGAGCTACATATTCAACGTGATTAATCTCATTCTATTCATATGCATTAACAGGGGAGGTTGGGGTAAAATGGACACTTTTGACTTTTTGTTAAAATGTTAATGACGGATTGAAATGTTGATAAAATTTGATAATTTTTTTTTCATTGCAAAGAACTATTCTTTCCCTTTGTGATGGGCCTAAACTGAGCTCAATTGATAAAGTTGTTTCTCAGTTATGAGTAATTAAAATAAAAGTCTAAAGTGTCCATTTTACCCCACTCTACCCTACATTTAACTTGTTAATGATGTTGTGATTTATTATACTGCTGTACTTGCAGAGCTTTTGTATCTAACATGTTTCACTCACAGAGTCTACGTTACTTTGATGAAGCTGAAACTAGCGAAAGATTCGACAGCAGAAGATTTTTCTTAGACGAATCTAGGAGTGTACAAATGTTTTTAAGTAATGTGCAAACTCTTTCACATGTAAAATCATTTGTACATATGATTATTTGACTCCCCGACATTTAAATATCCCTTGAATTAAATTTTCCGCTGACGAAATTTTATATTATTTGCAGCTATTATAGTTGTGTATATTTTATCAACTCCTTACGGTGTCATTTATAAGACAAAAATTGCAGTTAATAAAATCTATCAATCAATCAATCAAAAAAATTAAATCCCAATGAAAATCATGCCCCAAATTGAATAGTAAACCCCGTGCAATATCCCCCCAGTCCTCCCCAGAGATGGAGATATTTTCGGAGCTCCAAAGAGACCACACGATGAAAACAAGAACAATAAGTGAAGTCTCAGGTGCCGAGTGAAGCGTTTCGAGGGGTCAATGACACGTTGAGTCGCTCCAGATCATAATAAACGGTTCCCTCTCGCTGTAATCCGTGAATATCGACAAATAACGGTCGAAGTGGGTGTGATTCAGCTTCCCGAGGTGCCGGACCCGTGAAAATATGCGATAAGACCCGATAATGAGACTTCGACCCTCAACAGCCCCAACTATCACCACTAGCATGCCCATTGTTGATGAAAATACAACGATAAATTCACTTGCACATGCTCGAAAATGTAAAGACGGCTTACTTGTTTCGTATGACATGTCTAGTCGGTGTTTTTTATCTCCAGTGTAAGTACAATTAAACTCCGGCTTCTCTTCACTTCACTTTACGCTGACGATGTGTCACTTGTGCGGCTTCGGGCTATCGGCTGATTACTCACGCAATTCTCCGTTTCCCCCGGTGAGAAGGGGCTTTGCAACTCGGAACGCTGTGGAACTCGTTCCGCCCTTCGCCTTATTTGGCTAGTGCATTGGCTGGATGCGTTTGAGGTGAGGGAGTCACTGGGGATTTCGAGACTGGACGGGAGTTTGGGAGAGCTATCGGCAGATGGCGAGGGAATTCCAGTTCTGAGAGTCGGTGAGGTAGACGTTTATTTGGTCTATTGGTTAAACTATTTACAAATAAATTTTACTCATCAAGTGGGAATAATTGGGGCGAATTCAATAGTATAATTTTATAATTTAGGAAATGGAAATTTATTTATAATTAATTCTTTTTCAAATTGCTCAGGGGAGAGTGGGGTAAAATGGACACTTTAGACTTTTGTTTTAATTATTCATAACTCAGAAACAAATATAGCAGCAGATAATAAAGCAGCATAAAGCAGATAATACATTGAAAAAATTAATTAGTGGCATCAATCGATAGCAAAAGAGTTGGGAAGTTGAAAAAAAAATGAATTCAGAATTTGGGAGTGGATAGTATTTTTTTTTAAATAAATATTTTTCAATTTCTCTATGAAAAACGGCCACATAGTTAGCAGGGAAATTATGAATTCTCTAATGAAAATCAATTTTCATCACGCTGTGATGAAAAGTGAACTTTTCGGCACGCTCCGCGTCTTCAACTCGGGCCTTCAATTGAGAACCCGAGTTGAAGACCCGAGTTTGTAGCAAAGACGGCAGACAAGATATGAATGTTTTTTTGGGCTCAAACGAAAGAGCGGGTCGAGAAATGGCGTGCTAGGACCTCTAAAGATGGTTTCGAAGCGGGGGAGACTCCTAGACCCCACTGGACAATGTTGTCACAATTGCGCTTTTCAATTGAAAACAGAGATCATCTTTAGAGAGATTTGTCATCTTTAAAGACTTCTGCACGCCATTTCTCGACCCGCTCTTTCATTTTAGCCAAAAAAAACATTCATATCTTGTCTGACATCTCTGCTACAAACTCTGGTCATCAACTCTGGTTTTCAGTTGAAATTGGAATTGTTAATTTACACAATAATAGGAGTGCATTGACGATTTTTTCTTAACTCGCAAAAATCTTCAAACAATTTGCTACCGATTGGTGATAAAATTTTTTGGAAATAATGAAATAGGGGGGATAACGCCTTTTTTTTCAGGGGTGATTTTTCAAAAATTTATTTTAAAAAAAGTACTAACTAGCAAATGTTTTTTATTAGCTCGCAATTTTCTTCAAAACTACTTCAATGAGGAAAAAAATAAAAATTTGGAATATCTATACATGAGGCGCTAATTGTTCGGATCTCGATAGGCGGCATTCAGAGGAATAATTAAACAAGAAGTTTATTCAAACAATAGAGGTATGTAAAATAGTCAAAAATTCATTGTTAACATTCAACTCTGTATGAACTGCATCAACATGGCTTCGATGGCTTTTATTCATGCAGAAGAAATTCAACAAAGACAACAATCTTTGAAAGATGCATTTTTCAGTTCATCATTTCGCCTTTATTTCCTCAAATAATAAATATTTACAATAATGAAAACTAGTTAAATGCTAGTAATACAAAGCTGATTCACGACGATGAGAATTAAAAATTTAGTATTCTCCCAACATTGGGATACGATTCAATAGAATATCCAATCAATGTATTATCAATATGACATACGCAAAATAATGTGATGAAAACTCACACAATCAATTGATTAAACAATCAATTTATCACGAAACTAGAGCGTAATCGTAATTTCATTACGCGCCAAGTTATTTTCCAAAGTGATTCACATTTTTCTTCTCGCATTTTACCGAACGAAATTGCCGAAAAAACCTCGTGAATCTCGTACATTTAAGCCTCAATATCACACATTTCCCACAAAAATTACAAAAAAATGCCTAATGATATGATGAGATATTTACACGTGGATTGTCCCTGATTACTCTAAATTTCAGTGAGTGGCGGTGTAAATAAATAGAATGAGTGAATTATCAGCATGAGATTATGGTTTCGATCATGATCGGTGATGATTTCGCATCGTTAGTTTTTCCTCACCGACCAATCGTCAATCGTTTAATTCAAAGAGACAGAACGAGATGAGGTGATTCGAATTCGAGTTTTGTTTTTGCTGAATATCTTGAGAGGGAAGGGAGATAGCAAAAACTGTACTAGAACCTTTTTTGTACCTTTCGAAATTCTGTATACAAAAGATCTTTTGAGGATTTTCGCTATCCCTCATAGATTCCAAGATATTGACGGAAAACTGAGGAGAACAGGTCGAAACGACTATTGAAAACAATTCAGGCAACTTTTTTTTGTTTTTAGTCGAGAGTTGAATGGTTTGAGAGTCAAGTGACCCTTTGCCCCTTCACTCGAGGGAGTATGCCCCTCAATTAAAAACAAAACAAAATTTTTTTCTGATATTTCACTATCAATTCATTCGAAAATGTCTCAGAACCCAAGGAGATACCGAAATTCATGATCAGACAAATGTCATAGCTCTTGAACCTCAACTCGAGTTCGCTCATCTCCTCCTGCCCTGTACGATCACTTCAATTCTACTCGGAATAACGGAAAATCCTCGTGTTGACTGTCTCCGGCATGCGCCGAGCGCGGAAGAGGGGATTGCCCCGATAATAGTTATTCTGAGGACTGAAAATTCCCCACTGTCCGGCCTTCACGACTGAATTTCTCTTGAGTAAACCGTAAGGTTTCTTGAGGATCTGTCTGTCGGTCCTCCCCTCGATCTCCGGCACTGACGGGACCCTGGGGTACTTGAACTCCTCGAGGTCTTCGTCCCTGGGAAGAGGTAGATTCTGGTCCTCGGGGACTGGACGTCCGTCCGGAAAAACTCGAATGACCATCGGACCCACCAGATACGGCCCGGCGCTGTCCGAAGGCCTCGCGTAGTCGTTGGACCTCACAGACTCATCCCCAAGACAATTGTGATCGCTTCCACTCGCGACTGCAAGCGAACGGGATAAATATCATTATTAATGGACAAGTTGAGAGGAATAACAATCGATGGGAGTCGGGAGGTCATTGCGATTATTTCGGTCAAGGGAGCGTCAAGAGCCAGTGGCATGAAGGAAATACTGGGACTCGAGGAAGCTACGGTGATCGAGGTCAAATGAATTGTCAATGACGTTCAGATACTTCTTATTTACGAATGAGAAATTAAAATGTAGTAAACCAGCCGATGGACGAAAAATTTGATGATAAAAGCTCCGGCATTCGCTTGGAATTCTATTGGATTTCTATTCGTTGTTTGCTGATTTGATAGAAAATTTCAATAGAAAATATTCTATAATATATTATAGAATAATAATAATAATATTCTATAATATCGAATATTATAGAATATTATTATTATTATACTATAATATATTATAGAATATATTCTAGAATATATTCTATAAAAAATTGAATGGAAATGAATGAAAAATGAATGGATGTTTGATTTTTTTTTAAATTTCACATCTTGAAGGTCGATCGAGGAGTCAATGATACATCAGTCTGTTGTATGTGAAGTAATTCGGGGCAGAGTGAAATTGTGAAAGCTAAAATCTCGTAGAAAGAGCCTCTGAGACAAGTGACCTCGTTCGCGAGTCGTACGTACGTCGGTTATTGATTATTTTCAGGGACAGGGATCGATGTGAGATTGAGATATCGATATTTACCCAGGGGATCGTTGTCCGTGGTGTAATAGTTGTCCTGCTTCTCTTGGTGAACGGTTGAGGCGATTCCATTGTCACCCATTACAGTTCTCCAGACTGGAAATAGCAAATGATTGAGGATCTTTAAAAAAAACTTTTCGAGTGGAAATTATTTAAAGGTATTGAATTGAAATTAAACTAGTGATTTCATAAAAATAAATAATTATTAACATGTATTTTTATTTGATTTGAGTAAAAACACAAATAAAAATCAAGTTCAGGTTCAACTTATTTTGACAAACTCATTCATTTTATTCAAATAATTTTTCTTATTTAATAATAGAATTAAAAAGGAATGAATAGCTCTCAGGATTATGCAAGAAAAGATCTTCCCAAGTCTCGTAAAATTAAAAAAACAAGTGGTCCTTACTCATGTCATCGGCATCCCTCTGATAAGGATCCAGCCTGTCCATCTCATTATCATCCATATTAGCCAACTGTCGAAGCCCAGTCACCAAAATATTCTTATTGCAATCAGGCATGGAAGAGTCCTGACAGTAACTCACCACTCGTCTACTGAACAATCTGTACAGATGACTTATCTGAAAGCAAAATAAAACCCCCGATAAATTGTACATCTCTCCACATACCGCCAGCCATCCATGAAGAATGGAGCTCATCCATTGAACCCGTGGAAACACTCTTTCTGATTTTACTCGTGTTGTACACTGTAAATTCTAATAGCGTCCGGTGAAACTCGGTAATGTGTAACAGACGGTTACAAATGCTTGTCACACACTGTAGTTTTGCAGTGCGTAGCACGCATGTTGCGTTCCAACAATTTCGACTCCATTCCTTTTTACATTTATTTTCACAATGGGGGATCGAGGGTACACGATTACGACAATTGATTGACACATCGGTGTGTTATTTTGCATTTTTATTGGTTTTATTTTCACATTTTTCCTCTATTTCTTCTTGATTTTCTCTAACAACTAGAAAATTTCGTAGAAAAACCTAGTTTAGTCGTTAGAAAATTCCGTTTCTATAGGATTTATCCCATTGAAAAAAATTGTATTAAAAAATCGAGTGGAAAATTCATGTCCAGGAATTGTATAAATCGTTTCTATTGCAAGAAAGTGCAGAAAAGTGAAATTGTTCGATAAAATCAGCGAAGAGCTGAAGCAATTTTTAATAGAAATCCAATAGAATTCTCTAGCAAATGCACTACATTTTAATTAAATAAGAAAGCCTCACGTTATTTTTCTTCTCTTCATTTTACTTTTCCCTTTTTTCTTGAAAAAAAAACGGAATTCTACGTTTCTGGGCTCATTCCAGCGGTACTTTGATGGACAATAGACAGCCCATTGTTCCCCTGGGTCCTGAATATTCCCGGAAACCGAGAGAAAGTGACAATTGATTTTTCCAGCCATTGTAAACCACGAAAATACCGCAAATTCAAAAATGTATTCATTACTTCAAATATTTTATTCAATAGTTCCCCCGGATCTTCGAAAATAGAAATGAAAAATTCTCCGAGCTCAACAGAATTATTAGAAAACGATAATCACTGCGATTAGCATTAATGAGCGACTGAATTTATGAAATTAAACCGTAAGTGGATATCCACTGGTCTCGGTCTGTTTGTAATCGCAGAAGAGAGTGTTCTTGAACTTCACTGAAATACCGGCATGTAAAAGGCTAACGAGCAACTCTCCGTTGGGTCTGGCTAACGTCGCTTTTACTACTGCCTTTTACTCTGAATTATTACTCGGCAAAACATTCTACTCGTGCCGATTAATTCGTGACCACTAGAATTTACTGGATTGCTCGGGGAAATTGTGAATGAAAGTCGCGGTTTATGTCTGCCTGGTGAATAAACATTGTAATTAAATAATAAAATGTTGCAAAATCATGAAAAATACTGTCGAGTGGAAAGTGTCGCAGTATTTTTTCAAATAAATTTTTTTCATTTTGTTCGCTAGATGGAGAAAAATGGTTGAATATTTTGAAAAAATACCTTTTCATCTCTCGACAGGAATTCCCACATGGGAATAGCGGAACTATCCACTCTAACTGCCCAGATAGTAGCCAAGGCCAAGATCGCAATCATCTCAATTTGCCTCTTCATTCTGACTGATCACTGATTTTAGTTTGAAAAAAAATCACTGAAAACCACTTCCTCACAGTTAAATAGTCTTAACAATTATTCAACTCCAATTGTTTCTGTCGACTAAACTCAATCGACTCGGGAAGATGATGGGTTTAGCGAAGATATTGAGAAATATTGAGTGTATCTCAGCGAAATGTTGAACGCGAACTGAGGTAGAACTAGTAGTTTGTTCGGTTTTATGTGCGGATGGCCCACGTTTAGCCATCCTCCCACCACTTGGGCTTCAGGTATCTCCGTTTGTCGCTCCTCTCGCGACCTACCTCCGTCGTGACGCTGTGTTTACGCGTTAGCATCCGCCTGTTCCCCCACCGGGTGGGCACCAGGTAGATCAGGAATTTCAGATCCGGTGAAATTTGTGGGGTCATTATGGATCCTACGTCATGGAATCATGCCTAGCTCGGCAATGACGTCCTCTCGAGGTGGAGTTTGACCCTTATGGTTCATGAGATCTTGTTTTTTTCTCAGTTGTGTTTTATTCTGTACAATTTCCATTTGGAAGAATTCCATGGAAAAACCTAGTGAATTCTATAGACAATTCTATTCTGGAGAAATTTTTCTATTGAAACATTTTCTGTAAAAAATCCTCTGCACGAATTTTAAAATTTTTTTTTGCTCAAATTTTCTTCTCTTTTCATTACAAAAATTAAACGAAGAAACTTGGACAATTTGAGCTGAGGACTTTCCATAGAAAAACCTAATTCTATTAATTTCATCCATAAAATATAAAAATAAAAAAAATGAAAATAAAATAGAAAAATAGAATATTTTCCTTTGAAATTCAAAAGAATTAAAGCATTTTCCTTGAAATAAACACCAAAATTTATTAACTTCCAAAAATATTGTTGAAATCACCGGAATTCTCGTAGAAACGCAAAAGAATTAGTTCTAGTCGGTCTCCAATATGAAAATTAAACGATTTGAGAGAATAAATAAACCATAAAACATATCATCGACCTCGAGCTGTTGACATCTGCGGCCCTCACGTTATCTGTCAAACACCCTGCGATATTTTTCAGTTATTTTTTTTTTCAAAGTTTTCCTACATCGTCGTAAAACAGCGTGACCCCGGAAGACCTGACGATCTAACGAAGACGAGGGGCCCGATATCCCATCGGACCCTTCGTTTTATTTATCTCGGTGGTATTCCACGCTATTTTTTGTGATATCACCTGGTCAAAACAAGATTTTTCTCACGAACAATTTAATTATCACTTTGAAAACTACTGGGGTACGACAGGTCGTGTTTATTCTTATTTTTAATGACGTTTCCCGGTCTTTTCAATGCCACGTCCTGCAACTTTCAATCTCCATTATCTCTAGCATGAAAAATTGTTCTCAATATGGCATGTGCATTCTCTAAACTAGTCTTTGAGTGGCTGCGAAAAAATGGAGAGAAAAGTACAATGACTCGAGCAAAAAGCAATATTTTGGGTGAAAATGTTAAAACTTTTACCTGGAGAGTGAAACATTGCAAATTTTTTTTCAATTCATGAATTCAGCGTCATTTAAATTCTATTTTCCAAACAACTTCCGCAAAAAAAATTGTGCCGCAGGGATTTATTAAGTGATAATGAATTATTCACAATAAATTATTTTTGATTTTTTTCAATAATAAAATAAATAGTAGAAAGAGAATTGTTACATTCTCATTCTAAATCAGATGCCAATGGTCCAACGGTTGAATAATTAAAATTGAACTAAAAATCCTCAATTAATAAAAATCTCATGTTCACTCAGTGGCTTAATTTACATAAAAATGAATAAATAAATGAATAAATAAATAAATAACATCATAAAATGTTCTCATTATCATCTCAACAATGAGTTCTCCTCCGAAGAGTTGCACCAGCCCCGCTGACCTTAGAAATCGTAACGGATCAAGACTTCAGACTCACCGATATTCCTCTCTCTCAACCGAATGATAAGAAAAACCTCGGAGGCGATCCGTTCAATGACCTTGGACCACATTTCCGGTGTGCATCGGCCATTTTATTCATTCCCCCCAGCCCCGCAAAAAAATAGCCGAGAGAATGTGGCCGACGAATCCTGAAATTCTGATTGCGCAGGTCAAGCTGTTGCGCCTTGTCTAGACAACAAAAAAAAAACTCGTTAGAAGTTGACTTATGAATCCTAAATAAAGAGATAAATTTTTTTTCACTGCATTATTTGCGGAGATGAAACTATTCGCAGCAGAGGTGGAATGACTGTGAACCAGAATTTTATTCCTCGGCGCGAGAGAATTGGCGCCTGAAATCCCACGGAATTATCAAGGATAACTGTGACGTCCAGAGTCAAAACAATTTTCCTTATTTTATTGATAAAACTGTCACCCTCTGATTCAAGCGATATTTATTGTTCTTAACATTCTGTTTTCGCGGGGAATATTTGTTTTTTCTTGTTCTAATGATGTCATGGGTGAATCGGCCAGTTGAAATTAATGATTGGTTCATGCTAATGTGGATTTTTTATTCTTCCGAAACAATGTAATATTCATCCGCGAAATTTTGGGGGGTCGCTCACTCCGGGATTGCGTGGCATCAGAGGTGAAGATGGAATAGATTTCACGTCTTGACGGCTGGATTTGGAGTTGCTCAAATTATTTCAAACGGTCAGCAACATGATTCTGATTAGTTCAACTCTGTAGTTGATTGATGAGTGATTTATTGCCCGGCTGATTGATTGATCGAGGGGATTTCACTTGACGTCTACGATTTCGAATTAATTTAAAGAGTGACATCATGAGATCACAATGAAGTTCAATTTAAAGAATAAAAATCAGTAGCGAAGTGGTAAAAGGTTTTCCCAGTTGAGTTTTTGAGGAATATTTCGGAATCTAAGGGAGATAACGAAATTTTTGTAATTACATTTGTTGTAGCTATCGATCAGCTGTATAAAAAAGGTTGTAACAAAAATTTTGCTATCTCCCTTAGATTCCGAGATATTCATTGAAAACCGTTTTACCACTTCGCTACTGAAATCAAAATTGGACGATTTGAAAAAATAATTTTCAATTATAATTTGCGAACTAAATTTTCGAATTTGCGCCACAATTGCCGGTCGATAATTCTCCCCCACCCCTCCTCACCATCACCACACAATCATCATGATTAACCGGCAGTAAAATCCGCAAACAATGAATATCCGTGATTCATTAAAAAATAAAAACAATCGTTGTGTAGAATCACAGTTCGTACCGCGTCTCCCCCGGCGACGATTATGCGGTCATAAAAAAAATCCTAGTAGTTATGTCACACGATTCACTGAGGTTCCCATCGTAATGCATCGCACAATAGTTGGATTGCATCTTTTATTCTTCCCATTTTTTCCATCTCCGTTTATTCGTGGTCTCTCAAATTGCCCGACACGGACTGGCGCGTATGCGATACCTATCGCGAGGAATTTTGCGGGGAGATGTTCATTCATCGAGTGAATATTTAATTCGTAACTTGCGCATTCTTAATTCTGGAAATTAATGGAACACAATATTTGTGGGGAAATTTTATTTAAAAAAACTAGGGCTTTCAGTGCGAGAAAAAATCTATGGCAGGTGACTGATTTTGCTACAAGTTTTTTTGTAATAATTTTTGGGAATTAATTTTTCCATTTTTTCTCTTGAGTTTGCAATTAGAATAATTCATTGAAAAATAGAAAATTATTGCAACTGTGAATTGCGATTATTTGATTAAAATTTGAATTGTTAATGAAGATCTGTTGCTGTTATGATTTTAATAATTAAATATGCTGTTAATAATTTTAATTATTGATAAAAATATGGATTTGTTCTACTAGAAATCTATCAGAAAATTACAAGACGAAAAAGAATAGAATTTTCGAATAGAATTTGAATTGAAATTCAATAGAATTTCATTCATCGAGTGAATATTTAATTCTGGAAATTAATGGAACAGAACATTGATTTGAAAATTTAATTTTAAAAAATAGGGCTTTCAGTACGAGAAAATATCTATCGCAGTTTACTTATTTTGTTTTTAGTTTTTCTCTAATAATTCTAGGGAATTAGTTTTTTATTTTTTTTTTCTTGAATTTGCAATTGAAATAATTCATTGCAAAATAGAACATTATTGCAACTTTTAATTGCAATTATTCAATTAAAACTTAAAATGTTGAAGACCGGTTGCCTTTTACTATTAAATATGTTGTTAATAACTTTAATTACAAATCTACCGATTTGTTCTACTAAAAATCTATCAAAAAATCGCAAGACGACAAATGAATAGAATAGTCAAATAGATTTTCAATTGAACTTCAAGACAATTTCCCAGTGAAAGCGTTAATCTCCGGATGATAGAAATTGGAAAAAATTAAATTGTCTGGGTTTCTGAGGAAAACAATTCGCTGCATAGCTGATGACTCAGGAGGAAGACACCATAAATAGCACGAGACACTAGAATGCTGTTGCATAAGCCCGCATTCAGACAAATAAATGGAGATTTTCAATCGAATTGATTGCGGAATCCTATTCACATCTTCATCGACGTAAATAGGCATTTGCTGATGGGTCTTCCATCATCAATGAGACAATACCATCAATATGCAGTCGTAGATACCCTCGAATGATTGAGAAGACGATTTATTGATACGAAGGACTGATTAATGCAGTAGCGAAAACGTCCATTAAAATGAATCAAATTTCATGTCCTCACTAATCGTCAATTATTTCGATAACGAACGATTGCAAGAGAAAATATCATAGGACCTTTTTTACAGAGAATTAATTTTCCCACAAAAAATGTCAATTGACATTTCTTCGTAGAAGCACTCATCACCGAGATAACTGAACATTTAACAAGATGTGGAAAACTGAATTGATGAATTTGACATTTGAATATGAAATTTTATGTTCAATTATTTCTCTACATTCATGAGAATGTAATTTACTAATGGTGGGTAATTCTACGATGATGGAGTGAACGATGTCAATGGTCTCATGCGAGAAGACTTCCGCGCGTTAATTAGTCGATTCTAGATTAGTCTTAATGACTTTCAAAGTGTTTTTCAAATTATCTTTTTCGTTTCTTCATCTTCATTTGTCGTGGGATATGCTTCACCAGATCAATTCCTACTTACAGATTCAGTAGTTTACAGAGACAGTTTTGTTTAATATTCTGACTCTCCTGTGCGATCACCAGCAAGAGTCAAAATTATCTTAAGACTCGAGTGGAATTGACACTCCGAACAGAATTAAGGATCATTCGTAACGTCAGGAGCACTCCAACAGAACAATGAATCTCTATTCATCACCCGCGGAGGCCATAAATTCCCGGGGCCATTCCCAACTATTTTTTACAACCCCGAGTTTATTATTAAGTGCCGGCCCGACTATTCCGGATGAGTCGGGGAAATCCCAGAACCTCATGTCAGGGCAATTCACCTCATCTCTACGTGACCCAATCTCCCGGCCGGGTATTCTCAGATGAAGGAAAAATATTAAACGAAAACTCAATTAATTTTAATGAATTTAATGAGTTGAGATTAAGTTGGTTTAGT